AATGACTTTAAACCTCAACGTTCAGATGTTGTTTCCTTGGCAAGGTCATCGTCAAATTGAAGAAGCGCCCTAGCACCCATCCGGTTTCGATGGATGACCGAGTGCTACCAAAGAACCGTTTATTTCGACTGGTCATAGTCCAAATCACCGAGGACTTCATCTGGCACGAACAGATCTTGTCGTTCGCGGCAGCTTGCTGAGAAAAAGCTAGGCTATTTGCTTAGGGCTAAGAAAATATTTTCTACACATAACCTCACTCTGCCCAAGGCCCAGATAAGATCTAGCCTCGAGCACTGCTCACATGTTTAGGGTCCTGCTGTACCGACGACATTATCCATAGTCGATGCGGTTTAGAGGAGGGCTGACTGACTGATCGATGTCTCTTCTCTAGCGAACAGTCTCTGGACCCTTTCGCACCGACGAGTGGTCGGCGATCTGGCTCTCTTCTACCGCTATGTTACGCGGCTGCTTCGGTATAAAAAAATGAGCACGTTCAGGAAACTGTACCGTCAGTTACTGTCACAACAAAGATATCAAACTAAACATACTAACATTAAGCGTCGGAGGTTAACTTTTTTGCAGCCTCCTGGTCTTCTGGGATAACCACTAATTCATAGTTATTTTACTTGCCCCGTGATGGTATTCGTAACCACGAACTACTGGTTGCCTACGATTTAGGTTTTTTAACAGCATTGAAATGATAATCAACAAAATAGGTCAGGTAGTGGGAAGAGCAGCTTATGGAAACGTTCAACTTTACATGTGGGACATTACATCAACTGCACAAAGTTCGTTTTCCTAAAATAGTGAGACGTTTTAGTTGCTCGCTCATTTGAAGAAACAATACCTTTGTTCCAACAAACCATCGAACTAGTTCTGAACGCCCTGACCTATTCATAGCTGGGAAGCTAGATTTTGCGACTGCCATTTTGTGACTTTTCTAAATTTTCAATCTTCACATATACCAAACCTAAATCTTGACCACTTATTGTGTCGTTCTGAAATACGTCTAATAGGTGCGTAGAATTACCGACGTTTAAGTGTATTAATATACTAACATCAAAAAATTGCGATACAATTTTTCATAAATAGTCAGGGTCCTCTGAAACGTCAAAAAACGAAGTTGGAGCAATTTTTATTTTTTCTCCGCCACCACTCGACCGATCTTCAAAAAATACATAACTTTTTCATCATTGGCATAGTAATAACCGTGTGTGTAAAAATTTAATCAAAATCCGACCGGTAGATTCCAAGTTTTAGACGGGCCAAGGATTAGCGGACATAAAAACAGTCACACCGACGAAAATGGGAGACACATTTTTCGTGATATTATGATCATATAACATCCAAAAGACATGATATCTCATTTTCGCAATTACAATACTTCCTCGCTAGTAGGTATCGGAAGTAAAAGATAAAGCTGGCCGCAGTGTAAGCTTTTTTTTTTATTCAGTCTCCTATAAGATAAAGAGTGCCGATATTTTTCCTCACCCTGTATGTTCCGCTTAAAAAACCACCGGATATTGCTGGTCAATATTATTGTTGATAATGGAACTATGCAAATCCTCTGCTAAGTGTTGGTTTGCGCCGCGAGGGGGCCGATGACCTTTACCCCTTGACCCGATTAACCCCGACGCGGCGGCGAAAATTGCGCGTCGCATCGGCACATTTCCCATCTCTCCCCTCTGATATTTCATCCCCTCCCCCATCCATATTGCTCTTGCGGGGAGAGCGATGACCGCGCCCATGTTTAGGGGTGAGGGGGAAATAAGAGAGGCAATTTTTTCACCTGGGCTTACAGGTGTATGTTCGTCATTTCCATCTGTATGTCGGCCTGTCGTTTTATAAAGAATTATCAGACTTGTTTCTGAAGTTCCTGATCATTTTAAAGCACAAAAACTTTAGAAAAGTCAATTTTCTGGGATAATTGCAATTTTTTTTTTTTTTGGGTAGACATTGCAATTTTATATGATCAGCAATACAGCAGTACAAATATTTATAGTCAAATTCTTTCCCTTTTTACTCAGACTAAAAATTGATTAGGAAGTAGTGAAACAAGTGAGTTATCTTATTTGGATGTTATATGACACACATCACGAAAAACCATGTCGGTCTGTCTATCATTGACCGGTCTGATTTTGATGAAATTTTCACTTAAGGTCACTACTATGCCAAGGACGAGAAAGCTTTATAGTTGTTGAAAATCGATCCAGTTGAGGGTTGGGTTGTAGTTGGTGGGGAGGATTTTTGACGTTAGTATACGCCTCAAGCCGCGGTAATTCTAATTCAAGATTCACTTAATGTGGACCGTCAATCGTCATCCACACGAGGTGTAATCATAGTTTCGATAATGTGCGCCCACAAAAGATTTTCTCGAGAGGGATCGTCCATCGACAAGAGATAACATTGTGTGAAAATTAAAAGGACGTTTGTTAATATATCACACAACGTGTTTATTTAGGCAGTTATTAACGAAAATATGAAATACAGGGTTTGTTGTAAAGTCGTTAACGATAGTGGTTGGCATACCGGTGTTCAACTACTTATTGGAAAAAAGAAACGCTAATAGCAATTGACTATCATGGAGGTGATAACCTTGTCTTAGATTGTACAAGTTGCAGATCAATGTTGCAGACTTTGTGGCGATCCTGACCTATTATTTCGACCTAAAATGAAGCGCCGTTAAGACCGATTCGGAATCGGTTTTGAACAGATTCGACACAATACACAATTCAAAAATGTGTACACTCAAATTAAAACCATTATTTTGGAGTAGACTGACGACTAGGGCCCTAAGACGATTGAAAGGAAAAAAGTAAATTTTCAAAAATATATGAGCAGCCTAACCCAAGGGAAACTGATTCAAGACATGTTTTCACGTAATGAAATAGTCAGCTTATTTGAGAAGAAATTTATAGATCATGTGAGGACAATTCATGTGATTGTTGATAAAAATTTCAAAGTACATCAATCACTGTTAAACTTGCCATGGTTTTGTTGTATGTTGTTTTTATTGTAATATTTTTTGAAACGTTTACAATTCAACACGTGAGGATTCTTGCAAAATAAATAAAAAAAAATAAATTAAATTAAAATAAACTAACGCATATTTCTAAAATGCATCGTAATTCAAGGAACCGGTGTTACATATTGGCCTCGCGGCAGCGCTGGTAGGCAACGTGGTGATGAGCTTCGCTAGCCCACCGGCTTCTTCTCTTTCTCTTTTAGCATAATGTGTTTTCCACACTTCTCGCGATTCTCTCTGGTAGACATTGAAACTCTGTATTTATACACTTCTAGTCCCTATAATTCTACGCATCTATTAGACAAATTTCACACATACAAAAGGTTCTATAAAAGTTTTGCAATATGACTTATCAAACGGGAACCAACCCGGCGTTCCCAGAGACTGAAACACATGAGGAGACGTTGTAGCAGACCGCAGGTCACGCACAACACATGGCCTACCGAGACGCTGATGAGTCGGGCCACGCGGAGGTTTATGGTTTAGTGGGTATTAGGTGCTCTCCTCAAGACCCTGGAGTCCCACACACGCCGTAGCTCGGGCTATGGTATGGTGCGTAAATGCATTCCCCCCTCACCAAAAAAAAAAAAAAAAATCAAACGGACGCAGGAGGCTGTATGTGACTGCATGTTGAGATATGTCCATGAGTGCACAGTAGCCGCCAGCAGAACGTCTGTTGATTTAGTTGTTCATTCGTACTGACAGTGTAAAGTGCGAACTTGCCTGTATTATTACGATGTGCCAACCAAGGCTCAAAACAAAGTTTGGGCTTTGATGATGACACACCCGTAGATGTCAGAAAAGCCCGATCTGTTAAAAAAAATTATAGCTGTGTTTTTCAAATCGAGCGAGATTGTGGAGCGTGTCGTTTTGGACACACAGAAGACAGTCACAAAACTTTATAGTACCCTTTGTCGATTTCTTATAACAAACTGGCAAAAGGCGAAAAAAATGAAAATCGCTTAAAGTTTGTTTATTAACCTTTCTGGTGTCACCAATTATTTTCAGAACAAAATTGTAGAAGTTGAAATTTGGAGGTTTGGGGTTGTAGGAGTTGTAATCAGCGAAAGACGTTCTATTATTAAATTGTTTCTGATCTCGGTAATACAGCAAAGGCACAAGAGGCCATAGGTGTGATACGTATATTTTACCATAGGATGGCGGAAATTAGTATTACAAAATAAGTAGTAGCAGAGTACAATACTATAAGCTCATATACAAAAGGAAAACGTAGTCTTTGGATAAACAGAAAATAGAAACAAAAAGTTCATAGCTATAAAGTCAGTTCACTGTTCCACCTATCGTAATACACTTTGAAGCTATTGACTGAAGTAGCATTAACCGCACTTTCGAGTAAACTGTTTCAAGTGTGCATGCGATTGGGGAGAAAACACTGTGGGATTATCGTTCTAATCGGTTACGCTTGCAGTTTAAAGCTATGCTTCAGGTTGCTGCCATTCAAGTCATGAAGTATTCTAAAAGTAACTATGAGATCGCCTGGATTCAAGTTGCCCGACGCTGTACAGCTTCAAGGAGATTTCTGTCACGCACAAGCACAGTTTCCCATACACGGCCAGCAAATTCAAGAGACCTCTCTAACATGTATAGAAGCTTCTTGGATTTGGTTGTTACGTGGTGTATATGCTCTGATCAGGATGAAGTAAGTAGGTGTCTGACCATTGACGAACATTGTCAAGATTTCGCTGAAGCAGAGCAGAGTTTGTAATGGTGTAAATCTTCGTGACATCGATATAAGCAGAACATATGGAGGGCAGCAAGGCGGGTAGGTCACTTGTGTACAAAAGGAAAAGCACTGGACCCAAGACTGAGCCTTCAGGTCTCGGCTTGCCACACGATGGGGAATTTCTTTTGAATCATAGTTCATATGGAAAAACTTGGCGGATGTATTGCTCAAGAGTAGGCGATGTAATAACCAAGAAATCTTTATTCTCAAATTGAATAATAGAGGACTTACCTTTCCACTATCGAGGCTGACTGAGCGAACATCTGAACTCGCTGCAAGGGAGGAAGTCGCAGATCATCTTCAATGCTGAGCGTTGGCGGGTCATCCTGATCAAAACCTGGAATTAAAATCAAAGATTTTTCTTTGATGGCAGTCTCTAAGCAACACTTTGATAATACATGTTGAAAGGTTTGATTTTTTCTGCTAAATTTTTATTTTTTTCCGAAGAAGAGAAGAAACAATCCTGTTATTAGATGTTTGGCGATACCAAAAACCTGACCGTTGGTATCAGTTCACGTTATAAATTCTTGGAATTTGGTCAACTGAAAACATTTATCAAGAATATGCCGTTTCGGCAATTTTAAACACCAAGTATTTTATAGAAAAAATGAACAAAGTATAACCTTATTTGTACATGCAGCTAAAGACCACAGATGAAAAGGTTGGTTTTTTAAAATTTAAGAAAAAATTCAAGATCTCAAAAACGGTGACACTTTTATATAGGTAAGTTTTTGTTATTTGGGAGGTCAGTTCAAAGCCTACCTTCTCCTTAAGTTTGCCGTGGTACTTATTGGACACCCTACCCTGTATAGAAGAATATTATCTTATTAAACTGAGTGGGTGGTATAGGTTATTTTACTGAATTTATGTAGATACTTGAAAGATTATTTGTATAAGTTCTATAATTTATACTAGTAGTGTCTTTCTTCATACAGGGTGTTTCAAGATCGATCCTCACCATTGGAATCTGGGAAGCGGTTAGAGATACGAAATCTCTTAAATGGAGAAACTCACATGTACCTGAAGATGGCGTTTGAACTCACCGAAACGATTTATTTTTAATAAATGCTTTTGGTTGACCGAATCCCAAGAATTTATAAACTGAAAAGATTGCACAAGAGTATCGTTATTTAATTGCTCTATTTATTTTTGGTTAATGTTCTCCCATATATTTTTTTTAATGTTTTCTTCCAAAATGAAAAGTTGAGAGCAATCCTGATGAATGTGGAAAAAACAGCTATTCTGCCTTTTACGACATGGCTCAATGTACAAACGAGCTTCCTTATTATGACTATTGCCAGCATGGCAGCAGCTATGTTGACAATTTCTTCCTGGATGTTGGTCTCCAAATCCTGTAAGTTCTTCACGGTTCCATAAAAACTGGATTTAAAAAAATCCGAAAAAATCACAAGATGCCAAATCGAGAGAGCGAGCGGGTCTCTCCAAATCGCCCCTCATTGAGATGCGTTCCTTCAAAACAGCCATCTATGCTCTTGAAGTGTGTGCCGTTACATCATCTTGTTGGATCTAAATATCACCTAAGTCCAACTCATCTAGCCGTGGAAAAAAATCCTGTAACATGTTTACGTGTCGGCCCGAAATCAATGTCACTGCAACTTCGTTTTTCTCAAAGAACCAGTGACCAATAATTCCAGCTTTAGGTGAATGCAAAGACCTTTGAGGCATAGGGGGGATAGGTGTCAGTCCAATAGTGCATGTTTTGTTTGTTGACGGATCCACACAAATGAAAATGGGCTTCATTGAAAAAAAAAACATAATAGCGTCCTCAGGAACGACTTCGACCAGACGCTCAAACGCGTTCATCCGAAAATTGAAGTCACGTCCAGAAAGTTCTTCTACACTTGTCGTCCTGTCGGAATGGAAGTGAAGATCATCATGAAGAAGTCTCCTAACAGAACGATCGGAAAGTCCAAGAGCAGATGTATGTTTCAGGTGATTCAATGGACCGAGGGACTCCAGTCCTTGGTCTCGTCGCACTTGCAGTTTGTGTGAACGTAGTGGCCCACGTAACAATTAATTTCCGGTCAGGGTCCTCACTGTTGAAAACGCATGTTGCTGACTGAACTGTGTCGGGACAAAAATGTATAGCCCGCCTCTCGTAGACCACTAGCACTCAGCTACTATATCAATCGAATTCGCGCATTATAAAAAAGGAAGTTATGCTATTGCACCCTGTACGTTTACCCGCGTCTTTTTCTCTCTCTCTTCCTCTCTGTCTCTCTCACACACACACACATATTAAAATCGACGGGGCAAAAGGTATATGGCCAGCACTGTATACCCACTTCACTGATCAATATCTTAAAGCCCTATTTTCCTTCTTCCATCGAATATAACTACTCATATACAGCAGTCATCATTCTTGGGGGCTTATAGCTGTGACATATATTAAGTGAAGGTATGTGACTAGACTTTAATTATAAATATCGATCAAGAAACGCGTTGGAGCTCCTCTGCTACAGATTGGCTCCTCTTCAACGTCGCGTCGTTTTGTTCGTGCTCTATCCTCTCTCTGTCACTTATTTTCTCCTTCTCATAAATCGTGAGGCATATACGAGGGATTCTAATGCTCCGCAATTACATTTAATTTTTATTTTTATACATAATATCTACTAACTTTAGGGGGAAAATGGACTCGTTAATCGAAAATTATCTAACCAACCGACAACAGACCGTTAAGATATCAAAATCACCTACCATGGAAATGTCTCTGAAATGTGATACCCACAGGGCACCATCTTGGGCCCAGTACGATTTAATATATATTTGAACGATATATTTCAAATCGATTGTATCGACAAAATAACCAGTTTTGCAGATGATACTGCAGTATTATATGAAGACGATGATTAGTGTTATCTGAAAACACAATTAAAAACGATTTCATCAAACCTAGAATTATTCCTTCTCACTTACGTTGGGACATCCATATCTCTTATTTTGACAGAAAAGTACCTTCGTACACTATACCATACATTGATTGAACCACATTAAGCCTATGATATATTAGGATGGGGAGCAGCATCTTCAATCCCTACATATAATTCAGATATTTTTCAAAAAACTATTTTAAATACAATATTATTCAAGATTTGCGATTAGATATTGATATGTGTGACAAAGTTTGTACATGATTTTTTCAAACTCGTAGGTAGCAGACTCAAATATTTTAAGCCTGTATTCAAAACCTTAATAGTCCTTTCATATAATATAAATATGTATAAATACTTATTGAGTCACAAAATATACAGAAGGAAACGTTAGTTTGTCTGTGAAAAATAGGAAAATGAGTTTTTGACGATTTTCGTAGTGAAATAAATGTTTACTTTTCATCAACTGTCCTCCACGTATTTCCCCAGCAGATTTAAAATTCCACGAACTTTTTTCGAAAAAGTACGCTTATGCTATTCTCAAGCTCGTTAATTCGAGTGGTATAATTAGATCCAAAAAATGTGTCACTCTACAAGCTACAAATATAAAATTATGTTAATTCTCTCAGACAAGGACGAAAAAACTTGTTGCCGCTTCTTAGCAAGCAAAATGGCCATTGAAGACTCATATAGGGTGTCCTGAAAATTACGAGTGCTTTTGAAATAACAAAGTTAATTTGCGGTAAAGCAGCAGCGAAAACGTAAAAAATAAATTGAAGAAAAATGCCCACTACTTATTTGGTACGGCTTTTCAAATACAGCCCTGTCACATGTTTTGTTTGTAAATTCTGCTTGAAGTTGTCGCAGTTCGATTAAAAAACGCGCGTTTGTTTACTTACAACATTTGGGGTTATCTAGGCCTTCTACTGTATCCACCCAGACGGCTTTAGAACGATATAAACAAACCTACGCAGCTCTGATGGAAATATCGAGGACGACGGCGACGTTCAGACTACTCGCGGAGTTTCAATAGGATCTTAAAGACGCTCACAGAAAAATAACATCAAATCGATGTAGGAATGTGCCAATTTCTGTTTTCAAATGGGGTTTGTTTATTAGCTAGGTTAACCTACACTGCGCGCGGCACCTGGTTTGGAAAACTGACTTATTATTGCCTGACCTATGTTCTGTAGGGGAGACCGAGGTGGGTTGTGACAGAGGGGAGTTGTGACAGAGTAGATTTCTCATAACCTATGATCGCTAGCAAATTGACAACAACGCGTATTTATTGCTTGAAAGACAAAGCATGAGCTGTAGTTTGTGTCCCTGGTCTAGAAGGAATGGTTGCGTCTGAACAGCATTCTCGTCTAGAAAAATACCAAAAGTAAGTTTTTGACCGATACTTTGATATCCTATTATGCGATACGAGTTACGTTAATTTTGCTGTGCAATTTTTTCTACTGTTATTTGGTCTTTCAAGTCTCAAACCATGGTACTGTTTCTTTGGGTTTGCCACGTGGTTTTAGGTTATGAGCATTAATTCCGATAGGAGCACGTTATTTTGTACCTAGGAGAATTGTGACAGCGTGTCACAACTCTCCTAGGTATTTTCTTTTTTTTTTGTCGTTAGTGTGTGTGTGTGTGACTGCATACTGAATCGCCATTTTTTTTAGATGCCCAATAAATATGTGAGGAAAACTGATAGAGGCGTGTCCAGTGCCGAAATATATGAACTAGCCTTTGAAGAGGTGACGTTTAGGGGACAAAGCCTCAGGAGTGCTGCATCTGCTTACAATATAAACTATATGTCTTTACAGAGATATATTAAAAAGAAAAAAGCATACCAGGCCAACTTGACAGACAAGCCTCCATCGGTCGGGTATGTCAGTCAGACAGTTTTTTTGAAAGACGAAGAAAACGTACTATGCGAATATTTGTTGACTTGTGCAGCATCTAATTACGGATTAACAACAAAAGAGACAAGAAGATTAGCCTATATGTTAGCAAAAAAGCATGATAAGAAATTTCCGACATCGTGGGAGGAAAATAAAATGGCAGGTGAAGTATGGCTGAAGCTATTTATGGAGCGCCATCCAATTTTATCCTTGAGATTGCCTCAACCCACAAGTATAGCTCGCGCTACGAGCTTCAATAAAACTAACGTGGCGGCCTTTTTTAAGAATTACACAGGTGTCCTGACCAAGTATGCACTTGAGGCAAAAGATATTTGGAATGTTGACGAAACTGGAATTACGACAGTGCAGAAACCTGACAGGATCATTCCGCGACGCGGTGAAAAACAGGTCAGCGCAATGACGTCGGCTGAGAGAGGAACGCTAGTGACGCTAGCCTTGGCCGGAAATGCTGTTGGTAACTACATACCTCCTTTCTTCATATTTCCACGTAAAAGATTCCAAGATCACTTCATTCGAGATGGCCCAACTGGTTCAGTAGGAACAGCTAATGGATCTGGGTGGATGCACGAGGACGACTTTTACTTGTTCCTTAATCATTTCATCAACTACGCGAGACCATCAAAGGAGAAGAAAGTGTTGCTACTTTTAGTTAACCACTCGTCGCATATGGCTTTGAAAAACATTGAGTTTTGTAGGGAACATGGTGTGATTTTGCTTACGTTTCCTCCTCACTGCACTCACAAGCTCCAACCGATGGATCGTGCTATTTTTGGTCCTCTGAAGAAGGCTGTAAATACAGCTTGTGATAATTGGGTGCACACAAATGCTGGCAAAGTTATGTCTATCTATGACATTCCATCAATTACAAAAACAGCATTTGATGTGGCGATCACGGCGAAAAATGTGAGAGCTGGTTTTGCTGCAACAGGAACGTGGCCTGTTAATACAAATATTTTTGGAGATGTCGACTTCCTACCTAGTCAAGTTACTGATCGTATTCCAACCAGTCCAGAGCCAAACCAACGTTTTAGTATGACAAAAGAATCAGAAAATCAAGAAATACCTGCAGCTCCAGATACATCTGAGAATATAGGTGAGAGAGGTGGAGAATATTCGAAAGCCCCTTCTAATAAAATTCTTCCTGATAATGAAGACGCTGCAATCAATTCGACAAAAACACCTGCCGGCAGTTCGTTCATTTGCAGCAAAAATGACAACGAGCCTGCAAAGACTGAACATATCGCCTCCACATCTACAGCTCGTAGCCCGCTCGTCACTGTATCCAATGAATTCTCACCGGAAGCTCTTAGACCTTTGCCAAAAGCTCCTCCAAGAAAAGGACACCAACGGAATAGACGTAAAATCAGATCTGCTGTGCTTACTGACACACCTATTAAGGACGAAATTGCTGCTATAGAAGCAAGCAGGAAAAATGTTAAAAGACGTATTTTTAACAAGGATAATTCTAAAAAAGCAAAGAAGATGAATAGTAGGAAGAACCAAACCGATGATGAAGAGGAAGAAGAAGAAAACGACTGTTTCTGTCTATGTTGTCTTGAACCATTTGCAAACAGCAAGTCCAGAGAAAAATGGGTCCAGTGCATCGATTGCAAGGGATGGTCACATGAAGCTTGCACTGGAGGAGAGCTCCTCTATGTATGTCACAATTGCTTATCGGACTAGATTGTGGGCGGAACTAACTTTTTATTTTCACTCACATAATCCCAAAGAGTTGTCATATTCTGTTAAAATTATTATAAGAATAATGTTCATGTTATTAATATAATATACTCAACAATTTCAGTAGTTTGTTCCCTTGCAATTGCAAAATATGTTGCTGTCACATCTTACCTCGACCTTTGTCACAATTTACCTCGATACTAGGAGATGAAGAACATGAAGAACTGTTCTAGTTTTCGTAAAATTCCTCTGGGAACCTAATTGCTTTCATCAATTTCGGGTCTGTTTTACACAGCTGACAGAACTAGCTATATACAGTACCAAAATTATAAGCATATGACCATTTTTTACTGAGATATGCTTGTTAAAGTGAAAATTGTCACAACCCTCCTTGGTCTCCCCTAAATGAAAGTCCCAACTTTGAGGACACCTGTACAATTTTTACGCTATATTTACCATTTACGATTTCTAAAACATTATAATCATAAAAGTATGACATACTACCCCAATGATCTGTTTTAGGGATTTACAAAAAGTATCAAGCATGTGTCTTCCTCTGGAAGCTGCAGTGACACAGAGATCTACTTTTAATTCCGCGATATATGTTGATTATTTTGATTTTTTTCTTTCGGGCCGTTGGCTTCGTTTGGGCGCGGTTCTCTCAACCCAAACACAAAACATTACCGACACCGCGACACCCTACAGCCAGCAGTCTCTCTCACCCCAACGTCGACCGTCAAGGACGCCGAACCCACCCTCACCCTCCTCGACCAGTGGCGTACCTGCAATTGCCTTATGAAAAGGTTCGCAGAAAATGTGAAACTTGCCATTAAAAACTACACCACTCAACACCGAAAATGTTTCAGATTCAAAATTAGCTATTTCCGAAGCATTTGGTCCACGAAAATCATCAGAAAAAGCTCAGATCAGCTCTTCTTTTCAAGATAGAGAACCTACTTGGTAGTCCGAAAATCGTATTCTCCCCGCCAATAATTGAAAATTCGGAGAATTTGAAATGCGGAATAAACCCTTTTTAATTGCCCTGAAATAGATAATTCCCTTAATTTCCATAACATCATAAAAGGTAGGCAAACAGGCAGTAATACAGAAAACAGCCCACCTGGATCAAAAATCAGTTTAATTTTGTGACTGTTGTGGTTGGAGCGTTTCTAAGTATTAGTATTATAGGTGTTATAATAAATGGAAGTGGTCTAAGACGAGAACCCACTTTCATGTTACTACTTCAAGAAATGGCGTCAAGTTGATTGGCTTCCTAGGCAATTCTGGAAAAATGTGCTTTATATCTGAGTCAACTATTTATTGTTCGCCGGCTTTGAAAATCCTTGTACCCTGACATAACGCCGCAGAGTAATAATAATTGATGTTAGTGAAGCAAAGTATATTGTTGCTCTGGCCAAAATTGAAATTACGCATGTAAAGTATCTGAATCGCTTTCTTTCATTCTGGTATTTTGCTGTTGGCCGGCTATGAAAATCCTTACAGCCGGTCATGTAATATAATAAATTGATTGAAAAAGTAGTCAGTTATTTTTTTTTTTTAAATAATCGAGAACAACTTTTGCAGCCCTGGTATTATTTGCTTGAGGAAAAGGTACTGAAAATCGATTAAATTCTTCATGTTGCATACTGTTCTCAGTTGTTCAGCTAACACATTTGTCGCGTAGATGTTCGCCCTTCAGCGGATAACGGCACTTTATACGTATAAAGATATTTCTATCATTCTGAGTATTTGGGTAAATATACGAGTAAATATATGTATGCAATATCATCAATCAGCGCATAGGATTACTGAGGTTAGAACTTTATAAATATACTACCGTTGAAAAATTGCAATACTCCCTCCCCCAACCCCTACAGCCCCCACGCTCAATGTTTTTTTTTGTTCTATTTTCTTTTCCACTTAGTATACGTTTTAAAAGCTTACAAAGTTTACTTTATAACTTTAAGCATAATTCACTTTCACACGCTCATAAATTGTGGTTGGAAATTATACATAATATAAGAAGTAATTTCCAAAAATATTACATGCTCTTGATTTGAAATCTAGGTGCCAAAACTGTACTATTAAATCCTTTTGCAACAAAATCGCAGACGTATACTTCTTTTCCAGCTCCGCGACTTCTATCCAAGCTTATGATTCTGAAATGCATGAATCAGTACTTTTAACCATTCTAGAAATGATCCCCTTTTATTAGTTTTTCCCGTTATCATTTTCGAAGAAAAAAACCCAGCGGAACTACGCCACTGCCTCATATGCTCCACTCCGCGCACACACCCCCAACATTTCGTACCTACCAGCTACCCGACAGCATCTCCAATCACTCTCGCACAATATGGCAACGTCGTGCCGTGCGTGTCTGCTGGCCGGCCGGTTGACGGCGCCGCGTGCCGGCCGGCTCGAGATCGATACGCTTTTCGGCGCATGCGTAACGACGCGCCGGCGCCATGGGGCGTGGCTTACGCATACAGCGGCGTTGCCAAACCTGTAGGATATTTTCTTAGGCCTACTGCGTCTCAGTAGTAAGGATTTCGGCCGGAGTAGAAATTTCGTTTATAGATGGGATTCGAGTGGCACAAATTCTCGTACAATCTTGTGATAGTCCAACGGCACAAAACTAAATTCGGTAAAATCACGACCTCTCAAGAACGGGATGTTATAGAGGGGCATTTACGATTTCTTGGAGCTATAAATGGGAGCTAAAGCTGAAGAATACGAAATATAATTCCACTAATACAATATATTCATACAAAATAACGAGTTTCTACAAATAGTGGAATCACACTCTATATTTATTACTAAAAACAAGTAATGCAGCCTTGGTGGGTGGGATTTTCTCTACCTAGTTTATTCAAACCTCATTTACTCCACATCAAAACAAATGAGCAAGAGATCGCTTGTTGCTGCTTACCCAGGCATTTATGGTCCGCGGACCAAAAGAAGCGCACGGATTCGAATGTCGCGCATTGAAGTTTGAGATTTGGATACACTAGACATATTTCATTTTTAATAACTGGGATAGTTAGTATACATCAATTTTCTAAGGTTTATGCAGTTTATCCTAGTTTTCTTTTTGCTTGTCTATCAGACATCGTAAATTAAATTCGCCAAGACAGCCAATAATAATATGATATTTACTCCAGATGCCAATAAAGCATAACCATTCATTCTATGTCAAAATGCCACATAATAAAGGTTTCTGGCAACTGGTGAAAGTCTGAAATCCAGAGCACAAGAGGATCACATTCTAAGAACACAATGTGTTATGCTAGAACAGCTTTGTCAAACTTCGGGTGGCAAGTTTTGTCACTTCCAAATCCTAAGAAAAAGGTTAAGCCACTCTTAATATTAATTAAAGCACAGTAATACAACTAAAATGAACAAAATGCGAAACTATTCATAATAGTAGTAGATATGAGAATTGGGTATGTCTTAATATAATTTTTTAATCCTTAGTATTAGGAATAACATGTAAATTCATCTAACATTTGGAGAATGTAAAACTTATTTTGCAAGGTATTTAGGTTAGACAAATCTTATTTGAAACTTCTAATCCATCGCTCAAATAAAGCCCTAAAAGCTTATCAGCTAATGGGAAACTTTCAGGTTTTATAAACAACTGTTATAAATCAATCTTTGCTGATGATATGTAACAGATAACATGATTTAGTTTTGTATCAAAAGATAATTGAAAGTTTGCAATACAATTTTCTCCTAACCTCAAATAGATGCCAACTTTCCTAATTTTTTTGTGATTCATGGGTCTCAGCATACAGTTTTCATTAATGTACATTTTTCATGGAGTGAACTGGTGAGAGTAGCATGAATGAATATTCATCAGTTTTCAAAAACTGCAGGAATGTTCCATTGAGAGTTTTCATCCAAGATAAGGCAGTCCAGTGGAGCAGTACTTTTATGGCTGAACACCTGAACAGTAGCAGCCATGGGATTGTCAGTTTGACAGCAATTTTCACTTGGCTGTCAGATTTGATAATATGTTCATTAATGTTGCAAACTCTCAGAGCTATTCCATGTTACTGCTATTCAGCATAAAAATCTGCACCACTGAACCCCTTTAATGGATGATGCTCATTATTCAGAATCTAAACAAATGTAATGGTCAAGGCTAACGTTAAAAAAATAATTATCATAACTGTGCTGGTCCAGATATGACATGTTTTTTTAGGTGCAATTCTAAGGGTCAAATTTCCGTTTTGTTTGCCACACAGCCATAAGATCATTGTTACTGGTATTAAACAGAGTCCCATTCTAATTTCATAATGAACTTTACAATATTTTGAACTCTGCCCTTTTATCTCTAAAATGTTATAAAATCAACGAGATAGAATACAAAAAGTTTTCACCTATCCCCTCATTTAGTACCAGTATATTGAATAATGAAATGTTGTTCCCTTTATTATGTAAATAAAAAATAAATAAATTCCTCTGACATGGTATCTCTTGTTTCCCAAATTTTAATGGTGATTGATACCTGAATTTAACCCAAAACATTCATATAATAAAAGAGCGTTCAATATACCAGCAAATATCTGAGTACAAATATATTGATTTAAGAAGGATTTTATCCTCTCTGTGTTAACATAAATATACAATAAACCTTGAAATACATTCTCAAATATGAAATCCCATTCATGGTAAACAAAGATAATTCATACAGGAAGTGCAGGCCTATCCGATACCCCATTTTATTTATCATCAAACTTTCCTGCAAATGCAATTGAATGAAAAACATGCAAGGACAATGTGAATCCTACAAAGATCAAGCCACTACAAACACGAGTTTATGAGAAGATTTCTATTATAACAAATTTAAATTGTCGTGTTTTTATTCTTACTTATTTATAGTCCAGAATGAAGCAAATGCAAAATCCTTGTGATTATAAAAATACATCAAGTTTAGAAATAAACCGTTGGAAATATCATTGCAATTTATAGATTAACGCAAAGTATACTTAATGTACAATAATTTCTAATATATCTGGTGCATCTAAATAATCTATGGGTAGAGATATCTTTAAAAAAACACCTTAAAAACATTAACAACATAACCATCAACATGTTGGACTGAATATGTGCACGTACTGCAGAACACGTCGAAAAATAATTTGTAAGGTACCTTACCTTCGTCAGAATCAGGCATGCTATCGAAATGCACTAATGACATATCTAAAAAATACAATAAAAATTATAATCTTTGTATTTTTTTAAATCGCAGAGTTTACTCACCCGCCATATTAGAAACACCAAAATGGACCAAAACACGGAACTCGAGAAAGACACCACGTGAACTTGACGTCTGTCAACTACCACCAGAGATACTACCACCAACAACATAAAAAGAACTATGACTCGAAATAGAGAGACAGACGGAAAGTTGGTCCCTGTATCGTAATGCAATTATTACAAAACTAAAGTAAAAATTGGTTAAACTTTGTAAACAATAATTGTATCATATACCCATGTAGTAAATAGTAGAAACATGCCTGCACCTGGAAGGCAGTGGCACCAATCCATAATCACAAAACGAGCAAGTCATAGAACATTACCTATGAAGAAATGTAGAACATAGAACGGGACTGCTGTTGAAAGATTTGAAACAGGGGCGGAATAGGTTCGGTGTCACCCCGAAAAAGTTCTGGAGAAAATCGCATAAAATCGTCTATAATGCAGTAAACCACTTCTTAATGTAAAGTACAACTAAGATTTTGAATGGTTCTATTTACATTCAGCGCCCAAATTTACCTACAGCAAGAGACAAAAATGGATATTTTGGGCAAGGAAAATTATGAAATATCGTAAAAAATCTGTATTCTTCTATGATATGGAAAAAAACTTGTTCCCTGGGTATAATGAAAAGTTTGCTCATCAGTAGCTAATTTTATTCACTTATGAAAGCGCCACACGGAAAATTTTCAGATATGCGTAACTATGAATCTGGACCAAAACTCATATTCCGTGTAAATCCGGCGTGTAGATCCCGAATTTGATATCAGTTTTGTCACTAGAACCGATGCATGGTTCCATTCACAAAACGTACACACTTCCTTTATGAGGTAAAGATATTTGTGAACCGCCAAGATTACGAGATCTCTAATCTTCGTGTGTTGAGACATAACAATCCTTTTGGTTTCTGGACTCCGTAAGACTGCGTCTTGTGACGTTTTATCCATATGAGTTGCTAGAGAAGTCAAATATTTTGAAATCAAAAGTATCAATTTTCATTTGATCTCACTGATGATGCTTGGAAATTTCGTGTACCTGAATTTTAAAAAAATCTCCACATATTTCACAAGTTTTCCTGAATCCACAAGTCATTTGGAACAGATACAAAAACACTTAGAATATCTACAATTTGTAAGTTTTTTCAATATTTTGATTACTTTGAGGCGAACGCAAAATATACTTGCCAGAAAGGTTAAAAATTTTCAAATCACAAGTGTCATTTTCATTTGCAGTCATACTGATTATGCTTGGAATCTTTCTGAACCAGACATCTTAAGAAATTCTACCTTTTTAATTTTTAGCGAGTACACGAGTCATTTTCATGAGCAGCTCCAAAACACTTGCGATGTTTAGATTTTGTCCGTTTTCCAATATTCTGATCGCATTAATCGAAGTAATTTTATAGACGATTCAAGGATTTTTAAATGTTTGGTGTAGCTTCCAAACTTGTTCAGTACCTATGCATAACAGATTTTTATGGGAAGTACCCAGTAAATATTTTTACTCATATTTTCTGGGTAAAGGAATAAAACCACTCATATGCTTTGCAAAAATCAAATGTTGACAAACATTATATTACAATACAGATTTTTTCTGCCAGATAAGCCTCTATTATATACATATATCTTTGTATAATTTACAGATAAATATAAAAAACCATCCTTAATCACATAATTAAAATCAATAAACAATCGTAAAAATAAATATATCTGCTTTTTTTAATACAAACCCGTCACTAAAAACGATGCAACAAATTTGTACAAAACGAACATTGCCTCGTAATAAAATTACGTTGGAGTTTAGCGGCACTGCGTGTCATGAAGTTGGAGACGGTGAATTATCTTCCACTACCAGCTGGAAGGGGGCCCGACACATTGGACACTCCAACAGCTGGCTGGCACATGATGCACAAAAACCTCTGAAAAAAAAACAAGTTAGCAAAAAAAACCGAAGCAGTTATTGCTCTCATTATTTATTTCTTGTTCAGTAGATGTAACGGCTCCAACTATTATTGAATAAGTGTTTGAGAAAACTATTAAATTTCAACAAGTACACGCTAATTGAAGTCATGAGATAATATTGAATCTTCTTAATAGTGCAAGAAATCATAGAAAAGGCAAACTTGATTTTACTATATAAAATTATAAGCAATAAAGCGTCAACTTATTTTAGCGAATTTATCTTGAAAAGATCTGGTATGCTGGCATATAAGACATAAGATCAAAAGGCCGTTATTTTATTGAAAGGTTCAAAACTAGGACATCGGAAAAATCTCTTTTTGTTGAAGGTTTGAGAACTTATAAGTTTTTCATAAGAAATGAAAACAGCACAAAATGTAACAATATTCAAGAGGAAATTAAGTACTTTTATTAACATGCTTTTATTAGCTTGATATTTAAAGGGTGTCTCAATAAGAGCGCCGGACTTGATTTTCAAGACAAACAATTTCTTTCCGAATTAAGCGAGTATTTATATTTCAACATGAAGTTGAATAGTTGTGATTAAACATGAAATAGGACATCCGGTAAATGGCCACCACGAAACCTCTGGCACAGGGTCAGTCTTTTCTTAAAATTCTGGATAACGTGTTCGCACAACTGTGGCTCGATTTTGTTGATAACGCGCCGTATCTCTTCTTTAAGGTGTTCAACTGTTTGCGGCTTGTTCACATAGCCCCAGAGGATGAAATCTATTGGCGTTCGATCGCACAATCTTGGTGTCCAATTTTGATCACCAAAGCGAGAGATGACACGATATGGTAACTTGGTTCGCAGTAACGCCATTGTTTCGCGTGCTGTGTGGCAGGTCGCACTGTCTTGTCGGAAACTCATATCCTACACACCAATTCGATCCAACTAGGGCCACAAAAACTCGGTTAACATTTCGCGATACCGCACACAATTAACAGTTACCGCAGTTCCAGCTGCATTTTCGAAGAAATACCCTCCAATCACTCCGCCACTCCACAATGCGCACCAAACGGTAACTCGCGGCGGATGCGTTGGTTGTTCGATTATTACACGAGGGTTTTGAGAACCCCAAATTCGGCGGTTCTGCTTATTGACGTACCCGTTCAGTTGAAAATGTGTCTCATCAGAGAAAATGATTTTCTTCGAGAAATCCGCATCAATTTGGTGGTGCTCCAGCGCCCAATCAACGAATTCACGGCGCTGCTCATGGTACGTTGGCTTGAGTTCCTGCGTCAGTTGAACCTTGCACGCATGCAAGCACATATTTTTATCTTTTGTCAAAATTCCTTGCAGAGTGGGTCTGGTAAGGTTCAATTCTTGGCCACGACGTCGAATGGAAGTACCTGGATTCTCGGACACACTTTCCCGCACTGCGCCTATATTTTCGAGGGACCGATCAGGACAGCGACTAACAGTGGACTTCACATTCAGCAACGTGAATTTTGTCTCAAATTTTCTAATTAAACGGCGAACTGTCGACTCAGTTGGCGCATTATTGCGACCGAAAATTGTACGTAATTTGCGAACTGCTTCCGCGTAATTTACCCCATCTTTGTAGTGAGTTTTCACAATAATTAAACGTTGCTCGTTTGAATACTGCTCCATGACGTCTAATCGCGTGGTCTGGACATGACAGCTGTCATCAAGTAAACACCATACCATTTGTACAAAAAAAAAATGGCGGCTACGGCAAATCCAGCGCTCTTGTTTAGACACCCTTTAATAATATTTAACGTCGTTTTTTATTTGTAATAACGTTCAGGAGGCGAGATTTAGATACAATATCTATTCTAACAATAATAAACCGTAATCAATGTAAAGGCGTGAAGAAAACATAAGGTCAGTTAAAACTTATTGGTTTCCAAAGATTATGCTGCTGATCAAGTAGGATTTCTTTCATTTTTTTCTTGAATTTGTTTCGTTTAAACTATGGTCGAAGGAATTCTATTTGATTGCATTGTAAATATAATGTGTTCTCTATATCTAATAATACCATGCGTATTACCTCTACGTATGAATTTGGTTACTAAATATGACGGTGTTTTTGAATAAATAACCCTATGAGTCAGACTGAAAAGCTGGTATTTATACATTTTATCAATTTCCATCCAGTTGAGGTCATTAATATATATGATCATATTTTCCGAGATCATTTACAATCCTGCAACCGTAGGCGGGGCCAGAATGTGTGCATGCTGCATGCACACGTGTTCCCTCGCTCGTGTGGCATCCCCCCTTTTCCCCTGTATCCCTCTATACGGTACCCCATGGATGTTTAGACCTTAGGCCTTCGTGGTAGCTGGAGTATAAAAAAATGTATTCATAATATATAATACTTTGAATACGATTTTTTGTTATAATATCTAGATAGGGATAATAAACCACTAAGCAATACGATATTTTTGTAAACAATAAAGATTCACACAATTGCTTTATATCGCCTTATTTGCAAATAAAAGTCTGATAATAGCATAACACTGGAAAATTAGTTGGTTTAGGTGTTCAACAAATTTTAAATCATCATCCATTATAATACATAGGTTCTTAGAATGATCAACAGTTACTAGTTATTTAAAAAGTAAAATATAATTTTCAAGTGTAGGAGAATTTGTGTTACTGCAATAGAAAGTCAAAAAACAAGTATGGCTTCTTAATTTGGAATAAGATCATAATACAAATGAAAAGATATTAACAAAAAATTCAATTATAGTGAAAAAGCGTGGGGTACAATTGAATATATTTTCATAATAACTCCAATATTGAAAATAGCAACAAAAACTAATTCTAACATTCAATATCAAGCAGTTTTAAGGGCTAATAATGTACTGGTGAAATATGTCTAATAGGTGCAGGTATACTAACATCAAAAAATTGAGATACAACCCTCCTCGCCACCTCTAAAGCCCACACGCCTAAATTTTTTACCTCTAAAATTGTTTGAAAAATGATCAGGATCCTCCGAGTCAAAAAACGAAACGAAAAGAAAAGTATAAGCTATTTTTTTTTCGTTTTTGGCCTTTTTCTCTGCTGCCACTGGACCGATTTTCAAAAACGTTTTCGATAGACAGACGGAAATGAGTGACATGGTTTTTCAAGATGCATCATATAACATCCAAAAAACATAATATCTCATTTTCGAAAATGTTCGCGATTTCAATACAGCTATGCATAACAGTCATTTCAGGAGCTAACTAGTATCAATTAGCAATAGAATTTCTTAGTTTGTAGCATCGTCTGCTTTCTAGATACATAAGATTTATTCAAAACAGGTACCTAATAAAGATCATTATGGTGTTTAGAAGTGCCTATTCCAAAGAATTAGGGCAGTAGGTTTCTCAACGGATTCTTATATTTTTCCTAGAAACCCTAACAATTTCGGACTTTTTCCAAAAAATCGCTTATAACTTGAAAAGTACGAATCTTAGCAAAAATATGTCTACGTGCCGAATGAAAGAAGACAAAATTACCTTTAAAATGCACTATCACTTTTAATTTTTGAGCGCAGTGTACCACCGCTACAGCGCACTGAAAAAGAGCAACTTTTTGGAAGAGAGAAACGCAGTCGTAACTCACCCCAGTCGCTTTATTATGGCGTTTCCTTCATCAATACCTGTTTTATTAATGTCCTATGGTGGATTCGTGGTTGGCAAACTTCAGATTCGGATTCAGCACACCGAAAAACATAAGAATCCGTGGAGAAACCTACTACCCTAATTTTTTTTTGTCAAAACTGTCATATGACTGTAGTAAGTATGGATTGAATTTTTGTAAAGCTAGTTAGTGATAGAATTATATCAGAAAAACCGATTTCCAGTAACTTCGTTTAGGGCCCTGAATCTCGATAGGTAGCCCCTTAGGACATTTTCTTATAGGAGCTGGTGGCATTATTTTTTGTGTTCTATATGCACAGTCAGCAAAAACCAAAATTTCACCAATTTTGGCCGAAAAAAAAAAAAACAAAATTGAAATCCCTTTAAAGTAAACTAATCTCAAAATACTCTTCGAAGGTCTTGTTGAGCAATGTTTTAACTTTTACATACCATGTTCTTATGGTTAGAATAAAGGGCATACCAATTCTGGGCTTTGTTTCGAGAAAATGTGTATGAGCGATTTAACGTCTGAAAAGCCATAAAAATGGATATATTCAATGTTTAAAAACTGACCCTGATGAATATTTTGAGATTACTTTATTCAAAGCGATTTTTAGCCTTGTCTGTTGGGCCAAAATTTGAGAATTTTTCGGTTTTCAGAGACTGTACATCAGAGATTGACATGTTATTCTGGCTGTGCAAATACTCACGAGTGCTCGCAAGGAATGAGCCGTATGGACGCCTTCTGATCATAACACAGCGTACAACTATCCTCTCCGATATTCTGTTCCCTGAGCTGGTTCAGGAATATGTGCCTGGGCAGCACCACCTTATCCTCGGACTTCAAATCTGCACAGTCATTGAACGTCGAGTAGTTCATCTTGGGAGGGTACTTGAACGGTTCCGCGCCGAAATTGAATCGGCACTGCTGGAACGACATGAAGCTGGCTGCTGCGAAGAATCCGGACCTGAAAAAATATCGTCAAGTAGATTGACTTTTATTATTATTACAACATAGAGCAGATTACCATACTATGAACCCATTACAAATGTAAAACGTAGCCTACGGACAAGTAACGTAAAATACATAAAATAAAAACAAAAAGTTCATAGTTATAAAGTTTGTTCACTGGTCCACCTATCACATTACACTTTGAAGCTATTGACTGACGTAGCGTTAGTTATGCTTTCTGGTAAACTTTTAAAAGTGTTGAATACTCGATTGAGGAGAAACCATTGACGGACTGTCGTTCTAAACGGCACCTTTTGCAGTTTGAAACTGTGACCGCGGAGACTGCTGCGTGACAGTTGGTATAGGTGCTTCAGGTTGGTGCCAATCAAGCCATGAAGTATTCTGAAGGTAACTATGAGATAGCATCGAATTCCTCGATCGGAGAATGTGTCGAGACGATCTTCATATCTGAGTCTGAGAAATCCAAATGGGATTTAAGTTGCCCGACTCTGTACTGCTTCGAGGAGATTTCTGTCGCGCATAAGCACAGTCTCCTATACATGCCCAGTAAATTCAAGAATTGGCCTTACAAATGTCTTGTATATGTAGTATTGTCGTCAATTCTTTTGAAAGACCTCTCCAGCAGGTATCGAAGATTCTTGGCATTAGTTGTAACGTGATGTATATGCTCTCACCAGGTTAAACGATCGTTGACTACAACGCCAAGATCCGTATGACTGGAAACCGCTTCGATAGTGCAATCAGAGATCTTGTATACGAGCCGCGGATTGATTTTCTCCAGCTGTAAGAAACAACAATTTGGAGTGTTTAAGGATAGACGACAAGTGTCCATTGACGAACAATGTCAAGACCTCGCTGAAGCAGAGCACAGTTTGTAATCGCGTTGTAAATCTTCGTGTAATCGGCATACGCAGAACATGTGGAGGCAAGTAAGGCAGGCAGGTCACTTGTGTACAAAAGGAAAAGCAAGACTAGCTATCACTGACAATTCCAAGACACTCCAGCTTGAGGAGTCTTCTGTGCGGGACGCGATCGAAAGCCCTAGATAAGTCTAGATATATTATGTCAACTGGAGTGTACTTCCACGCAATTCGACCAGAGTAACATGGAGGATTATAAACATGAAAACCGCAGGTGTTACTTTAACCAATAGAGTCAATCTACTTGAAACAGAGTTCTAACAGATATAATAAAATTTCAATATTTTTTATAGCTTTGTTTATATAACGTGGAATAATCTGTTTGGGATGGCAGTCTCCACGATTCAGATTTAGCAAGCACCAAGATACACCAATATTGTATCCCTAAATCCACCATTGGGATACAATTCCAACAGAGAGCTTGCCGTCTTCACTCCCGCAGCGGTCGATTCTGGTAATAGATGGGACTTTGCGTTGTATTCTTTCGATAGTAGTAACACTAGTAACCGTGTGTCAAAATTTCATTAAAATCCGAGTTAGATGGACCAAAGGTTAGTTATAAGATAGACAAACAGAGTGATGGACATTCTCGAACTGTTAGGCGATTACGATTGACTGGTTCTCCTTGTCTTCCCACAATGTCAACACGGGTGTTATCCAGGGATCGGTCTTGGCTCCGACATAGTTCCATTTACATATCCATGACCTCTATTCCTGTATGATCTACTCCATCCACAGCTTTGCTGATAACAGTACGCTACATGAAGGAATTCACAGTGCCGAGCTGATATCTGCCAGTAAGCTGGGAAAAAGAAGGCTGGCAGAGACTTCCTCTCTTGCGAGAAACCTAAAGGATTTCACTGCTTAGGGACGCAACAATATAGTATAGTTTGGAGCTTCCAAAACACAGTACTGTACCTTGACTAACGAGAAGCACTCTAGCGCTCATCCGGTTTCGGCGGATGGCCGAGTTCGACCAAAGAGCCGTTCACTTTAGGTTTGTTCGTACAGTGATCGGTAACTTGTCGGTGACTGTGTCTGAGATCTGGCCGTGTGACTCCTTCTATATAGCGCAGCAGAATGAACGGGATTATTGTGGCGGGATCTTGGTTACGATCACTGACAGGTCGGTGACAGATGTACGAAAAGGGCTTTTGGCTGGTCGTAGTCCAGATCACCAATGACTTGATCTGCCACGAACGCATCTCATCGCTTTTGTTTAGGGCTAAGAAGTACTTTTCTCCACATAATCCTCTCACTCTATATAAAGGCCAGATAAGACCAATCCTATAATACTGCTCACATGTCTACATTACTACAATATCCATGCTCGATGCTGTTCAGAGGAGGGCTGTCCGATAGATCGATGACCCTCGCACCGGAGGGTCGTTAGCGATCTAGATCTCTTTTACGCTACGCCAACGGGCTTTGCTCCTCAGAGATCTCATCCATGATGCCGCCGCGCGATGTGCCCGCTAGACAGACCCGCTTGACTTTGGCCTCCCATCCTAACTACAGTAATGGACAAAAGTATATAGACAAATATGAATATTTACCTAAATGCCTTTAGAAAACGAATTCATACTTCATTACTCCATAAAAAAATGCGTTATTACTAGAAAAACTAAATTCATTGTTTTTACATTATCTGCAATGAACACAACACAAGTCTGAATATAAGCACTTTTTTTATGTGGGACAAAAATATGTACACAAATTCTTTTCAACATTAGTTTCGTTTCAGAAGAGGATTAGATTGTGTTCATCAAGTATTGTGGAATAAGTTGAGTGATTTTAAGACCATGCTGCGTGGTCCAGAAATTTCTTTCGATGTGAAAACTAAAATCATTGCGTTATACAAAGATGGTCAACGTCAAGTCGACATTGCCAAAAATTTGAAGCTGAAGCGTAAAGCAGTTTGGGCAATATTGAATAAATATAAACAAAAAGGTATCTTGGAAGCCTCTAAGAGAAGTGGTCGGCCTAGAAAACTAAATGCTAGATCAGTTAGATTAATAAAAGAAATTTCGTCCAAAGATCCGTTTAAAACCCCAAGACAAATAAAAGCCGAAATCGAGACAAAAGGAATTGTTAGTGTTTCTACGAAAAATATAAGTAGAAGATTAAATGATTTGAAGTTATTTGCACGTCGCCCGAGTAAGAAGCCGCTAATCTCGAGGAAAAACCGTAAGGACCGACTACAATTTGCACGGTTGCATCTTGATTGGAGCATCTGTGACTGGAAGAGGGTATATTTCAGAGACGAATCCAAGTTCAATATGTTTGGATCAGACGGTGTTCATTACGTTAGACGATGTCCTAGTGGACAAAGATCGAACCCCACGTACACTTTGCCCACTGTCAAACATGGAGGCGGGTCTGTTATGGTTTGAGGGTGCTTTTCGGGGTTTGGGACGGGACCTTTACGTAGAATAGATGGCATCATGGATATGTTTGTATACACATACTAAAGCATTTCATGTTACCCTATATGGAAGACCATATAAGATCAATCTTCCCGCAAGATATTGACCCGAAGCACACTTAAAATCTCGCAAAGAAATTCTTTCTGGATGAAAAAATACCAGTTCTCAAATGGCTTCCACAGTCTCCCGATATAAACCCCATTGAAAATCTATGCGAATACTTAGATAAGCAAATACAAGATAAACATTATTCAAACAAGGATGATTTTTTTTGCCGCTTTAGAGCAACAGTGGAGACAGATTGATGAATCTTATATCAAGAAACTTCTACAATCTATGCCGAGACGATGCCAGGTGGTGATTGATAATAATGGTTATGCTACAAAATATTAACACAAACATGGTTGGTTTTCTATAATTCAATGAACTTTGCTTCTTTTTTCTATAATTGTTTTGCTATGTCTATATATTTTTGTCCTTCATAGTTCCAGTTGTTTCAATTAATTTTTTATTGAAGGAAGTCTAATGCATTTATTTATGTATAAGTGAGTATTATGCTATAACGAATTATGTATACAGTTTGGTGTATTAATAAAACAAGTTAACAAATAAATACAGCACAATATTTTGTCTATATACTTTTGTCCATTACTGTATGCCAAACTTCGTACATCCAGAACTGGCCGATACAACTGATCCATTGTTCCTAGAGTATGGAGATCTACTAAGAATCTACCTGAAGAGGCTTGTCCCAGTTTCTTTAAGCAGTCCTGGTGTTTAGGCTTGTGCATACGCGGCTGCTTGACTACAATAATGATAAGAAATTTCAACACTTCCTCTCCATTTAGCGTGGGAAGTAAAAGGGAAGTGCAAAAGAGCATAGACATATGCAAGAAGATATTATTAAAAGGTTGCATAATATTTTAGATGAAATTCGTTACATGCACGGCGCGGCGCACCTGACAGAAAAACTCTAAGATGCATTTTTTAGAAAGAATCAATATGCCTTCAAAACAATGATACTGTTTTTTACAAAAACCAGTAGCGTACTGTATACTTACTTCGCCATGGTGAACACATGCATACATGGTGGTAGGCTGTATCCATTAACAGAAAAGACTATCTTTTGATTGTCGAGATCCAGAAGGCAACCTAACATGTCTCCAGCCTGCCATCTAGGCAGTTCTTGGGAATCAGATTTTGCGTTGTACCAAATCAGTCGACGGCAACCGTCATAGGCCAAGGAGTACCGGTCGTCACCTATACCATAACCTTCCTGAAAACAAAAAAAAATAACACTTGATACATCTTAATCCTTGATAACGACTCATGGGTCTATGAGGTACTGTCAACTTTGAAAGCAATATTTTCAAATATCAATTTGCAAAACTTCTTCAATTATTGTATGTCCAAACTGCTCAGAAAATAATGCGTCATTTTATTAAATGACATATCCTGTTTCTTAAATAGTGTTTTATTTAAAGATTCTTACTTGTTTAAAAAATATATATTGTTTTATAGGAAGGTCAGATTGACCCTTGAATAGTGACAGTGTAAAATTTATTTTGAGTAATGACCAGGGGTTATAAATGTAGATACATATGCCTTAGACCCTTAGAACAGTTATAAATTATATTTCTAAGTTCTTCACGTTTTAAGGTTAATTAAAATAAACGCTTTTTTAATTCGTTAGTACGTTTATTTTCTCTACTATTATCACAGAGACAAAAATCAGGTATATTACGATTGTTAGGATTTCCGTCAGTGTCAATATCACAGTCAGAAAATAATTTCGAAAAAGTAAGTCATGTTTTTCTCTATGTTGTAATATGAGAATGCAGATTTCTTCAAGAGCACAACCATACATTTGCACCCTTTGAAAAAAAATCCTGAACGTAGTAGTAGAAATATTTTTTTTAGCACATTTGGCTACATAAACAGAATAATTGTAAACAACTTAGAATTTGTAAATTCAAGCCATATGATGTAAATGCTGGGCAACCTATAATTGTAGATTAAACAAGTGATTCCTCAATTTTACTTTAAATTTTGTCAACGTTTTCTGGTCTTTTATCTCTGTGTATATTATATTCAATCAACCCTTGATGGAATACAGATTTGTAGCATATGTTATATTTTTGGTCATTAAACGGAAGTCATCTTTATTTCTGGTTTTATGTAAATGATGGTCGACATTTGATGATGTTAAATTAGTTAGACTTGATGGATATATATTATTTTTTACTTTATAAATGAATATCATTACAAGATATTTGATAAAAAAATTACATTGAGCCATTTTAATTTGCTAAGCATTTGTCTAATTGGAGTATATTTATCTTTATTCAGTATTATTCTCATGCACTTACTTTGAAAAAAAATTGCAGTCTTTCAAAAATGGAATTATTTGCTATATGTAGAATAGTCTAACAGTACAAGAAATTTGGAAGAATGATGGTATTATTGATAATTTTTCTGCTATATGAACTCAGACATCCAGAAACTCTTGACTTTACTACTATTTATAACTTTTTCATAATGAATATTAAACATTAATCGAGAGTCAACAAAACCCCCAGGTATTTAAAATTTTCTATGAATTCAATATTTTCACCATCAATATTCAGTTGAACATTTGTACATTGCTTTTTTCCGATTGCATAGCTTTCATTTTACTTGTATTTAATTTTAGTCTGTTAGATGCTAACCATTTTGAGACAAGTTTCAAGTCTTCATTTATATAAGAGATACCAGTCTGAATATTTTTAGTACTTTTATAAATCATAGTGTCATCGGCGAAAATCTGAATTTTCAATCGTTTCAAATGCCCTCTTCAAATCCAAAAGTACTGCTATGACAACTTCTTCTGAGTCTATGGCTCTTCTCCAATTCTCAGTTACCAACTGGAAAGCCATTTCTGTGGAATATTTTTTTCGAAAGCCTCCTTGCGCCTCCGCTAAAATTTTGTTTTCTTCTATAAACTGCATTAATTGGTCATGCACTATGGACTCGAATAATTTTTCAATGTCTGGTAACACATTTACTGGTCTCATATCGCTGCATCTTTTATAATTTTTTATTTTGGGAACTGGTGTTATTGTAGAGCATTCAAATTTTCAGGAAAAGAACTGCTTCTCAGTGAACAATTGATCCAATTTAATACAGGATATCCCAAAATTTCGAAACAGTTTTTCAGCACGTTTTTAGTAGTGATTTCGGTACAGTTGTTATTTGATTTTAAACTGTTTACTTTTTTTCTTAGATAATTCAATGATACGTTATGAAATTTTGAAAGTGTATGCAACACTTCCCCCTGGAAACTGATTTTCATATAGTCAGGTGCAGCATTGGCATTACCCACAATATCAACAATACTTTCCACAAAATATTCATTTAGTTTGTTTGCAATCACCAAAGAATTTGTTTCGGTACCGTTTTCGAATTGAACTTGATTTACACAATCATGCGGCTTCGAATTGATCAGTCTTTTTAAAGTTTTCCACATCTTTATACTGTCGCACTTGTTATTATCGATTTGTTTATCGTAGAATTTCCTTTTTTCTTCTCTAATTACATAGACACATTTATTCCAAGAATTTTATATACCTCCCAATCTTCATTTGATTTTGTGAATATACATTTATTGTATTGTTTGTCGCTCAAATTTTGCGCAACCTTAATATTTTTGTTATACCAGGGTGTATTTTTTGTCGAGCAAATCACTTTTTTTCAGTTGCAAGATCTAAACAAGTTTTTATATTTCCTATTATGTTGTCATATATTTTTTCCATATTCTCACCAAAATTTCAATAGTAGCCAGCAAGTTCTCGTTCAAGTTTTTCGTACTTAATAGTATTAACGATTTTTTTAATTTTTGTATCAGAAAAATGTCCTACGGTCATTGGTATAATAGTGATTGAATAGGTGGTCACGCCAAGATCAAGGCAACGAATTCAGACTACGATTTGTCTCCAAAATCTCAGGATGAAAGTGTATAATGCAAGCAGACTTGACATGAGTTAATTTTTAGTGTTATTTTTCTTACATAATTTACATATAGCGGCACAAATCTAATGAAGGTAGATCTTTCCACCAGTAAGTATTATTATTATATTGATACAATACTTTGAGAGGCATTGATAATCAAATGAGTCAAAAGTATGCACTGAAACTACGCAATTTTGGCGACAAACAATGCAATGTAAGCATATAGGCTTGGCTCCTTCTAATGTATTTGAATTTGTTGGTTGTGACGATGGAAATTGCATGACTAAAAATCAATGCGTAAGTGTAGCGACATTTTGCTTACATGATTAAGAAAATTGCTATTCTTCGTCGCCCATCCGATCTGCATAACCCCAGGCGTGATGATGCACACTTCATAATACCAAACACCCGAATCAGCTTGCGCAGTACACCTGACGCTTTCAAAAGAGTACGCGTCGCATCGCGCCTCTAGGCCATCTGGAGAGATTTTCAGGTACTCGCTAACGTCCGACGTGTTCAACATTGCGTTTATGTGATCCATCTTGATCGTCTGGTATGAATACTGACGGTTCTCCATTATAACTGAAACGAAAAACACATAAGCGTGCATCAAAACCCTACACGCTTGAGAATTAACAGTACATGTTGAAGAGTAAGAGTAGTGAATTAAACTAGATCACAATACACGTGCATAATTAAAAAATACATATAAGATTTTTACGAACATGACGAATGAGGATGATTTTGACATTCCTGCTCTAACGGAAACATGGTTAAGCCCTGACATCACAATGTAGTTAACATTAGAAATTTTAACTTTTTGTAAGGACAGATTGTCTAGAGGTGGTCGTTGCAGTGTTTATATTAGACAAGATATTTGTACATTTGCTGAGATCATTGATGATGACGTCATGCTAAACACACTTCTATTTTTAGAGCAGCTGTGGGTAAAATAAGGATTGATCAGCATGGTTTTGCTGTAGGTATTCGAGTAATGTATGGTCCCCCTTCACAAAGGCTAGCTGATTGTACAAATGCCTTAGACTGTCTTGTCTACTAACAGCACATTAGGTAGTTCTAAAAAGAGAGCAATTTGCTTATTCCAGAGAAGATTTTTAACTGCTGGTGATAATATCTAGAGTAATGGAGGCTACTAGTGAGCAGTGGTAAATTGGAAACAGTGATCGAAGCGACTTTTTGGAAGTTTTACGGATATTTATTTTGAAACATATTAGTGACATAAATTGTCAGGTTTTCTGAGTCAAGTTCTTTCTTGAAAAACTGTCGAGGTGAACCATATGGAGACTGATGAAGATGGGACTGAAGCTGGTAGAAAATCAAATGAGGTGAATGTATCACATGAAGGAAAATGATTTTGTGTAACAGACATTTTAAAGATAATAGACTATACTATTTCAATACAAGAAAAACTGATAAAAGAACTATATGAAAAAATAGATAAACTAAATAAACAAATTGAGAATTTACAAGATACATCTGCAAATAACAGTAAATCTTATGCAGACATGGTCAAAAGTTCTACACATGAAATCACCCACATTACTTCGCCATGTCAAAAAAAAAAAACGGTAAAATTTACTAAAAATATAAACACAACAACACAACCGGATAATACAATTGTTATTAAACCTAATTATACAAATCAAAGTTGTAGGCAAACAAAGAAGGAATTAAGCAAGTATATAAATCCAGCAAAAATGAATTTGTCTATTAAAAAAGTAAATGATCTGAAAGATGGAGCACTGAAAATTGAATGCAAGGATATCGATGATATCAAAAAGTTAAAATTGGAAATAGAAAAAAGTGTTGGACAGAATCATAAAGTGATGTTGTAAGAGTAAACACAGTTTCGAAACATACAGGCATACTAATTTACAAACTGAGTATGATTGATGTAAAAACACATAATACTGTAGTTGTACAAAATTACAATGTACACGTTTACTACAGATCTCCAAGCTGTAATATCAGCCGATTTTTGGACTTTTTTGAGAGTGTTTGTGAAAAACAGTATTATCGAAATTGCTCCACTGTGCACTTGGGAGACTTCAATATAAATATATATAATCAAGATTTTTATGTAAAAAAATTTAAACAGGTACTGAACTTTCATGGTCTATGGCAAAAAGATAATGACTACACAATGATTACAAACTTTTCACGAACTAAGATCGATTTAATAATAACCAATGAACAGAATTTGAGTATTAAGGTTTTACATACTCCAAAAATAAGCGACCATTCGTGGATATGTTTTGAGGTGGAAAATATGTTTAATGAGAGAGAATCAAGAGAAATCACCATTACTGACTGAAACGTTACGAGAGTCACTCTTACAAGCCAATATCACTGAAATTTTTAATGATGTTGAGACTTACTTTCCGTGTCTCGATGTTATTACTAGAAATCAGATTCAAATTGTGCAAAATAATTGTGCTAGGTTTATCTGCGGATTAAGGTACTTTGACCATGTTTGTGGTAATCTTATTGAATTAAGCTGGATGAAAACAAAAAATATTGTCAAATACCATTATCTCGTATCCATTCTAAACTAATACTTATGTCCAAACCTAGATACTCAAGAGAAAAGCTTATCTTTAGGCGTCATACACACGATAGACATATTAGATTTCCAAATTTGATAACTACACCTATTCGCTCTACAGCTTTATTCCAGCGTTATTTTACGTACAGTGCTGCAGTTTTATACAATGCTTTGAGTCCTGATGTCAAAAACATGTCCTGAATTGCTTCAAGAAAGCTGTGAAATCTCATATCTGCTTGGACCCATAGTATAAATAGGTTGCTTTTGCCTATATTGTTAAATGTTTTTCTTTTTCGTTACGCCACTATCCAGGTGTGATGGGCATATGTTTTGACTTCGGCCTGATGAAGCCAATAAGCAGAAACATATGTTACTCGGGTTACCAATCCTATTTCTGTTGGCGTTGGCTCCATGAAATCTCATCGCGGTATTTTGCTCAGAGTATCAGTATACTCATAATCTCACCGTTATTCGAAAGTCGTGTTTACGTCACGGTTTTAAATCAGATATCACAGATATTCAAAAATAGCGGTATCAGCCATCTCTAAAACTAATGTTACTCTGTGGATTCCTCAAGTCTAATGAAACAATTCGCAGACGATTAATGATCTTAAGCAAAACATTTCTCAAGTTACTAGTGGAATAGTGCCATAATTGTGATCAAAATGTTACTGACAATTTTCGTCAAAGTATAGTCATTTGTACAAGAAATATATTAGTATATAAAACATACCTTCGAGAAGTATCTATAAATGTCTAAGTCAAGTTGTTGAAAATGGAAAAAATATAAACAAAAAAACTTACATAGATTATCTAGAATCCACTGAGCACAGAACCCAACTTGTCTCTTCACATAATGCGTTTCATCTTTCCATTTTTCCAATGAAGTTATTGGGCACACTTCCAAGCTTTTAAGCTTTATCAGTATAACCATTTTGTTTCGACTAGTCTGTGCAAATTTTTCTAAAGCTATCAAGGAAAATAGAATCACATTTGGGTCAGTATCTTGACTCTGAAAAAAAAATGGACATAAATAAAAATAGGCAATAAAATATCAGACTATGTATGGGACGAGTGTTGTCTCCAGTTGATACAAGTCGACAAAACTCGGTGCCTTGGCGTAATTTAGGATGCTAATTTTGAATATAGATATCAGAAACTGTTGACGTGTAAAGAGATTTAAGAAAATTGGTCTTACAATCGCAGTGAAAAACTGACAACAGTTTCGTGATCCACGTACTCGAATCACCCAGAACACGGATTTCAGTAAAAACTGCAGATACGCATATATGCCTTATTCTTTTCCTCGTGGTGGATCATGAAGTATTTGAAATTTGAAGTAACAATTGTGGTTATGTTGACAGCTAAAATATCATTCAAGAAATATTAGAAAATTAGTTTCAATATTTTACATTTACGGAATGAGACAATCTGATGCGTTTTCAGTTCACCTAATGGGACTAAATCGCTTGTCCGAAGATAAGCATGTTTCAGGTGAACCTCATTTTCTCCTCAACGCCTATGTGAATAAGCAAAAGAGCCGCATTTGGGGATCGGAAAATCCGCACATACATAAATATGTGCACGTTTTATCTAAAGCTGTATGTTGGATATATTTTTTATTTTTGCTGCAACACTGATGTAGCCGATCACTGGGTACATTTTCCATCCGTATGTACACGTGCAAAATTGTAAAATCGAGGTCTGTTCATGTTGAAAATTCATAGTTTCTACATGGACTTATCAACTGAAAATCGTACCAGCTATAAATGTGTAGAAGTGAAATACTTTGAAAATTAATTTGGAGTTGTAGTGCATTAACGTAAAGATATATCTGCAGTTCATCAAGAATTAAAGTAATTTGCATTTTACCTTTTTTGCGGTTTTGTATTTGGAACCATAGGCATAGCTATTTCCCTTAGTAATGACATAATGAAGTGTTGGAAATGTGGGAAATGGAGGCTTCTACTTGATTTTGCCATATTGGATTCTGTGATAGAAGTTTTTATGAGATTCCAGTATTTTTAATTTGAATGTTGAGTGACGCCTACCAGATTTATTGGGTCAAGTATTGAGACAAATACATAGTATAAATATGGAGGAGAAGACTGAAGGGGATAAAGCTGATGAGGAAGTCGCGAGTGTGGTCACTATTCGTCATTTGTTTGTCTGGGCGGTCCGTAGGACCTTTTCCCATTAGTCACTGTCTAATGTACGTTAGTCGAATCTGTCAGTCCTGGTTGCCCAGAAACCAGACAATGTCAAGGAAAGAGAGAAAGTGAAAGAGAAGAAAAAAGGAGAGGAGCAAAGAAAAACAGAAGTGTTTAGTTTAAGAGGAAACACCTAGGCTTTTTGACTTGGTACTCGGTTTAATTTTGAGGTGAACTAAAACAAATTTTGATTCGGATTTTGATAGAGTGTAATTTTGAGTTTACTAAAAGTTCGCGCTAATTTTTTATTGCAGTACGAGCCGTGGCTTAAATGTTTACGAACTTGCTCCACTGTGTAGTCCTCGAGCGTGTGGTCTCACTGGGTGAAAAGGGATTTTGTACAGAGGAGATTTTGAAACTAAAAGATTATACGATTTCGATTCGAAAAAATTAATGAAGGAATTGTACGAAAAGATAGATCAATTAAACAAACAAATTGAGAAGATGCAACAGCCGTCACAAAAACAAGTACTACTCCTGATACGCTGATATGGCTAAAACTTCAGGGCATGAACATTAAGCCATTAATTCGCCTACAGTAGTGGTAGAATATAAGCAGCAATGCTTACCATTGCAAACACATACAGCAAAAAACAATCAACAGTATTAAAATCCACAAATAAGGTCACTATTAAGTATAATAACCAACAAGAGTGTAATAACACAAATAAAGACATCACAAAATTTGTGAATCCTACTAGTTTAAAAATTGCAATTGTAAAAGTTTATGATCTGATGAATGGTGGGTGAAAATCCGATGTAAAACAAAAGATGATATCGAGAAGCTACATAAAGAAGTTGAATCAAAAATGCCAGAAACATATACAGTGAAAACTCCAGAGATAAGTAAAAAACTACAAATCATAATTCTTGGATTTTGTGAAGAATATGCAGCAGACGAGCTAATAAATAATATAAAATCACAAAATGAATCTTTACACGAAAGTTCACATATGAGAGTAATTAATGAATGAGGGTTTTATTTTTATCGACATGTCTGAGTGCTCTGTTTTTAAGTACATCAATGATTTGCAATGCTACAAATGTACCGGGTTTAACCACAAAGCTAGATGTATTACTTGCGGATTAAATGGACATTCAGCAGAAAACTGTAGTACCAGTGAAATGTACAAATGCTGTCCAAATTGTGCATTAAGTATTAATCATGGACCATGTGACAAAAATTGAGAGGTATATAAAAAGAAAACTGAGCGTGAGAAGGAAAAAATTAGTTATTTAAATGAATAGCAACTACTAAGCCAAGATTTGCAACATGTAGCTTGTAGCTTTTACCGTTCACCAAATAGTGATACGGATCCGTTTTTAATGTTTTTTGAAGAGAAATGCGAAGACATGTTTAAAACCCAACAAAAGTACCGACATCACTACCAAACCGCTGAAAAACAGTTTCAAAATTTTAGAATCTCCTGTCTTAAATTGGATCAATTGTTCACTGAGAAGGAGGTCTTTGCCTGAAAATTTGAAATGCTCTACAATAACACCAGTTCCCAAAATAAAAAATTCTAAAAGATGCAACGATATGAAACCAGTAAATGTGTTACCAGACTTTAAACAATTATTGGAGTCCATAGTGCATGACCAATTAATGCAGTTTATAGAAGAAAACAAAATTTTAGTGGAGGCGCAAGCAGGCCTTCGCAAAAAATATTCCACAGAAACGGCTTTCCAGTTGGTGACTGAGGATTTGAGAAGAACAATAGACACAGAAGAAGTTGTCAGAGCAGTATTTGAAACGATTGTTAGAGATATTTTGTTAGATAAACTGAAAGCATAGGGTATATCAGGAAATGTTTTAAATTGGTTTAAAAATTACTTGTCTACAAGGATGCAAGTTACAAAAGTTAATAGCACTAGTTCACCAAAAATTGAAAATACGTTAGGTGTTCCACAGGGCAGTATCCTGGGACCACTTCTTTTTATTTTATACATAAACGATTTACCTGCCATAGTCAAAAAATGCAAAATTCAGATTTTCGCCGAAGACTTATAAAAGTACTAAAAATATTCAGACAGGTATCTCTTATATAAATGAAGACTTGAAACTTGTTTCAAAATGATTTAGCATCTAACAGAATCGAAAAAAAAACAGTGTACAAATGTTCAATAAATATTGATGGTGAAGATATTGAATTCATAGAAAATTTTAAATACCTTGGGGGTTTTTGTTGACTCTCGATTAATTTTTGATATTCAATATGAACAAGTTATAAATAAGATTAGTAGTAAAGTGGAATATTTATCAAGAGCCTCTGAGTTCATATAGCAGAAAAATTATCTATAATACTATCATTCTTCCAAATTTCTTGTACTGTTCGTCTATACTATATTTAGCAAATAATTCTATTTTTGAGTGACTGCAAATTTACAAAACAACTGCATGAGATTTTTACTGAATAAAGATAAATAATACTCTAATTAGACAGATGCTTAGCAAATTCAAATTGCTCAATGTAAAAAAATATTAAATATCTTGTAATGATATTCATTTATAAAGTAAAAATAATATACAGGGTGGCCCATCCATGTGTGGACGGGATATTACTTATAAACAAAGACATTTTGGGAAATCTATTTATGACATGTTATACAGGGTTTGTCCAGAAAGTAATAGGACTGAGTCGATTGAAAAAAATTTATTGAGCCAATCGTTACAATTCTTTAAAAACTTTCAAAATAGGCTCTCTCCGCGTCGATGCAGCGTTGCCAGCGCGATTTCCAAGCATTGAAGGCGTCACGGAAGGCATTCTCCGGAATAGCCTTGAGAGCGGCGGTGCATGCTGCTTGGATCCCCTCTGTCGTCTCAAAATGCTTGCCTTTCATCGGCCTTTTCAGGCAAGGAAACAAAAAAAAAGTCCGGGGGGGGGCACATCTGGGCTGTAGGGCGGCTGCGGAAACGTTGGGATGCCGGCCTTGGTCAGGTAGCTGTTCACAAGAAAGGCGGTGTGAGCCGGGGCGTTGTCGTGGTGCAACTTCCAGTCGGCTGCGATGTCTTGTCGGACCCGACTGACCCTTCGTTTGAGTCTCCTGAGCGCTTCCACGTAAAACTTGGCATTGACGGTTTGTCCAGGAGGAACAAATTCATGGTGGACGATGCCTTTGATGTCAAGAAAGACAATGAGCATCGTTTTCACTTTGGATTTGCTCATTCTTCCCTTTTTTGGGCGAGGAGACGCCGTCGTGTGCCACTCGGAAGATTGCCTCTTTGTCTCGGGATCATACTCAAAGATCCACGACTCGTCACCTGTGATTACGTTATTCAAAAATTGGGGTCACTTTCACACAAGTCGAAGGTCTTCCAACACGGTCTTCATCAGCGACCTCTTCCCGGCCCTCCAAAAAGGCCTGGTGCCACTGAAACACACCACTTCTTGCTAAAGCAACACCTGGGTAAGCCTGCTTGATCATATCAAACGTCTCTGTCGCAGATTTACCGAGTTTCACACAGAATTTATCGCGTATCTCTGCTATAACGAACGCTGCATTTTCGGCTTGCACCACTCACAGAAACACGTCGCGCGAAAATGCCTGTCCTGACTCTGCAAGTGCTCGGAGACAACTGACCAGCCGCTCATTCGTTAGCTAGGAACGCCCTCTACCGAATCCAGTCGGTGCGCGCACGCTCCGAAGTACAGTCATGGCGGAAGAAAATGAGTCCTATTACTTTCCGGACAAACCCTGTATATGACATTTGAGGACACATTTCTAAAATATTGGCAATTATACAGGGTGACCCAATTTTGACCTACATATCAAAGTTGTTGTGACTGTTTTAATGGAATGCCTCAAATATTTTGCATATTTGGATAAACCAATTCAAAAGAAGACGAGTGATATAATGGGGTTTTGGTAATTAGCTACTGAGATGTAAGGTGTTTGTCCAGAAAAACCGTCAATTTCGGCAACCCCTCAATCCGCCATTTTGAAATTTGGAGTGCTGAATTTTGTATCAAAAAAAACTTACACACCTCAGCTTTTATATTATTTGTTATTTTTTCGAATTTTCATTTTTGCTCATACAGGGTGGTCGAAAACGCGAATTGTACTTTTTCTCAAAAAATTAAAATGCATCACCCAGTATATTTGTGCAAGTTTGGATTCAATTTTTTATGAGCTTTTTTTTGGTACAAGGTTTTATTCAGATAAAATTACTAGATTTTGGGTTATTAACCTTTTAATAGAACAACACACAAAAATTAAGGACAGAACAGTATAAATCAGCTTCAATCATAATAGAAAAAACTATAACAACAACATGAACAAACAACTATCACTACTCAAGACCTAATCTACGAAAACTGCTCGAAAATATCTCCTCCATGTTGAATACACAGCCGTAGTCTTTGGATAAATGACCTTGGCACATCCTTCAGCATGTGTTCCCTTATGTTCAGAAAAGCATCCTTAATCCTGTCCTTCATATTTTCCGGAGTAGATGGTGGATATCTATAAGCCTCTTGCTTAACGTAGCCTCATAGAGAGAAGTCCATCGGTGTCATATCTGGTGATCTAGGAGGCCAAGATATAGGCCCATCACGACCGATCCAACAATTGTTACTCCAGGTGTCCAAACAGTTACGCACACGATTATGATAATGCGTAGATGAGCCGTCATGTTGGAAATACATTATGCATCCGAGTTTGCAGGTTGACATCCTCCAAAAGCAAAGGCAAATGCTCCATCAAAAAATTCAAGTATTCTGTACCAGTTAATCTGTTTTTGAAAAAGAAAGGCCCAATAACTTGTCTGCCAATAACTCCTCCCCAAACATTCAAGATCCATTTATTTTGGAAATCTATTTGTCTAACCCAGTAAGAGTTTTCCGTCGCATAATAGTGCATGTTATGCCTGTTGACAACACCTATGCTGTTAAAAGTTGCCTCATCGCTAAAAAGAACCTTATTCAGGAAAGTAGTGTCTTCAATCACTTAATTTAGCATTATTCTACTAAACTCCATTCAGGCTGCGAAATCCTGAGGACGAAGTCCTTGATGCAAGCATAGGTAATATGGATGGTATCTATGCTTGTGAATAATCCTTTGGACAGAAGTTCTGCATATATCAGTTTCTGCTCCAATTTGCCGTGCACTTAAATGGGGATTTTCACGCAACTTTAATCGAACCTCCAACTGATTCGCCTCATTGGTGACACTTGGATTATTTATACATTTTTTACTATATTCCACTGCTCCACTTGATGCAAAACGTTTTCGTAGTGTGGAAAACGTTTCTGGCCTTGGATGTCGCATATTAGGGTACCGTTACTTATAAATGCGATGTGCTAGGAAACTATTCCTTTGTGCTTTGGCCAAAACGAAAACCATATTCACCATTTCTTCTTTAGAAAAATTGATTTTCAAACAGGTTTTTATTATAATGCTCATAAACCTAGTTTTTGGAATTGTTGTTTATAGCAGCTAAACTGATAAGGCCAGAAGAACAATGGATGATCTATTTGCATCATTGTAGTAGTTATAATGACAAGTTATTCTGTGTAGGGCTCAATCCAGTTAAAATGGATTCAGGAACCTGGAAAGTCCGCCTAGCAGGCCTAACATGCAGTGGTAACAACAGAAGTCAGAAGATGGCAGACAATGCAGAAAAAATATCCAATCATCTTACAAATTTCTACTTCCTCTTGTTTGAAGAAAATGTTGTTGTGTCTTAAAGTCAGTTATTATTATGGAATGACAATTGACTTACCAAATTGGTTAGTAAATAGTCTATAATACCATTATTTAATATATCCATATTCCTGGGACCAGCTAGCTTTTCAGCAATACACCCCAACACCACACATATATTCCTTTGTCTAGGAGGATTTGATCTGCCATGCAGTGCAGCTTCTTTTGAAAGATTCAACATTTCCACAACCTAAAAGTAGTCCAAAATGTGATGCCAAGCAATGGGCAACATAAACTGTGTTGTTGCAATCGTTAACATATTCTACCAGAAGTTATACCCAACTCAAATGAATACCTTATGCTTACAACTATATATGTCCAGAGACAAGAGACCAAGCCTAGGCTATGCTGATGATGTAGCCAAGAAGCATGAAACAGCTGTTAATAGTTGGCTGCCTTTTTGGTTGGATGGATGAACTCATAATGTTTAACTACATATGTGACAACCACCATCTTTAGACACCATCATTACCACCTCTCAGACTGTTGCCTCAGACATTCACAGGATACGACCTTGGGAATGATTATTAAGACTTGACAGATGATCATTCATTGGAAAGTTGATGCCATTCATGAGAATTTTCTTTAAAAGGAAAATAATATGTTATATTACTTAAAATTACCGTGATTCTACTTGAAAACATGACTGGGATGATGAAAATTGTATATATTGTGAATGTTCACATACAGCATTGGGTTGGGCAAACTCAAGGAGAATATGTTAATCAATAATTAAATACTGTCTCAGTAAGGTATAAGATTCTGTACAAGGTTGAAAAACCTAATCATGTTTCAGAATAGTGTTGCATTATACCTTAACAACAGACTCTTTAGATGGTAAGGGGCAGTCATCCAGCAACAATGTGATGACAGATGGTCCTAGGGGTTCTTCCAGAGGTATCACATTGATCATTGCATTCACCACTTGGATCCAGCCTTCTTCATTGTCAGCTACATCATGCAATGTCAACATGGAATGGGGTGGCTCCTGTTCACTATAAAAAAACAATCAATCTCTATTCTTATATATGTTTGCTTAGTTGGCACAAAACTATTCAAGTCTAAAAAACTACACTAGAATTTAAAACAACAGTATCTTAGTGCAGTAAAGTTCAGGTTCTATCAAGGTCCAAGTCTTAATAATTTATTGATTTATCCTAAAATATACAATAAGTTACCTTAAGAAAAGAAAAGCTTGTTGGATATAAAAGTATTTAAAAACAGTATTCATCAATTGTTAATGCACTTAGAACCATATGACCTTCAAGAATATTTTAAAATGTAAATTCTGTATATGTTGTGTTTGCCTTTTTTTTGTTTCTTTGGTTTGTATCACTTGTTTTTTTTTCGTCTCATTGACACTGTAACATATATTTCACGTAACAGTGTGTAATACACAGTAATGATGCACTGTTAATTTGAAATAAAGATTTATTATTATTATTTCGATGGTAAACTATTTTACCATGAACAAGTCAAACTTTGAATCTTTACCATACATACATGTTCATATAATGTGGCTATATACAACAATGAATAAATATCAAAATTACAATACATTTCAAGCTTACAAGTCAAAAATACAACATTATAGGAAAACCCCAAAAAGATCCAGATCAGCACTATCATTTAGATCACAGATGAGTCAATTCAGGCTGAGATTTTAGGCATGACTAGTCAACTGAAGATCATCTTAAATTACATCTCTGGGAAATATACTCGTAAGTCACAGTTTTATTTGATTAAAGTTTCGTTTTTTTTTTTTTTTATACTCCAACTACCACGAAAGCCTAAGGCCTAAGCACCCATTGGGTACTGTGGGGCTATAGGGGGATACATGGGAAAAGGGGGGACGCCACACGGACTCTGGCGAGGGAACACGCGTGCATGCAACATGCACACATTCTGGCTCCGCCTACGAGAACCGCCGGGTGGTACCTCCGCGTTCGACAGTCAGAGACCATCTACCACCTACAGACAATCACACCATCCATAGCCAAGAGAAAGATTTCTCCTGGGACGAGACTCGAACCCGCACAGCGCACGGCGACTGATCAGGAGACCGAAGAGTCTACTACTGCAGCCACCGCTGCTGCCTAAAACAAACACACAACATCCATGGTGAAGGCGAGATTCGAACTCGCGGCCCGGCCGGCCGGCTGCTAGCAGAGCTGTCTTCTTCAGTCATTGATCCTCACGTTCTAGCGCAACTCTATGTATAATTTGGAGATTCCTCCAAAAAGGCATGATGCTGTCATGTGGGATATAAATCAGACAAAATTATTGCTTTTGACTTTCGATGGGGTAGCACTACCAACTTCCACACCAGGTGCCACCCAAGGTAGCTACCCCATTGACTATGACATTTTTTATAGGAACTTTTAGCATTATTTATTAAATGAATTAACATATCATAAGCTGAACTGAAGATGACTCTATTGAATTCTGAAAATAGTAATCTCTCAATAGTTGTCACATAATCTGGATTTTATAAGTTGAACACAACTTGATGGGTCTCTCAATATTCCTGATGACACCAGATGCTTCACTTCCCCTTAGACCCACTCTTTCTAAAGGGGGTTGGGCACATGTGACATATGACATAAATATAATGCAGTTCACGAATAGAATGTTATGCTTTTCTATAGAGTAAAATGCATCGAATGAGATATACTTACTTGTCAACTAGAGTAGCAATCACACCCAAAGTTTCAAGCACCAAATATTCCACAAATGTATACTGTGTATTGGCAAAATAAACAGGATCTGTGTTTGAAATATTCGTGGATGTTTGAGGAATGTACGTCTCTGTATCCTCATTTTTATTCTTACACCAGCACATACCCATACTTGACTGCTATTGTAAACTACATAATATGAGCTGATGTTCAATGTTTACCTACACAACATCATTCATGTTGGAGTTAGCATATTCACGATTCTGAAGGTAAATTGTGACAATTTCGATGATAGGTGGTGGCGTCCGTCATGTGAAGAATACATTTACCGATATAATAATGTGCTTCTAAGGAGGTAAGTAATCGTGTTAATGGATGTAAAAAGGACTTATCATTCCTAATAATTTAATTTTTGGTTATAAATTATGACTTTTGATGACATGTCACGGATCGAATGACGCGCGATCCAGTGTTGTCGCATTGCATATAGCCCAGGCATAGCGGATTTTTTTTTTAGTTATAAATGGATTGGATACAGATAGATGCATAGTCTTTTTATTTTTTGCCCTCTGTTATTGTACAAATGGATTGAACTGAAGGCACTTTTGTTTACGAATATTCAATGAGAATGATGATAAAGATGAGCTGACTAATGTAGTTTTATTCCGTAGTTTCCAAAACAAATTACTCTTATGCTACTATTTCCACGCTCGCTAAATATGTTCCTGGTTGAATTAACGGATGGTACAGAAAATAAAAGAATTACTTTGCCTCATAAAGCTGTCATTCAAGTGTACAGTGATGTGACAAAACAATAATCAAATTCAAGCGGATAACCAAATGGAAATGGTATTTACCATTTTGGGTTGGTATTTACCAATCCGTTCAAGCGAGTGTAGTTATCAGTTTGGTTATAAGATCCGTGACGTCACGACTCAGCTGTTATATGTCATAGTTATCACCGCAAAATTGTGGTATTTACCCAACTCAAAGTAGTTTTATATTTCTGATTATTGTTTGAAATGTGACAAGTTAGAATTTTGCCGGGTATTGGATATTGTTAGTGTACTTCAGCTTTATTTTTGAGAACTTCAGTTTTACCATAAAGTGGAGCACCTTATTAGTTATACGCATTACGGTTGTTGGGGACACTTTAAATGTAGTTCCTATGCTTAACAAAGTATCCTGTGTAGCCATATACCACAAGAATATTAAAATATGGCCATATAAACTCATTAGATGATATCCACCTGTATACGGTTTTGTCTAATTTCTTTTTTCATCATTTCTGCTGAATCAATAAATGTTTTCTTTGACATGCGGAAAAATTTAGAGAATTGAAAGTTATCATAGCTACAAAGCCATGGTTCCATCATTAAAAAAAAAATCTGAAAAAAACATTTCTCCCATGAATATTATGAAAGGTTTCTTATAGTCCGTACCATGAATGTTGGCGTACACGTCATCATTTGTACATTTCCGAGCAAATAGTTTTGAAGTAGGCACTTTCTACCATAGGCGAATATCCATAGGCGTGCCCCCGGGAAGAGATTTTTAGTAGTAAAAATGTATTGTGTCAGGCGGCAAAAAGTATTTTCTTTATATTTCGAAAATATTTGCTGCACAAAACGGCAAGTCTTGATTTATTGTTATTTGAATGCGCGATTTAAGGAACATATTTCAATTTTGCAGGAAATGAAGAAAAACAGAATATTTTCTGAAAAAGCATAACATTGAGAAAAATATTGAAATTTCAGTTTTAAGTTCTAAAATTAAACATACTCGAACATATAAGGTAATTAATAGATTTTTTTATTTGTACTGGTAGATAGCGTATATGAACACAAAGTTACGATGAATTACCAGGCTCTATCACACAACAATTCCTTCAAGATTTCATTGGTAGATTTGACCGAAATAAATATCGCTGTCTTAAAAATCTTCATCTGAACTGCTGTCGTCTCCATTGATTGTGATAATCACTTCTGGCACATTATCCAGGATTTGTTGTCTGTTATACCATGCATCTATAACTCCCTCCGTGTGTGTGACAACAGAGGCCCATCTTTCAGGAGTACAGTTTTCCATTGCCTTCTGCCACATGCCTAGCACTTTGTCAGCGCCATAACCTTCCTCGCCTATATGGGTATCATAATATTGTTTTGCCTGTGCCCATATCAGTTCGATGGCATTGAACTGGCAGTGGTATGGCGGTAGTCGCAGTACCTCATGCCCATGTTCTCGTAGGTATTCATCAACAACAAATCTTGCAGGCCGAGCATGTTGCTTGGCCAATTTTAAGAGTTCACTTTTAAATTGGTTCCTCTCAAAATTAATGTTGTTTCCCTCCAACCATTGTATGACCTGGGCTTTTGTCCAAGATGATATTGATATCCACTAATACACTGTGGTAGGAAGCATTATCCATAACAATGAGGCATGGCTCCTCGAAATTTGGAACCAGCTTTTCTTTGACCCACTTCAAAAATATATCGCCATTCATGTCTCCATGATAATCTGCCAGTTTTGAGGCAGTGCCATAGATGAGTGAAGCATTCTCCACAAACCCCCCACTGTGACCAGCATGTAATACAATATAGCGTTTGCCTTGAAATCCTCCAGGTTTTCGGGTCCCTTTTACGGATCCGTCCTGCCAGGATCTCTTCCTGTTCCCTTTTGCAAAAATCCATGTCTCATCTAAGAAAACAACTGTGCGTTTAAAGGGGGAGTTTCCATTTTCATTATATTTGCGCAGAAATTCTGCTCTCAAAGCAACGACACTGCTTTTCTCCATAAGCGCCTTCCGGTTGTCTTCCTGTTTATATTGGAAGCCAATAAGCGGCAATAAGCGGCACAATGACGTCTTGCTTATGTCCACTATTTGTTTGACGTCCAATTCTTCCTTTAATGTTTTGATAGTAACATGCCTCTCTGTAAGTATTAATACATAAATAAATCGTATTAATGGAGACAAAAATACGTACTTTCTGAGTACATGTTGTAAATTGCATTTTTCACTTCCATCTTCACAGCGTCTGGTAAGTCTGCTGTTTTTGTTTTTTCCCGGGGCTTATATTTTTTTGTTTTGGAGGCAGCTTGATCTTCCTGGTCTACGGGCTTTCGGTTTTCTTTTGATTCTCTGAAAATACGTGACACCGTCCGCATACTAATGCCCATTGCGTGGGAAACACGCTGAAAATTTAATTTATTTATTTTATGATTTATTAGACTTCGTATAATGTCACATGTATTAGTGATAGGCATGTGAATAAACTTTTCTGTCGATGGTGAAAAAACCCTACAACTTTTTTTTCAACGTTCGAGAGTTCGAGACGTTCGAGAGTTAAGCTTCGAGAAACCAGAGTTATTCATTGTCTGTCTTGATAGTTTTCTCTCCATTTGAAAATGTAATATAAGATATAAAGATTAAAGTATAATATAATTTTTTAATACATGTGTAACATAACAAGAAAAACATGACGCAAGGAGAAAAAACAACGTGAAACTTTTTTCAATAATACATATAACCATACATATAAATATTACCTCATGAATTGCGTCCACAGGTAATAAGGGCCCATTATTACGTTTTTCGCGATCAAAATACTTTAGTAGCTTCACCACCATGTCCCTGGCTACTCCATCAAGTCTTTTGCCGGGCATTGTTTATTCACTTTATTTACACTAATTGTAAAGAACAACAAACTGGAAAACGGTGCAAAAATCAACCGCGCAGGTCTGAACCTTTGCTATACAAACCGTACGCTCATGATCGTCGCTGTCACCGTGACTTACGATATAGCCTACCTACCTAATAATACCGTCTTTGTCTAACACATTGCTGCGTAAGCGGCAACGCTCCCAACTTCTGTCGTAGCACCAGAAAACATATGTTAGTGTTATCCAGTACGGTCGTGCTCACTCGTTAAAAGGAGATGGCAGAAAATCTGCCAGTCGTGGATAAATGCATCAAGTGATGACGTGTATGCCAACATTCATGGTACGGACTATATTTAAACTTTCCATATACAGTTGTTGTAGACGAAAAAGCACCGATTATTAAATGATAATAAAAATAATCAGAGATTATATACGCGCTTTTCTAAAATAAACAACTTGCAACAAAACCGCGGTTAAAACCAACGCGTTCAAGCGATTCGTGTAACTGACGTCACCAACCCGTGTGTCATCTTGAACCATATTATAACCGCGGCACATAACACAGAAATTGTAGTTATTCGCTTGGATTTGATTACTATCGAACACCGTAGTAAAAAGATATTTGGCAACAGCGCAACAACGGTGTCAGAGTGTCACGAAGATGTTACTGTCAAGTTAATTAAGTTTTTTTTTTGGCAAATAAAAATAAATAAAATATTTGTGCTGATGATGCTTACTTAGAAGGGCATTTTAAATTTCTAAACATGGATAAACTAACATTAATATCAGGAACTCTATTTATGGCCGCAGACATTTTCGCTATAGTTAGTTTAGCTATGCCAGATTGGATTATCACAGATGTTGGAGGTATGACAATTTTGCTCTGCTCAGCAAGATCTGCAACATTTTTCAATTACATTATAGGTGACACAAGGTTGGGGTTGATGTGGACATGTATGACGCTGTACAATCGTCCTCAAGTCTGCTTTACGCCTGACCTACAACCTGAGTGGTTGCTTGCTCTAGTCTGCATTTTTGTTGGTTGTATTTGTATTACAACTACAATCATATTATTGGCCTCCTCACATTGGGACAGGAATGTTGTTCCATATGCACGTTGGGTTGGATTTACAGCCAGTAAGTGAAGTATTTTGATGCTAAAATCCACAGTTTTTTATCAAATTTCTATAATTTTGTATAGTTTTGAGTATGATATCAGCCAGAACTTCTTTTCTGCACACACTATTTACCCAAGAAATGTGAGTGCATATGTGAATTTTTGAAAACTTTAACAGTGAAAACATGTAAAAATTTCGAGAAATAACTCTTGATTTAAAACAGGAGACTTTGTGTATCATAATTCATAATAAACAAGTATGCACCTACCTTTTAAATCCATTTTCATATGAAAAAGTTTAATAATTGTATTTTTTTCAGTGGTATTATTTTGCTTAGCAGCTGTGATATTTCCCATGGGTTTTCACGTTGATGAAATTGGAGGACAACCATACCAGCTACCTGGTAGCCACCAAGTTGGCATATCATATATTTTATTCATATTGGCATTATGGATCACTGTTATATCAGAGTTATTTGCTGGGAAAGTATGTTTACCACATTTTTAAGCCAAATCTTTTGAATTAATTAATCAGATTTTTTATATTACCTAAAATTGTGATCTGAAAGTCAGTATAGATAGTTATATAGTGCTTTTCATTTTATTAAATTTATTTTTTTTAAATCGCACATCTGCAGGCTTAAGTTCTTGTACATTGCTTATAACTCAACAACCTATTATCAAAATGTTATGTTTTACCAACCTTCTTTTTTTGGAAGGGTTCTTCCAATTGAGGAGTTAAATATGGGACATTTTCTTTTGACAGAATGTGTCATATTTAATTACATATTTGGATAGTCCTTCCAAAAGAAGATTTTTAGCGAAAAAAGTCGTTTTTTTTGATTACAAATATATATGGATTAAAAAAAGCAACAAGCATTACTACTAAAATTATAGTGTTCCATTTGAAAAAATAGATCTTTAATTCATAGCTCTTATCTGAACCTGTATGTGATACAAATAATGCACATAAAGCTTTATATTAGATCATACAACTTTTGCATAGAACATTTTTTCTAAACAGTCATAAAAAAAATTAGAGGGAGGGGGGCATGTCAATTTATAGCAGGACACCCATTCAGAAACACTCACTTTTAACCGCCTGTCTTTCCGCTATTTTGAATGATAGTCCTTTTATATTTTTTTAAAAGTACTGTAGAACTAGTGGTGTTTCGTGCAGTTAAGTGTTAGGTTTATTAAAAGTTTTTATTTTATCAAAACGTACTATTTATGAAAATTCCACATTATATTAAGGATTTTATTTGTATAGAACACGATTATTTTTTTAAAGTGTATATATTGATAAGTTATTTTATTTTCATCTTAAATGTTTAAAGAAAAAATAAAGTGTTTAATCAGTACACAGCACTTAGTGTATTTACTTTGTTTCAACTTAAGTACATACAAAGTTGGATTATAAATATAGTAAAAAAAAAGCAAATACATAAAATCTACATACTAAACAACAACATACTATAATACAAGTTATATACAATTTACATTCAAATACAATTAAATAACCTAGTGAAAGTATTTGTAGAACTTGGGACCAGTTCCACTACTATTTAACACAGGATGAGATTCATTTTTAACAGTAAATGCTTTAAATACTTCATTCACGTCCGTACTTTGTATATTCAAATTCGCAAATTCTTCATTAATATGCCTCTGCAACTCATCTTCTGTCATACTGAACTCCAAGCCGTTGCCAAAGTGCGGAAAATGCTGAATCGGCTTTCCAGTGAAACCATTGTTGAGAACGTGCTCGTTCTCAGTCATGTACACTGGTTTGTTGAAGTTGATTTGGTTGGTAGGGCTGTCATACCAGCTGAAGGTAGGGGATTCGCAGGATTGAGGCGTGGTGGTTCTCTCGAAGATGTTTTTGTCTGGGATCTTCATACCTTTTTGGTTTGTTGTGTGGAGAAGGTATTTGAATTTTTCCGCTGCTTCTAGACCTGAAATCAATTGTGATATACAGCTTAAACAAACATTGTTACTCCGATTTTTGAACTGCCTAAGGTAAGTAGATCTGGGAAAAGCCTCCTCAGGTATATTGTTCCACAACCTCGATATCCTGGGCAAAAAAGAGTGATCACATCTACCAGTTCTGGTTGTACGAAGTTAGTACAGGGTTGGGATTGGAGGCCGCTAGGAGGCGTGGTTGCAATCTTGAATCTAAAAACTTGATGTTTCTGTGAATTCCGCTACATTAACCTAACAAAAAAATAGCATTAATTTAAAGTCGAGGATAATGTGAACATTTTTGTTTGATAATTTTTGTTGTATCTCTGAAAATGAAGTGATGGGAGGATTTAAAGGTTTCCGTGATATCGAAATGGTTTTCGCGAGCTTGTTCAGACATCATTTATCTACTTTTTCATTGAAAAAAATCCTACCAATGCATTTAAATTATTTGAGAAAATTAACCATTTCTGTCGGAATGTAGAAAAAAGCTCTCTAGCGGCTAAATGTGAAACTAAGAAAACTTCAAATATATTTGTAGCCCAAGAATAGCTCTTCTCAACTAGCCCAAGTTTGTTAAAATCGGCTCAGTCGTTCCGAAGATACAAGGTGTTTTTTACGGAAACCTTTGAATATCCCCCACCACTTTATTTTTAGCGTAATTCACAGAAACATCACACAGATTCAAGATTGCAGTTACGCCCCCTAGCGGCCATTTCAGAAACTTATTTTCCATTTTTTTCTCTCGGCAGTTTTAGTAATAACTGCTTTTGCCGCAAGCCTCTGCGATGGATAGGTTCCCAGATACAGTACCTCGCATTCTTAGTTGTACGTCTTAGCCCTGAACAAATATCCTAGCTTTTTCTCAGCTGCTGCCGCTATTGACGAAATGTGTTCGTGCTAGATCAAGTCCTCGGTGATCTGGACTCCGACCAGCCGAAATAAAGTGCTCATTGGTAGAGCTCGTACATTCATCGAGCCCGGATGAGCGTTAGGGCGCTTCTTTTTAGTCAAGGCGGTACAGTACTGTGTTTTGGGAACATTAAACAGTACAAGATTGTTGCGTCCCCAAGCAGTGATAACCTTCAGGTCTCTCGTCAGAGATAAACAATGCTAGCCTTGTAATATAACTGATGGGAGCAGTGTGGCTAAAATATTTTAAAGATGGTGGCAGTTCCGGTTATACCGGAGGAAAAAGTTATTTTAAATGGAACATTTTTTATATTATTCAATTTAAAAATTCTCTGCGATATTCTAAATACACTCCATTCTATACCTAATTTCAAATGTTTTGAGAAAAATTAAAAAAAAATTCTCTCGTGTTTTTTTTCTCTTTGCCATACGATCTATAATGGTTTTCGTAAACTAGGGTACATACTTAGTATTAAATAAAACCACAAATGCTTGAATTTTAAATGTACTTGAAAATGGTTACAGTAGTAGTCGAAAAGTCGTCAGTAAAAAGTAATTCAAGCATATGTGGTTTAATTTAGCGGACAGATAATCAGGGAGTCCCACCAGCATGAAAACCACAGTATATGTTTTACGTGTTACATTATACTTTAATAGATTTCAATCCAAATTTGGACAATAAATAGTACAGGGTGATCAGAAACTCAGATTAAAAATTTGATTATAAACAAATATTTTTTTTCAAATGGAAACCACCTTATTTATAATCTCTGACAATAATTAAAAAACACTATTTCAAGCTATAAACACGTATTGTCTTTCAGAGATGTTTTCCTCAAGAGAAAATAAGGAATAAGTTATTACCGTTGATAATGTATTCTGCTTGAAGATAGCTAACATAATACTGTATTCCAGCATAACAAAAATTAGCCAAGATGGAATGAGTTGCCATCTGCAGATTTACTTAAAAAGCAGTGTCTCATAGATGATGCTGTATCCACCTAAATTCCGATATATGTGTTCAAGTAATTGTGTACAGCGCCATCTATGGGACATCAACCTTCTCAAAGTAGACTTTTAATTAGTGTGCAGAGAAAACTCAAAGCTGTATCAAATTCTCCAAGATGACACCATGCTATCTCAATTCATTTATTATAATTGTTATTTAATATAACATGTAATTAATATGGTGCGATAGATGCGCTATCGCATGCTGATAAACCGTACCTCCAGTATAGGATCAATGTGATGCTTTCATTTGATCGTCCAGAGATAAGAGACCAAGCCTATACCATGCTGATGGGTAGCTAAGAAGCTTTCTTGGTCGTACGGACGAAGACATCTCAATTTGTTTTGACCTGTTAGAATGGCTAGCAGACAGCTCTGCATTCTGCCAGAATCAGCACCTATTCAGCGGCACGGCTATTAAACGTGAACTGCGACGATTCCGACTAATAGCAGCGGTGCGCGATTTACAATGGTTCGATTCTGATGCGATAGATGGCGCTTCGCGATATCTCATTCTGGTAAAATCTTTTAAGATTTAGCTCTCCAGAGAAAATATTCCTTCTACCTCTCTTCAAAAAGTTTTGATTCCTCAAACATTCCCACAACATCTGCCGGGGCTGCTTTTTTGCTTTTCAAAGAATTTTGGGAGCAGTATGTTTGATGGACCCTCCTGGAAAATATTTATGCGTGCGCACATGGTAATTGGTAGGATAGTTGTTAAATATGAATAAATGGAAATTCAGACACTGTCGCACCTGTAAGTATAACGCATGAAAACTAGAAACAGGAGGACACACTGTCGCGGTTAAGGCACGTATTCGGATGAAGACAATCCTGTCGAGAAATGCAGACGTGAGAGAGATGCCGCATGATCAGAACCTGAAATACATTTTTACGCAATGTCTATAGCAGATAGCCCGCCGCTATAGGAGTTCCTAAAATTAAGACTAGATATAGGAGGTCTAACTCAAGGAGTGGCGGTGAAGCAAAAAATGTCGACGATGAAGTGACTACGTACACTGCGCAGAAAATGAATTTCAGGTTCTGCGCATGTGGCATATCTATCTCTGTTGGTGTCACCTTTACTGGCATAACTGTAAACAACTCCAATTTTGACAGTTCGAACGAGTTGCAAGCAGAAATATTGGATAGTATTAATTAGCCAGGAAATAATAATACATATCATGGTAAAATGTGGGTGAAATGGAAAACTTTGGGGATCAGGTTTTCGCGCTGTCATAATAATATGTCGTTATTTGTTTGAAGTGTTTTTTTGCGTCGACTTTGAAAAATTGTTCGAGGTCACCCCCCATCATTTTCAACTTTTTCCATCAACGTTCAACACAATACACATTGGCATGATCGTTGTATCGTTGAAATTTTTTTTTACAATTTAACAAATCAAAAACTTGATAAGCATGAAGCACATGAAGATTGTGGTAGGTTATGTTGACATTTTCCAATGCGCAGACGCTCAACGCCATGTTCTACGCCCACTAAATTTCCGAGAGCCACACATTCTTGGCGATAGCATTAGCTTCTTACGAATACGTGTATCCCTTACGTAGTCTAACCTATCTCTACTCTTTATGTATCGCATCTGGATGTATGACACATGAAGACTGGAAACAGGAGGATGAACTGCCCAAGACAAGACGCGTATCCTTATGAAACCAATATTACTCAAATCCAAACGAATAACCAAAATTTCTGTATTTCGTACCGCGGTTATAATATGATTTAAGATGACACACGGGTTGATGACGTCAGTTACTCGAATTGCTTGAACGCGTTGGTTTTATACCGCGGTTTTGTTGCAAGTTATTTATTTTAGAAAAGCGCGTATATAATTTCTGATTATTTTTATTATCACTTAATTATCGGTGCTTTTTCGTCTAGAACAGTGTATGGAAAGTTTAAAAAAGAAAACTTTCATAATATTAATGGGAGAGTTTTTTTTTCAGAATTTTTTTTTAATGATGGAACCATGGCTTTGTAGCTATGATTACCTTCAATTCTCTAAACTTTTCCGCATGTTAAAGAAAACCTTTTATTGATTTAGCAGAAATGAGATAAAAACAGATATTAGCAAAACCGTACACAGGTGGACATTATCCAGTGAGTTTATATGGCCATATTTTAATATTCTTGTGGTATATGACTACACATGATACTTTGTTAAGCATATGAACTAGATTTAAAGTGTCCCCAACAACAGTAATGAGTATATCTAATAACACTGAGCACGCTTAACTTAGCTCAGGACATCAGGGACTGGAAAGTGTCTCTAACACCCTCTCTATCGGATCACAGGTATATACTGTTCAAGACTGATGGAGAGATTCCGGATAAATATGCTCGGAATCCCAGGCATACTAGATGGGGGTCCTTTAGGGCAGACATTGACAGTAAGCTTGGAGCGGTCCCATACAGGCTTGGCAGGGGCTCTGACATAGAAGCAGCTGTCGAGTCTCTGAGCAGGGACTTGACGGCCGCATATGAGGAAAACTGCCCGTTACGCAAAGTACAAGGTAAGGGCAAGGCAACCTTCTGGACCAAAGATTTAGAGGATAGAAAACGAGCGGTGCACAAACTTCTTAGCAGAGTTAAGCACAGGAGAGGTTCTCCTCTATGGGAAGAATACAAAAAGGCATTGCAGGAGTACAAAAAGGAGATTAGAAGGGCCTCCAGAGAATCCTGGAGGCACTTCTGTCAGTCCATAAATGACATTCCTGCTACTGCAAGAATACACAGAGTCCTATGCAAAGACACTAAAGCAAGATTGGGATCTCTGCATGATCCCTCGGGAGGGAACACTACTTCCGAGGAAGATACTCTGAGGCTTCTGATGGATACGCACTTTCCCGGTTCCACAGTAGCGCGATCAATCACAGAGTGCATGCAGTTGCGCAGGCCCTCAAGGGAGGACTGGCGCACGGCAAGGGAGATTGTCACCTTCGAAAGGACGGTATGGGCAGTAGATTCGTTTGCCCCATACAAAAGTCCAGGTCTGGACGGCGTATTTCCGGCCATGTTACAGCAGGGACGGATTTCGGTTGTTCCTTACCTGTTGAATGTGTTTCGAGCATGTGTGGCCACGGGCTTCACACCTAGAAGTTGGCGGCAGGCTAAAGTGGTATTCATTCCTAAACCGGGCAGAGATAGATATACTGGCCCGAAGGATTTTCGACCGATTACTCTTTCATCTTTTGTGCTTAAGACCCTGGAAAGGATAGTTGATAGATACCTAAGGGATGGCCCACTGGAAAGGTGTGTCATTCATGCAAATCAGTTTGCATACCAAGCTGGAAAATCGACTGATCTGGCCTTACACAATCTGGTTGGGAGGCTGGAGAAGACTCTAGATCAGCGAGAAGTGGCACTCGTGGCCTTCTTAGATATTGAAGGTGCATTTAATTGCACCACAACCGACTCTATCAGACAGGCCTTGGTTAGACACGGGGTTGGATCAATCCTAATAGATTGGGTCCTCTCTACTCTGGAGGGTCGGGTAACAACAGCTATGCTGAATAACGTAAGCTGCAGCGTGAACGTAGCTAGAGGCTGCCCTCAGGGTGGAGTTCTGTCACCCCTACTGTGGTGTATCGTGGTGAACGAACTGCTCGTTAGGCTCAACAGTATGGGTGTCTACGTGCAAGCCTATGCTGATGACGTAAGCATAGTGGTTAGGGGGCGTTTCTGTAGAACAGTCTCGGAAATTATGCAGGGCGCTCTGCGCTCCGTGGAATCGTGGTGTAGGGAAGTCGATCTTTCTGTTAATGCTGAAAAGACCGAGCTGATCCTATTCACTAGGAGAAGAAGGCTTGACGGACTGGTCATGCCTACCTTCTTTGGGACTAGATTAGTTTTGTCCCAGTCAGTGAAATATCTGGGAATTATCCTGGACTGCAAACTGAACTGGAGAGAGCATGTGGAACACAAGGTTAGCAAGGCTCGCAATTCGATGTGGGCTTGTAGACGTGTTGTCGGTGTAAGGTGGGGGCTTAAACCCAAAGTGGTATACTGGCTCTACACGACGATAGTACGTCCATCTCTCTTGTACGGCTCCCTGGTCTGGTGGCCTTGCATTAGAACTGAGTCAACTAAGGCCAAACTCAATAAAATTCAGCGTTTGGCCTGTATTAGCATTACAAGCGCAGTGCGAACAACGCCATTGAGTGCAATGGAAGCTCTGTTGGATCTCCCACCGTTGGATCTGGTGATCCGCGGTGAAGCGAGAGTAGTCGCTCATCGACTGTGGAGTCAGGGCAGCTGGGCTTTCTTGAATCCGGTCAAGGGGCATACTGCCATATTAGTCGAATTAGATAGGGAGGACCCCGTCCTTCTAAGCAGGGGTGATCGTATTACCCCTAAATATCGCTTCAACCGCAAGTTCATTGTGGAGTACCCAACGAGGGAGGAGTGGGACGCCGGTAGCCGAGGACTCTCCGAAGTGAGCGGGCAGGTCTGGTACACGGACGGCTCGGTCACCGAAGAGGGCTCAGGTGCTGGGGTCTCTGGACCTAGAACTAGGCTATCTCTGCCTCTCGGTGAGTACACCACCATTTTCCAGGCGGAAATCTTTGCGATTCTGGCTTGTGTATCTCACATTCTGGAGGAGGGTGGGCCTAGGAGAAGAATAACAATCTTATCCGACAGCCAGGCTGCAATGAAAGCACTAAGTGCATGTAAGATTACTTCGAGTCTTGTATTGCAATGCAGGGAGGCTCTGGATTGCCTCGCAGCGAGGCATCCGGTATCGTTAATATGGGTACCGGGGCACGCTGGGATAAGGGGCAATGAGACGGCGGACACTCTGGCGAAAACAGGATCAGCCAGCAAGCTCGTTGGTCCTGAGCCAGCTCTAGGAGTAACCGCGCATAAAGCTAGGAGGAAAATGGAGACGTGGGTTGCAAGACAACACTCTCAGAAATGGAGAAGTATCTCTAGACATCTCCGCCAGGCACGAGAGCTCATTGAAGGGCCCAGTGCTAAGGATGGACGCTTCTGCCTATCTCTGGGTAGAGCCAACCTAAGGTTGCTGGTGGGACTGTTGTCTGGCCATAACACGTTAAGGCGGCACCTGCACGTGATGGGGGTGGCTGAGGATCCCTTATGCGAACGCTGCGGAGTAGAGGAAGAGACCTCGGCGCACGTTTTGTGTCGCTGTGAAGCTCTGAGCTACTATAGGCAGACTATACTGGGGTCCATTACTTTGGACCCTCAGGACGTAAAGGAGCTTGGACTCAAGGCGATTCTCAACTTCGCTAAAAGGGCGAGGCTTGTGATTTAAGTATTGTAGAGGTGCATAAGGGCCCGCTTAAGCGGCCTATGCACTGGCTCCTTATGGTGGCCGGGATGCCTCTAAAATTCAAGATTCATTCATTCATATCTAATAAGGTGCTCTACTTTAAGCTACAACTGAAGTCAGCCTGTATCAAGTTTCCCAAAAATGAAGCTGAAGTACAACAAAAATATCCAACACCCGCCAAAATTCTAATTTGTCACATTTCAACTAATAACCAGAAATATAAAACTACTCCGGAGTTGGGTAAGTACCACAATTTTAAGGTGATAACTATGACATATAACAGCTGATTCATGACGTCACGGATCTTATAACCACTGATAACCACACTCGCTTGAACGGATCGGTAAATACCAATCCAAAATGGTAAATACATTTTTCATTTGGTTATTCGCTTGAATTTGATTATTGTCGGCAAGGAGGGCGTGACTCACGAAAATGCAGTGCATGTAGAGCATCTGCGCTTGGATACACATGACGAAAGCAACAGAGATATGCCACATGCGCAGATACAGAAATAGATTTCTATGCTAGATAGCCCACCTTCATTCTCAACACTTCTGCTGTCACCCTCACTCTATGATTTTACTCTCCTGTTTCCAGTCTTCATAGTACGACATTTGACTCCTCAATATTTCGCCCGATTTCCGCCTGTCAATATGATACAAATGTTTCTTCTTTGGCTCCGCCCCCTGACGCCGTTTTGTATAGCCGAAAGAGATTCTAATAGCGCCTCTCTAGATGCTATCTTGATGTTTTAGACATACCTATAGTCTCTTTGAGATAGTTGTACCACCTCTCTTGCAACTCGGCAGGTTGTAGCAACATATCAGCCAGCGACATGTTCTGAGGCAACAGGTTGATACAATCGTTCAACACGTGGGCTTCGGGGAAGTGGACGTTGTTCATGAACTGGATCAACTTGTTATTGTTAGTCTGATTCATTAGTGAATGATGCGATTTGTTGTGTGCTGCTTGGGCTTCATTCAGCGCTGCCATCTGTAACAAAAAATCGACAAAATTCGAGTGAGTCGATAGCGATTTTACTTTCCATGCCAACTTCCATACAGTTGAATAGATCCATTCAGCGCGTAGCTAAACAACATCATATGATTAATTTGTTTGTGTATTTGATAATAATTTATCCGTGTTTTTACACAAAAGTGCTTACACATGTCAAGAAAAGTCTCAGCATTTGAACAATAAAAAGCAATACAAAAAATTACACATACACTTAAAAAACATAAACTAAATAGAAAACAAACAAAGTTATAAAACAAAGAGTCAACAATTATGGAACCCTAGAAAGCGTTCGTCACTAAATATGTTTACACATTTTGTTTAAAAATGATTATTTGACCTTGGCAGAACATTAAAGAATTTTACACCCATATAATTACTTCGGTATCCAGTTTTTTCTAGTCTTATGTATTCTGGTATTAATTCATTATTGAACCTTGTGTTATATTTGTGAATCTCTTTTGGAGTTCTGTGATCATCATAATTATTTTTAACATGGATCAAACAATCTAGTATATATATATACACACAGTTAAAATTTTTATATCAATAAATCCCATCTTGCAACACTGTCTGAAGTGTAAGTTTGCTATTATTCTCAAGCATCAGCTCTGATCAGCAAACACCTTCAATACATGAGATGAATGTCCCCAAATCAATATGCAGTATTGTAAGTCAGGTGGGAAGTAAGCATAATAGGTGTCATCAAATTCGATTTTGCTAAGTAGGTATTTAAACTATGGATCATATATTTTAGATATCTTTTTTGATAAAGTAGTGATGTGTGATTCCCAAGTTAAGTTCCATAAATACTCCCAGGAATTTTATGGGTTCTATTAAATTACTTTTATATGGACGAGTACTGAGTAACATATATTGAGTTTTAGCTATATTGAGTTTTAGCTATATTGTCTTTTAGTAGTCTACTTGAAGATAGCTAAAAAAGGAAGTACAGGACAAATGTTTCCCAGCCTGCATATTACAATAAAAGTTAAAAATCATACAAGATGATACTTGACTGTTGCAGAAAATTGGGTGCATAACCTCCATTATGAGGCAGCCGGGTAAAAATCATTGACATTATGTATATTCAGTCTGTTAGACCGACAAGCCAGCAGGTTGACTCTATATACCGCATTGGTTCACTTATTTCTTGGATCTTAGCTCATTTGGTATCAAGTTTGTAGTATTTTGCAAGCGACTGATCTAGTAATGTAAACAATATTTTTACATTTTACCACATTTTAATTATTGCTCATCATTATTAATTTCTTGTTCAGTAGATGATAAGCAGTGGCTCCAACTATTATTAGATAAGTGTATGAGTATACTATTAAAGTGTAATAAGAACCCGTCAATCGAAGTCACGAGAGAAAATTTGAAATTGTTAACGGTGCAGAAAATCAAACTTAATTTTATTATATAAAACTATAAACAATAAAGCGGCAGCTTATTTCAGCAAATTTATGTTGAAAAGATCTCATATGACAAGATCAGAATACAATTATTATATTGAAGGTTTCAAAACAGGGTTAGCAGGTTTAATCCACGGTTTGAACCAAATGTTTTTTTATGGAAAAACCCAGGTTTTTTGTAACTTGTAAACTTTTTCCACCAACATTCTTTTTGATTATTCGAAATTAAATGTTTGTTTAGTCTAATCAACTGTTACTGTATCACTATTACAGCACCTTAAATGCACACTTTTTCACCAGATTTAGTACCCTTATTTTGATAAAACATACCATATTGCCCATAATAGTAAAATTTCAGAGCGCCCAATTTCAAAAAAATGTTTTGAAAGCGGCAAACGTTCAAAAGTGAGTTGAGTGATGGAGATGCCAAAAAATGATATTGACATTGGTACCTATTCCCAGAAAATAGTTTATAATACAATTATTCTACCACATTTACTATATTGTTCAACTATCTTGTTCACTGCCAATGAAGCTGAAAATAAAATCTATGTTACAAGAATTACAGTGCTTGAATATAAAAAATTTCATATCACATTTGGTTCTTATTTTTATATTTAAAATAAAAAATCATCTTTTGCCACAACACTTAGAATACTACATAGAATTGAATAATCATTACCACAATTATTATATAAGAGGAAATATAGATTTTCATTTACAAACTTGCAATAGTAATATAACTAGCAAATCAATATTTCAGAAATGGTTACATGAATTTAATAAACTAAACAATGGTATAAAATCTACTTGTAATTTGAAGATGTTTAAAAGAAAATTAAAGGAATATTTCATAGACAGTGAAAGTTCTTGGAGATACAAATTTTGTTTTTTTTCTGAATGTCTGTTTGTTATATAATTGTTTAGTTTTTTAGAAGAATGTAATTGTAACAATCATGCTGAATAAACCTTAAACAAACAAACAAAATAAAGAGATAATAGTGAAATTATCGATATCACTGAATAACTAACAGGCCACACAAGCAAGCTTCTCTGTCATCTGTAGAAATAATTTTTTCGTCTTTTGGCTTAATGGAAAGTAAGTTACGTAATAGATTGGGTACTGAAAAGACCTCGAAATTAGGTTTTTTTATTTAAAATATCTAATATATCTTCAAATGATGAAAATTAATTATATGATTACAATATATCACTAATTATCTTAAGGTTTAGTTTAAGAGTTAGTATTTAGGGTTACCAGATGGTCGGGATTCGTTGGGATTGTCATAACTTGCAAAAAAAGTATTTTGTTTTGATGAATTTAATTTTAATAAACAAATATTAATGTTAATTTTGTAACATTTATTTGTCCCAACTATAATCCCAAAATTTCAACTTTTTGAAATTTTTCCCATATATTTTGGTATTAGTACTTCACGTTTATTCCTTTGTCATTCTCATATATGAATACACATAAAAAGTTGTACAATGTGCTTGTATTTTTATGTAAACGTGTATTTAGTTTCGTTTAGACAATCTTTTTTTGCCATTTCACTGAACCTGCTTTCCACCTATCAAATAATGCTCTCCACCTGCTACCTTTACTGTCTAACAAGTGGCAAGCTGTTTTTTTTGGCAGGAGTTTCTATTCGTTTCAGTCAATATTTAAAGGCAAATTGTGTTTGTCAAATAAATCTGGTTTAAACAAAAAAACAGGTTTAAACCATAAACTGTTTAACTTTTAAAAAAAACTTGGGTTTTTACCAACCCTGGTTGAAAGATAGGACATTGGAAAAACCTCTTTTTGTTAAAGGTCTAAAAACATATAATGGTTTACCACTAGATATAGAACTTGCACAAAATGTAACAATATTCAAGAGGAAATTAAGATCTTTATATATTAGATTCAAGTGATATGTGATGTTGTGTTCATATTAAAGTAATATTGTAGTTTAAAACTAAATAAACACATAGACCTACCATTGCTGCAGCTTGTTGCACCATAGTCTTGTTCATGTTACCCGTTGCCACCCCTTGACAGGGTTGAGGCCTAGGATGCTGCGCATTTGCCACTGCAGCAGCCGCCATCGCTTGGTTCACCACCCTAATGGCAGCGGCAGCCGCTGCGGCTGCGCCGTAACCGTTCGTCAATTGAGGCTGTTGTTGAGGAGGAGGTGGCAGTTGTGCCACACCAGGTGGAGGCGGAGGAACTATATTGAACAGGAACGGGCGAGGTTGCTGCAAATAAAAGTATATAATGGATGCGGATAAGAAATGGACGTTTAGTCGAAGATGACAGCGTTGCCAGACATTACTTATTTTATGAAGGACAAAAAGTGAGACGTTGAATAGCGTTTATCATGTACTTAAAACGAGTGCGTACCTGCTAACAAAGGGCCAATTTGCCAACAGGCAAGTAAAGTAAGTAAAAATAAGACGAACTTCAATTAAAGCGTCTGACGATTATTTTGTAATAATGTTTTACGAAGCATATGATAAAAACTAGCGATGCACCGAGTACTTCTTATTCAAAAAGCCGAGTACTACCGTCAGATTCGAATACAGAGTGTCAGGAACTCGGTGAAGTTGGCTATGGGTTACTTCTGCTACTGTTAGTGTTATTAAGATTATATTTGCGTTTCTGAAAGGCATATTTTCTCATTTATTTATTTACTTTTACGAAATCAACGCCCCACAAAAAAAATGCTGTACAGCTTAGAACATTTTTTGTGCGATATGTCGTAAGTCTTAAGTTAAAATTGATACCGCATTTTAAGATAAAAATTTTAGACATTTGTTTTTGATTCAGTTTTCAATCCTTATTATTACAAAAAAAAGGAAGACATTCAGAAGGACCGACCTCTTAAATCTTAATTTTTTGAAGGTAGGCAACGCGAGGCCCTAAGCTGCTTAATGAAAAAATATCTATTAGAAAAGCGGCGTTCAGGAACACCAACCTCAGCTTATAGCAATTAGAAAATATCTGTCTCAACACGCATTTTAGCTTTCGCATTCGCTTGAATATGAATGGCAGATCAAATAACTAATTAAGCTTCTAAGAATAGCATGTACACTGGTTAACGTGAAATAATATTAGAATATCTTTTTTACTGCTCTGAATGTTTTGTACTATATCACATTTATACTCAACCATTTGAAGACTCTTAATATCCTGAAAATTTTGATAACCCTGAATATTTTGAAAAAATTGCAAATTTTGCCGAATTTGAGGATATTGAAAATTTTGATAATCCTGAAAGTTTAAGAGAAAATTCTGAAAATGTGTATTCTCGAAAATCTGTTACAAGTATTCGTCAAATGCAAATCTTAAATCTCCACTTGAGGGCAACTCAAGGGTGAGTTATTCATTTGAAATTAAAGGGTTGATCAACTCTCAATCGGCATAAATGTGGGCCGTCATCTTTTGCTACAAGTGATGGACAATGACATAATCCAAATAGGATTATCTATCTAGCAACCCCGCATTTATATCTGACCAAAAATAAGAACAACCGTTTGGACACCATCAGCTGTTTTGTGGAAGCAATGATTTTGGTTTGGTTTTCTCCAATTTATTCACATTGTCTAACTGTCTCCTCTTGGTTTAACTACTATTTGTCTGAGGATGTTTCAACTTTAACAAAAAAGCGAAATGGTCACACCTCATCAGATTTTTTATTCAACTTTTAGTATCTTATATGACCATCTTTACCTGCGAATATATCAACGGCGGGAAGTAACGCAGATCCTGAAGCGGGAAGGAAGACACGACTTGAGGCGGCGGCGGAGGTGGCGCCATCTGGGCGGCGGGCAGCGTCACCGGCAGGTCTTTGGTGACGTTAACCACGACCTTGTTGACAGGTGCGGGAGGCTCCTTCATCACGGCAACCGGTGGTAGGTGGTTGCTCATTTCTTTGTATTTCCTAGGAATGAACTCAGGCGCTAGGGGGTTGAGGGTGTAAATTTTCTTCATCTCGATGCCGTCCAATTGCAGCTGTAAATATGTTAACGTATGAAGGAATTATGATATGCAGTTTGGGCTAGCTGAGAAGGACAATGAATCGAAATTAAACTTTGACTATCCTAAGAACGCATAAAAAAGTATTTAGAGTCGTGAACATTGCGCCGCTGTGCTGTTGGAATCTCGTATAGATATCGATAAACAGGAGCACACTTTGATAATCCGATTTTTGGCCTCCTCAGGCAGATTGTTTCACAATCTCGATACCCTAGGAACTGAGGAGCAGTTCTGGATGTACGAAGTTCGACAGAGTTATTGGGCCGTCTGGCAGGTTTAACGCGCTTCGGAATCATGGAGGAATGCTCTCAGGAGCAGAGCCCGTTGGTATAGCGGTAGAAGAGAGCCAGATCGCTTACAGCCCGTCTGTGCGAAAGAGTCCCAAGACTGTCCAATGTGTTTTGAAAGCATTAAACTGTATCAGATTGTTGCAGCCCTAACAACGATAGCTTCCTTCCAAATTTCTCGGGAGGAAGTCGTCACTGGTCTCCTCTGCAGCTCATAAGGAGAGCTCGGCTGAATGCCTGCATGTACTTCCCATGCTACACAGTCATCAGTTCGTAAAGGATTATGTTTGGCTGGAGTTGCATAATATGATCGTTGCTACGACTGTTCCCGCGTGGATGAAGATATTGGCCTTCACCATGCTCAGTGCACCCAGCCCATTATTCGAATGTAACATCTTTCAGCATGATGTAGACAATTTTGGAAAAGTATTTTGATTTTCTGTGAACCAGAACGATCTGGGATTTATTGTCCAATTGCCCAGAAGTGCTTGAATTTTCCTGTAGAGGGGATAACCAGGAAAACTTTCTAGAAAAATAACATCACCAAAAAATGCCAAGTAGATTTACTCAGTAATTCCCACTCAACTATTATTTAAAAAGTATGAAGATAAGTAAGAATTCTGAGTAAACATCTGCGATGATTATGCATGAAAAATGTATTGTAAATATTTTTTATAAAACTAGAATAGGGTTTTTGTTCCCTAACTGTTGTCTCCCAGCCTTGGAGCCGATACACAAACAGTTTGTATATTCTAGCTCCAGTCCAACCCAAAGCTGCTGGAAAAAATAAAAACGAAACGACTTATTTTGAAGATTTTGTTATACAGCTATTTTCAGGATGTCAAACTTGAGCATTTTGGTATATTATACTAAAAACAAAGATATTTTCTCAAACTGAAAATAATATTTTCCCTATATGTTCAGACTCTCACTGAAAAAAATAAGTGAAAATATACTACAAGGATTTAACGTCTTTGAATAACAACGGGTGAATATACTGGGTGGTCCATTTAATTTTTTTTTTTAAAAATGCTATAAAAAAAACTACTAAATATTTTTCCAAATTTTTTTTTATTTGAAAGTACAATCCTTCCGATTAAGTATGGAATACAACTTCATTTAAATGACTGCCGCGGCTGGCTTTGCAGTAGCCCATACGGTCAGTCCAATTTTTGACCACATTTTCAATCGTATGTGGCTGTATTTCAGCAATGGCAGCGCGTATGTTCTCTTTTATTTCGCCAATTGTTGCTGGTTTGTTGGCATAACACTGGTCTTTAATGGCACCCCATAAATAATAATCTAATGGGGTCAAATCACAGCTCCGAGGCGGCCAAATAACATCAGAATTTCGGCTGATAATGCGATCACCGAAAACACTTCGCAGAAGAGCAATCGTAGCGTTTGCTGTGTGACACGGAGCACCGTCTTGTTGAAACCAGATGTTACCGACATCAATATCTTGAATTTGTGGAAAGAAAAATTCATTTATCATGGCACGGTAACGCTCACCATTCACAGTAACTGCTGCTCCGGCTTCATTTTCAAAGAAAAATGGGCCAATGATGCCACCAGCCCAAAATCCGCACCAAACAGTCACTCGTTCTGGATGCATTGGCTTTTCTTCGATTGCGTGTGGGTTCTCTGAACCCCAAATGCGGCAGTTTTGCTTATTTGGATGGTCAGTTGGCTTCAATTGCTGAACCAATTGAACTTTGTACGCCTTCATACCAAGGTCTTTATGTATGCAAAATTCGACCTAATGATGTGCGTGAAATGTTCAATTGTTGAGAACGTTGGCGCGTTGATGTGCTTGGAGACTCTGCCACACTCTCAGCTACAGCATCGATATTCTCGGGTGTACGCACCGTTTTCGGTCTTTCACGTGTTGGTTTGTCAATAAGAAGACCAGTTTCACGAACTTTTTGCACAAAATACCTCACATACGGTGCTGACGGTGCTTCATTTCTTCCCATTTTTGCAAGTAATTTTCGGACACAATCTGCAACATTACCACCACTTTCGAAATATTGTTTTAATATTTCCCAGCGTTGTTCAAGCGAATACACAACCATTTTCGTTAATCGGAATGATATGACTGATGTTCTGTCAAATCAGATGCGAAATAAGTCTTGACATATCCCAAAAAACCAGTAACTCAAAAAAAAAAGCGATAGATGTACCACCCGGTAGACTCAAAAGCGAAAATGTCTGAGCATAATTACAATTACCAAGATCTGCTTAAATACCTATAAGTTTCACAGAGTTCACAACATAGACAAAAAGAAATGACACTACAAAAATACAAAAGCTTATCAAGGGAAAATCATAAGTTGCGTGTTCGCCCTTGAGACATACTACAAGCAGAAATACGGATAAATATAAATATCTTAGATGGCAAAGTTGAGCATCATGACTACTAGCAACATTGGGAAAGATTAGTGTTCACAAGCAAATAGTATTAATTATGGTTCTTGAAAGTTTTGTCCTCAGATTTTTCACACTGAATCTAGGAATTGCATTTTTGCCATTACAGGGCCAATAAACAAAATATTGAATACGAATCACTTTGATAGCTTAAATTGATTTAAGATTGCATCAAATATGAATACACATATTTTGAAAACAGATGATTTCAACAACTTATAGCCGAATATACGTATAGTTGACTTAACTGCGCAACAATACAACACCATCACTATTCTCTGACACCTCACAGGTCTGGTGGATGAATTTGAGGTGATTATTATCACACCAACCTGTATAGAGTAGCATCCTTTTGTATTAATATATGATAACGAATCATCCTCTGATTTTTCAATCTTTATATGGGTTCCATCAATGATGCCAACGATTCTAGGAAATCTATTTGTTTATATAGAAATACTGCTTTGTACTATATATTTCTTCTTCTGTTAGGCTTTTTATCAGTTCTGGTGCCAGACTCCTCAAAAAGTTGGTCAATCTGGATATAACTGCATGCAGGGTACTCACGGAAACATTGAACCTATCAGCTACATCCTTGAAGATGGCTGTTCGATATCCAACAAATCTTAAAAGTTTACAGGTTTTTTTATTCGGAGTTAGTTTTCTATATGGCGCTGCCTCATATTTAAAATGGTTACTACCACGGAATTTCACTGAAATTTTTTCTGCGACTGTCTTGCTCACTCGAATATGTTACAAAAAATCGTTGCTGTTGAATTCTGGCACTATTTCCTCCACAAAATTCAGGTTTTTTGATTTCATTTTCTCTTCCGAAGAAAATTCAGACTTTCAAGCGTGTTCGCTGCTTATTATATCGCTCATAGTTTTTTTTTACTCCGAAGCGGCCGCGCAGGCGAAGCCTAAATGCCAGCGCAGCGAGACTGCTATGACGAGCTTAGAGAAACTGTTAATCCGATTTTTAAACTTTAAGATTGGTAGAACTGGAAAAGCATAATATCGAGACACTAGGGACATAGGTGCGGTCGTATCGGTCAGTTCTGGATGTACGAAGTTCGACACCTTTAGGATGGGAGCCGGAAGTAGGCGGTCTATCTGACAGGCCATTGCGCGGCGGCATCATCGAGGAAAGCTTTTAGGAGCAAAGCCTTTAGCTTAGCGGTTGGAGGCTCGTTCGCCGACGACCACCGGTGCGAAAGTATCCTCAGATTGTCCGTTAGAGGAAGAGTCATCGATCAGTAAATTTCTTTTGCGAAGCAATATTAGTCCTCAAGATAGTTTCGACTCATTCTGATAGCTGTCACTGTCACTGATTGACTGGCGTTCTCTGAACTGTCAGAAGGTTATATACGAACAGCGGACTAGCTGTCGGCAAACAGCCAGAAACTGTACGAACAGGTAACATCTCTCTAATTCTGATTTTGACAGTGACCGACTAGTTATCGACTACTGTAGGAACAAACCAGAAGTCTACGCAAATGCGTCTGCTTGGCTGCTGTTCTATACCCGACTGTTCATGACTCATATAACTTTTATAAATATGTTTGTAATAAAGGAAGACTCGTATGTATTATACTGTTCATAGGAGAGCTATCCTACACAAAATGAAAAAATAAAAGATACAAAATAAAAGAACTATTAAATTCCTTTACTCACATCATGCCACTTACCTTGAGTTGTGTCCATGTGATTCCAAACAAACTTTCATTATCATTACAAATCTGTACGAACCTCTCCCACACTTTACTGCATCTGCCCAGCGAACACAACGCTATGGGATCTCCTACAACAGCGACTAAACTCTGTGCTCTCGTAATCGCCGTGTTCAACAGTTTTGAGTTCGAGAGAAAACCGTAGTCTACTTCTCCACCACCCGCTTCGTTACTGCAAGTCTTCCTCGTCCGTACTGTCGACAGGATTATCGCTCGGAACTGTTTACCTGAAATCGATACATTTTTTTAGGTAAGAAGCGCGGTTGTTTAACAATAAAAAAACAAAGATTCACAATAACAATACCGTCTAAGATGGTGCGGGTTTTGTTAATCGATGTTGAAGAATATTTAGGAACTTTGGCAACATTAAAATATTCGTTTTTGACACGCTTTTATTAGCTTGATCAGTATGTAGTGTAATCTTTCTACCTAATTTTCAACAATTTCAAGGAGTCTGATTAACTATAAAATTTGCAAAGGGGTCAAGGGCCGATGACAATACAATAATTTTGTAAAAAACTCGAATATGAATATTTTTAAGAAATGAGATTTTGAAAGAAACTTCGATTTGAAAATTTGGGAAATAATTCGAAAATCTGGAAAACCATTTGAAAATTTTGGAAATAAATGGAAGTTTTGAAAAAAATTAAAAATTTTGAAGTTTGGAAAAAATTTAAGTAGATTTAGATTTATTGTTTAATATAAAATCTATCAAAATTTGAAGCTCTTGAAGTATTTTTGTCGTTTTTATGAATAAAAATTCAGAAATTAAATTATGGTATAAAAAAAGTTAAAAAACGCTGGCAAATCGAACTAAAAAGTAGATAATAATTTTTAAGTATAGCAGAGTTTGTGTTACTGCAATAGAGGTCAAACAATCAAGTATGACGAATTAATTTGTAATGTTCAATATAAAAATTGAGATATCAACAATAAAAAAACAATTATATTAATTCCAATTTTGTAAATAGCAACTAGGAAATATTAAATCGCTGGTATCCGGAATAATCAAATATACGCAAAAAAAACCTTTGTCCAGATCAAATAAATGAATTTTTGGAATTTGTCAAAACATTGTTTTTTTCTATCATTGTGGGCTTGGCAATAAACAGATTCGTTAAAAGAAACCAAATAAGAATGTTTTTCGAGGGGGTGCGAAGACACTTCTTCACTTCTCAGAGGATTTAAATTGCGCTGAACTTAATCTTTTGTGAACTGATGGCGTTGCGTAGGGAGTGCAGTCAACCCACTCGAAGCCATTTTTTATTATCAAGGCGCTCGCGGACAAAAAAGTTTCATATTATGGTCGTAATGAATTTTGATAGGTCCAAGTAATAATGTGGTTAAATGTTTATTCTTAAAAATGACATCAATCTTCCAAGGAAATATCACCCTGAACCTCCCTAGATTCTTAAGATTTCGCATTCTCGGTATTTTTCAACAACGAAAAATGGAATCCCATAACCTGAAGCAATAGTCCGAGAGATGACAATGCAGACATCTAATTGTAGGTGTACTATTTATTATAAATTCTTACCTTGTACATTTAGAACTCGTTCGACGCAAACATTGTCTATTCTCCGTTTCCTTAGTTCTGATCGTATCCTAAACACTTGGTCTGAATAAGGAGTTACAACGCCAATTGACTGATCGTTGTAAGCTCCCCACTCCGTGGGCCAACTCCTCTTCAACTCTGCAACTCTCTCCACTACTTCGTATACTTCGGAGTTGTTGTAAAATGCGGTGGAGTTTTTATCTTGAACGTCTTCCCCTGAAAGACAGAAAATATGCAAATTTTCCTTGTACGCGGTAGACGTGTAAGAAGTACTAAACAATCAATCCATTTGACTTCAAACCTTATTGTTTGTCCTTTAATTTTTAATTCTGCTACTAACCCACGTGCTGCTAAGAAAAAGCTAGGTTATTTGCTTTGGGCTAAGAAGTACTTTTCTCCACATAACCTCTTCACTGAGTACAAGGCCTAGATAACACTTAGCCTCAAGTATTGCTTGCATGTTTGGGGTGCAGCCACCCCGACTACATTGTCCATATTCAATGCTGGTCAGATGAGGGCTGTCCGACTAACGGACAGTCTTGGGACCCTTTCGCACCGACCAGCCGTCGACGATGTAGCTCTCATCTACCGCTATGTCAACGGGCTTTGCGCCTCAGAGCTCTCATCCATGATGGCGCGATGTGCCTGGTGAGCAGACCCAACTGATTTCGGCATCCCATCCTAATCCTATCGAACTGGCCGATATGATCGCTCCTTTGTCCCTGGGATATCGAGATTGTCTAGCAATCTACCAGAAGAGGCTTTCCCTTTTCTGCAAACGCGGCTGCTCCGGTGTAAAAAATAAAGTACATATACAAAAAATATAAATTAAGTATTTTAATGTTGAGTTAGTGGCGAAGCATAGAGATCGACTGTGGTATTTTGATTTTTTCTTACCCCTTGTTGTGAAAAAAGTCAGAGGATAGAACTTGGCATGCGTCGGTTGCTTGCTGCTAGAAATCAGCTTCTGGTCATAGAATGACTCTGATGTGAAATGGATGATGCTTTCGTGTGCTCTGTAATTCTCGCATAGGAGTATCTTGCAGGGAAACGGTGTTGGGTAGTGATCATACAGTCTTTCTAAAAGGGATATATGTAGGTTGCGTTCTTTTGCGAACTCCGAAAATATATCAGGGCCTAACTGCATGTGGTCACCTGAAAAATTGAAATACTACGTCAACAACATTTTTAGGAATTAAATATTGACCAAAAAAGTCATATGTGAAGCTTTTTTAATCTTAGGAAATGGCTTGAAAATGCATCACCAGGAGGTCAATCGTTAAAAACTAGCGAAGAGAATGACTATTACAGCTTCTAACGTGTATCAAATAAATTTCTCAATGCCTCTGAATTTATAAAAAAATTATGTTTTTCATATCATTAAATGTTTCATCACAAAATTATCCTCATCTTTAGAGATGAAAATAATGAACGCACTGTTTTTTCAGCTATTTCTTAAGAGAATAATCTGGAGAGCGCCTTTTCTACAATGAAATGTTGAAGAATACAGCTCCTCGAATCATAATTAAACTACGCCCACTTTCTATTAGTTATTCTGCTAATGTGTTTTTAAGAATGCAACTCCAGCTAGAATGCAAGGCTTCAATTTTCTGGTCATATGCTTCAGAAATCTTTCACATCTAGGTCATCTTTCGAGTTTCATCATTAGGAGTAGAAGGATCAGAGTAATTACTTCAAAATGAAATAGATCAGACTCCATTTTCATTTTAAAGTAAAATGTTTATTCTTGATCATGCCATCAACCTCTCGAGTAAAGCTCAGCCCTTGAACTCTCCTGTAATTCTTCCTGAGGCCTTCGAATTCCCAGAATATATCAGTAATGGAAAAGAAATCCCATAGTTTGCAACAATATTTTGAAATGTAACAATGTTGACACTGACACCTAAACACGTTGGTCGAGCTGAGAGATTTGAGATCGTTTTTAGTCCAAAGAAAGCAATATGTTTCTGAACATCTTGATGCAGGGAACAATATGAAAAACGTTGTGTCAGGTACGTTAGACATTTGGATTGGAGCTCCCCAGGGTTCTATTCTTGGGCCAATATTTTCCCTTTTATACGTTAATTACGTTACACATTTTACATCATATGGTGATGACGTTTATGCGATAACCTCAGGCAATTTAGATATGATTCTGGAAAACAAATATTACGACTTGATAAGGAATATCAAAAGTGGTTTAACCAGTGCTCACTATACTTGAATCCATGCAAAACGCTTATACGTTTTCATCATGCACAAAAAACTGTAGAAGAGCTTGAAGTCAGATTGGGTGACGATAAACTTGATTTTAGAGGAGAAACAGAAATTCTTGGACTACATATCGATTCGAACCTAAGCTGGAAGGCCCACAGCGAATTCCTTATACTGAAAATAAACACTCAAAGCTATATGTTGAGGCAATTAAAAACAACTCACCAACTGTTACAAGTATATTTTGCTAATGTAGATTCACGATTAAGGTATGGGGCATGTCTGGGGTTGTCAACGTGCTCTGAAGATGCATTTGTATCACAAAAAAGATGCATCCGATCACTGACAAGAGTATCACCAACAGAAAGTTGCAAAAATATGTTCAACATTTCAACTGTCCCTTCATTGTATAGGTATATTGTGCTTATATGATTTTAAATATAATGATAAATTTAAACGAAACTGCGATATTCATAATTATGATTCAAGGACTAATAATAATTTATATGTAAACTTCAGCAAATCAATAGCAGCAATTCGATCACGTAATAAAATTGGCCCTCGCTCTTTAATAGGTTACCAGGCCACATTAAGTTGATTAAAAATGTTGACCAGTTTAAGTTCCATTTAAAGCAATTTTTGATACAAAAATGCGTGTGTGTATCATGTTAACGATTTTTGAACATTGTAAACTAAGATTAGTTGTTGATTGTAGGAAACATAGAATTGACAATTCCAATACAATTGTAAATTATCTTTGTGGAAATGAAGGTTTTGGATTTGTAAACAAAAATGATGGAAATCTGAAATTCTTTATTTGTTGATTTTGATAAAACTCACCAGCCAATACTATCCTAGTATTCTCATGGGCCACAGCAAGCGGCGTGACAGTCTCGCACTCGATGGCTTGTGCCGCTTCATCCAACAGGATGTGCGTGAAGAAACCTTGAGGCAGACCCATAGCGGACAGGTAAACTGACGTTGATAGTGTCACCACTACTATTCGATGCTTCATTATGTCGTCTAGCGTTGGAATTTCGAAACTACGGTGACTGCCATTGTTTTTTATCAGACAATACTGAAAAAATGATAATAAATAGTTTAAGTTTTTAGAGAAAGAGAGAGAGAGAAAAGCCAACTTAAATCTAAAATATAACAATTTAAAATATGTAGATCTCAAGTAGAAGTACTCGCACAACGTATAATATCGATTGTTTTTGAGTTCACAGCCGAATATATTTAAATTGTTGATTCTTTTGATAGCAGTTCTCAGTGTTGAATCACCATTTAAGAACTTTATTTCGGCTAATATCGCTATTTTTAAAAATAAGATGCTGTATCTAAAATAAAAAATGATAAGACAGTCATTATTTCAAAATTTAGTAATAAAGGCCTACATGTAGCTCTAAGTTTGCCTTTATACATTTAATAATGAGTTTCTGCTGTATAAGTACTTCTTTAAGCAATTCTGAGAATAGAGACACCAAAAGAGAATGCTGTATCTCAAAGTAACTGTGTAAGGCTGTGGTTTTCCCTATGATGTAACTAGTTATTCTTACAATATGGAAACCTTTGACAACTGAGTAATCAATTGCTCTGTATGATTTGTAAAATCTAATTTATGATCAATGATCAGTCATAAAAATAAATTTAATGCTGTCTGTTTTATGTATCAAGTCATTATTTAAGTTTATTGAATCAAGGGAGCATTCAAAATTCATAATTTTGTCTTATTTACATTTAAAGATAAGTAACTGTTACTGTAAATTTTTGTTTTAATTTCATTTGTATCAGATCCTTGCCAAAGTATTGTGGTATCGCCAGCAACAGCTATGAATTTGCCAGTGGCGACGCGTGAGTTTTCCTAAACTGTTACCAAAACCAGATGCGAAAAATCTTATTAAAAAAAGTTTATTTTGAAGCTCCCAAATACAAGTTTTTGCTTATTTTAGGTATTTTATTTAAACTACTTTTAAATTAAGGTAAACATTCCTGGACTGAACGTCTGGGGCACTTGATATACCTATGACTAATCCAAGCCGTCCGAAAAAACAGTCGACCTTTCTAGATGTGCGGAAAATTTTTGATATTTTTTGGCAATGAATGTTAACAATTCCCTGTAATTTCCTGTATTGCCAGAGTCATCCCCTTCAAAATGAACGGTAATTCCTATTTTGCCAAAAAACATACGATACGGTATCTAGAATTAAGCTGCCTAAAAGCTTGGTTAAAACAACTTTCGATTCTTGTTTTGCCAAACTGAGTTAAATTGGCTACACATCTCACATGTAACGAAGAAATTTCATGTCTCCTCTTTAGAGCCCTAAAACTATTTAAATCGTTGACTTCGCTACTGGCCCACCCATTTTTTTCTGTATAAAACAGAAGACATCGCCAACAATACAATTTCTTTTTTTGCAACCATATAACCAAGAGTTTCCATATACCAACTTAATTTAAAATAACAAACTACGTTTTTTTATTCCTTTTTAAAATTATCTAAAATAGGTGTTGGTATTCCATTTTCAATGATCTCCTTTTATTCTTAAAAATTATACAAGGAGAATGACTTTTCAAGTAGTTGATCGATTACGCAGCGACACTCATCCATGTTTAATTGCACGCACACTACAGCCGGTAACCAAAACGGCTACTAACGAGTGAGAAGTGAGTAACCAAATCAAAAAATGGTAACAAGCCCACATAATAGTCGCAGCGCTCTACGCACTCGGGCGACCGCGATAAGACACGAGCCGGTACCTACGGTCCCCGACGGACTACCAAGTGTATCCATAAATGAAAATGGTAACCGACAACCAAGTCGAGGCGAGTCAGCTTCGTCGTATTCATAAAACCTAGACACTATAGGGCGCATTATTTTCGTGGGGCTAATTTGCTATTTACTGAATTACTATTACATATCGCTGTAGGTAAACAAATAAATGAATTTATTTCACAGTACTTAGTCATAAAATATTTATTTTTAAGATTCTTAACTCTTACCAATGGTAACAATGGACGCTTCGCCACTGGAATTTGCCATATATGTTTAAATTTATTTAATAGTTGATATACACTAAGAATACGATCGGACACAGTACTGATCCTTGAGGATCAATAATACTGTACAATTTGGGCTCGATTACTTGTTTTAAAGCAACTGAGCGATGTTCCAGTACATCCATAAATGTATAATTTTTTATACCAGTAGAATCGTGATATTTTAGGATAAAGAAAATTCTTACCTTTTGTACAACAGGACTGACTGTTGTCACCCATCGTTTCGTGTAGTATATCCTCAAAGGTCGTGCATTTTCCTCGCCGTTTTCCACCCACTGATCCAAGTAATCTTTGATGTACAAATCGGCAGCGCTGTTCGAATGCGTACATAACAGTATCCTATTGGTCGGCTCTTTGATCAACTCTCTGATCGCTTGGGCCAGAGTGAAGGTCTTGCCAGTTCCAAAAGGACCTTGATTAAAAAGAAAATTACGATCGAGTAATCTGAATAGTCAGCAAGTCACTGCAGAGCATCGTGATTGACCTACTCCTAAAAAAGCCTAACCTTATTCGAATACAGTAGGGATGTAACAAATATTTGCATTCACATTTGCGAATATTCAAATGTTTCTTGATATTCGCATTCGCAAAGTTCATGTGAATATTTTGCGAATATGAATATCAGAACATGAGAATATACAAATAATATTAGGTACTTTAATAGAAATGTATATTAAATCTAAAAAGATAATAATAATAAACGTCTATTTATTAAAGGGCGAAGTTTAGCTTGAAGCTGATGTGCGAGATATTTGATATATCCGATTTTTGGACCTGTCTAAGGTTAGTAAAACTGTGGAAAACATCCTCGGGCAGACTGTTCCACACTTTCGACACTAGGAACAAATCATATTTCGCAGAATCAAAACGTCTGTGACTCCAGCAACACCAGCGGAGGGTCCAATCCGAATGCAGCAACGCAGACGGTGCCCCAGCAGCAGCATGATCGATGTCGACGATATAGCTCACGACAAACTTATAGTGTCTGTTGACACTTTTTCCTGCTTCTTTTTGGTACCGTCACGCGTGTAGTAGCATATATAATAACGTGAAAAACACTAATAGTACCATATAATTGCTTTGATGTAGGCCATTGTTTCCATTCGAGTATACATGCAAATTTACATAATTTGATTGAGCTATATCTTATCCAGTATTGGAATAATGGCTTTGGCAGATTGTTTGACGATGTTTCATACTAAAGGGCACTGTGCGCTTAAGAAAATCCTCCGATTATGAGACCACCTCTACAAGCTAGCCTGTGCGTCCTGACGATGTACAGAGAATCCATCTTCTCGGACTTATGGCTTTCAACGAAAGCCGAAAAAAAAATTTGAGCAGACACAATAAGTTGGTCGCCCCTGCATGTTGCATATTATCTCGTACTCACGCAGAACATACACTGAGCGCGCATTTGGCTAGCAATTAAAAAATAAAGGTACACAGTAACAATACCTCCACAGATGTTTTGGGAACTTGTCAATGCATGTTTGAAGAATATTTAGGAACATTGACAACATTAAAATTTTTGTTTTTCCATATTGTTCTACGCGGTCAAAAATGGCAAATTTCGCTCTTTTTCAAATATTTTATAGCTTAGTTATCGAAAACTATCGACTTTAGAGGAAGGCTCTAGAGCACCTTTTATATTCAGAATGTTCTAAAAAACTTAAAAACACTGATCGGAGCAAAGAAAACAATTTTTGGAATTGGTTTAAAAAAATATCCAAAAAAATGTTGACGCTTAGGGCCTGGCAACATGCAGATTCGTTAAAAGCGGATCTTTTTGAATGAGATTATGCAAAAAATCCGACCAGAATATTTTTCCCATCAGATGCGAATATATTGCCCGGACTAAATAATAAAGATACCAGAAGGTACGAAACTTTACAAAGTGAACATTCCAAGTCCGCAAGTTAATTTTTTTCGAATCAAAAATACTGTTTTTCATTGATACCCATTCAACTCTACAGTCTTATGTCCAGGTACACGGATTTTCATATATGTCAAATGAGAGTGCAAAAGTTCACTAAGATACTATAAATTATGCATATTCAAAGTCCAGAATTGCGCGGTAAGTACAGGGTCAATCTACTTGACGACTTTTCTTCACTCTCGTATTTATTTCTATGCAACAAAAAAGTGAGACATTCAATTTCCTTTACCTATGACCAATATAGGAGGCAGGTTGATACACAAAGGCGTAGTAATAGCAACCACCGCTTCTTTCTGCTTAATATTCAGCCTGCTATCCAAGGTCCTGCTCCATTGCCTAGACGGCGACCAAGGTATACTCGGCTCAAGATAAGTCTCTGGGAAAATCATCTTGAAACTGGTCATTTTGTCCAGAGTGTAGTGCCACTCGCAGTACGGGATCCTGTTCAGTTGAAACTGAATCTCTACTTGAAGGCCTGAGTCGGGGGTCAAACGCAGTTCTTGTACGGTTTGAGAGGATAGGCGTAGGTAGATTGTGTTTTTGCCTTTATCCTCGATCAGGGCTTCATAGACTTTTCTTCTGCCCGTTTGGGGGGCCGCGGGGCATAGGTAGACGCTGTTGCAATGCATTAAAATGAGTTTACCTGAAATAAAAAAAACATAATTCAACTGATAGAAACTAAGGAATAGCCCCAGAATTTCGCTGGAATTTCGAACTCAGAACCGGGACCGAAAAATCATGTCATAGTTCTTTAGTCACTTTCGCGACACAATATAAATGAATTTATAATACATAAAAAATGTCTGCACAGATCAAATACAGAAATGAGATAAAAAACAAGGAATACAAAAACACAATAAAATGGAAACATATTAATTATCAATCAATGTTTTCATCATAAAAGACACTTAATAAACAAATTCATAAAACTAGCATTAGAACACTGACTGAGATCAAGAACACAAAAGTTTAAAACATAGACAAAATTATGGGGCTATGCCACTGAAATCGTTTTTTTAATTCGTCTAAACTATAATAAGGTTTATCTGGAAGATATTTCTTAGGCGCTATCATCAAGGTTTTGACAACGTTTAGGCAAAACGTTCAAGATTTTACACCAAAATGATTACTACCGCATCAAGTCTTATAGAGTCTTGTATAATCTGGGATGATATTTGTGAATCTAGTATGGTAACTTTTGAAGTTTTGAAGCTATTATAATTTTTTAACATATAATAGACACTTCCACACACACACATATATATATATAGAGAGAGAGAGAGAGGGAGAGAAAGGATCATGCGGAGAAAGGTATATAACAAATAGAAAAAAATAATGGGCAAAATTCGCAAAAAGAAAAGAACAATTCGTATTTCTGCTTGTTGGCTTCATCAGGCCCGAAATGAATGCAAATATGCAGTCGCCATCATGCGTTGGGACAGTTAGCATGCTTTTGCCGTTGAGTCCTCCTTTTCGAGTAGATGTTCTGTGATCGCAACACATCGCGCCTTTCGGAACCGCTTTTATATAGCCCCGTTGGCCCTTGTTCCGGACCGAAAATCGACTGTTACGTGGGTCACTACGTTCAAACAAATTGCAAGTGCGACAAGACGATGAACTGGAGTCCCTCGGCCCATTAGATCAAATGAAAATATTTTTTGAATTCCCGTGTTTATGTGAACCGTCTGTGGACCCTGCAATATATGAAGGTCAACATCCAGGAAGAAATTGCCAACATAACGCCTGCTATCCTGGTAAGAGGCATCACAAACGCCAGAAATCGGTTAATTCAGTGTATGGAGAGTGGGGGACGTCACATATCTGATTTGATCTTCACCTACATTATAAAATATATATATATATATATATATATATATATATATATATATATGGGGTTGTCCAAAACGGACGCAGGAAAGTAAACGCATATTAAAACAAGAAAGATTGATATTCAAATCAAGTTGGGTACTTTATTTTGAAGGTTCATTTATACCATTTATGTATGAAAAATAATATCGCTCAAATGTTCACCACGACTGGATTTACAGACGTCCACGCTATGGTCGAAATTTTCAATGACATTTTGCAACATGGTCGGTTCTATGGCATTTATCTCGGCAATGATGTTGTTTTTGAGTTCTTGGAGGGTGGCTGGTTTGTTGACGTAGACTTTGCTTTTCAAATATAACCATAAAAAGAAGTCCAAGGGAGCCAAATCGCACGATTTTGGTGGCCATGGCACATTTCCTCTGCGCGAAATCACTCGATCACCGAAGAAGGACTGCAATCGATGGATATTGACGTTGGTTGTGTGGCACGTTGCACCGTCTTGTTGGAAATAAACATCGTCCATATCCATTCCTTCAAGTTGCGGCAAAAAATAGTCCTCTAACATCACGAGATATCGCTCAGAATTGACGGTAACGGCGTCCCCGGCCGCATTTTCGAAAAAGTAAGGTCCGATGATGCCTTTAGACCTCAATGCATACCACACAGTCACTTTTTGAGGATGCATCGGCTGCTCTTGATACTCACGGGGATTTTCGTTCGCCCAGATGCGGCAGTTTTGCTTGTTTACCGTCCCATTCAAAGTGAAATGCGCTTCGTCGCTGAACATGATTTTTGATGAAAAATTGGCATCAATTTGGCGGTGTTCAAGGAGCAGATCTGAGAACGTTCGGCGCGAAAAATGGTCGGCCCGACGCAGCTCTTGCGTCAATTGGATCTTGTAAGCGTGTACATTCAAATCCTTGTGGAGAATGCGGAGCAAACTGATTCTCGAAATGCCCAATTCTTGGGATCGACTCGTTGTTGATTGTTTCGGATCGTCTCTCACACTCTCCTTCACAACAGCAATATTTTCCGGTGTGCGAACGCTTCTTGGCCGGCCAGAGCCTGGCAGATTTGCCACAGAACCTGTTGCCTCGAATTTACGCACCAGACGACCGATGGTTGTTTCGTTTGGGCGGTTGTTGCGACCAAAATGTTCACGAAGCGCGCGAAACGTGTTTTTTATTTTTGCACCATTTTTGTAGTGCTCTTGAATAACTTTAATGCTGTCTTCAATCGAATACGACTCCATAGCGATCCATGGTAAACATTCAACTAACAAAATGACATGTCGGTGACAGAAAACAAAGATGGCGTCTATGTCAAATTGACGTTTACTTTCCTGCGTCCCTATTGGACAACCCTTATATATATATATATATATATATATATATATATATAATTCTCAACTGCCATTAAAGCTAAACAATTTTGAAGCAGGAGATTAATCCCCCAAATTAAACTACAATACTCATTGTTTGACTGCAAATATGCACGATATTCTGATAATAAGTTGTATTTAATAGCTAATTATCTAAGTTCCTCGGTGAAATATATTATTTTGAACAATGTTTTTTGTAAAATACACCAAGGAATTTGACAGGTTGTGCCCATTCACTATTATGTGGACGAGTAACTGATTTCGTCATATTCAAGTACAACTTATTAACCACGAACCAGTTTTGCATATCAGTTAGCTGTTGCTAAGAACGCTGGGCTTTTCGGTTCTTTTGACAACTAGTCCCGGAATTCCCCATTCTCTGTAAGAGTTTGTTTTTGAAGTAGATATAAGCAATACGAAAATGATTCATAATTAATGTTTTTTCAATACATTTTCTTCACTCGTTTATTGATTCTCGGCTTGACCTCAGCATGTCTGCAATAAAAAGCTACAAAACTTTCGTATAAAACATTGTTTGTGAAGAAATAAGCCAGCATTTTTAGAAAAACCGCAACTGTTGCGTTTGAGTACATTTTAATTACCATTTTTTTTATCTTATTCATTCAAAGTTTTTACGTCGTTAATTTTGACAAAAAATGAGATTGCTTAATTTGCTTGGAGCGAAAGTTTAAAAGTGGCATTTTACACCACTACTGTGATTATCTTACCTTCGGACGTATCCTCCGACAGCTCTTTTCCTAGACTAACTGAAGCAAATAGTTCTCCATTACTCGAATATTTCGCCGTGCTTGCTGCCATACTGTTTGGCGATAATATATAACTGTGAGCTATTTGAAGTCTTGTTGTCAAATTATATTGGGCAATTAGATCATACCTAAAAAATAATCATACAATCACTGGACTGAAAACGTCAAAAATCATTCTCTTTATTCATTGACAGCATCATATACATTACTCATGAAAAATCATATGTTTTCAAGAAATCTTCTGAAATGGGACTTTGCACAGGTTGTTTTTTATAAAATGTACAAATTCTTCTAAAATATAATAAATCGATTACTCATTATAATGTTCGTCCATTTTAACGTCCGTTGCTTACCTCGACATTTCTTCAATAAATAGTAACTCGTGCATCCTTTCTCTATAATTATTTTTTGTAAATCTTCGTTCAGCTACTGTAGCATGAGACAGTAAGAATGTATCAGCTTGTGGACAGGGGTACATTGACCTAAAAACAAGCGATGAAAAAATAGTACATTATATACCTACGTTAAAAAGTAGCGACAAAGGATATAATGTAGGAGATCAATAATGGCCTTTTTTTCAACAAAGGTATGTGTAATATTTTTTCTCTAACAATGTATCTACTTTGTTAGACGTAGATATTTTGATAATCCCTCATGCTTGTCTGGCCAATAAAACCACATGTATTGACAGAATCTTCTCTACTGTAAACATTTCAATCACAAAGGTGATCTTCAGTACAATGACAATATGTTTTTTATTGATGTTATACTATAACTATTTTTCGTTTTTTTTTTTGCAAATACCTTAAAATAACTAATTACCAGCAGTTACACAGAAAGCTCAAATTAATGAATGTAACACAACCGGTGTATTGCAGCAATGTTGGTTGACCTTTTTTCCTTTTGCTAGCATCAGATACAGTTTTTTCCAATATCCCGATTGTAGAGGGATTCCTTTTTTACACCCAAGCGCCGCGCAGGCAGAAGCCTGAATGCCGCGGCTGCTATGAGCAGCTCAAAGAAACTTTGTTAGTCCGATGTTTGAGTTGCCCAAGGTTAGTAGAACTGGGAAAAACCTCCTCATGTAGATTGTTCCACAATCTCGATACCTAGTGACAAACTAGCGGTCGTTTCGGTCAGTTCTGGACGTACTAAGTTCGACACGGTTAGGATGGGAGGCTGAAGTCAGGCGGGTCTGTCTGGCAGATAAATCGCGCGGCGGCATCATGGAGGAGAACTCTGAGGGGCAAAGCCCATTGGCGAAGAGATAGAAGAGAGCTAGATCGGCGACGGCCCGCCGGTGCGAAAGGGTCCAGAGACTGTATAATAGAGAAGAGTCATAGACAAGTCGGACAGCACTGCTTTGAACAGCTCGAGCATGAATATTGTAGTCGGGGCGGCAGCACCTCAAACATGTGAGCGGTACTAGAGGCTAGGTCATATACGGCCTTTATACGAGGGATGTCTTTTAAGTTTTGCATATAGAAGCATAGTAGGCCGCGCGGATCGAACGTCAGTACTGAATCTTAACGTCACTCTTTAGTAAACTTAAATTCAAAGTTTCACAACAATACAACTTTCAGAGACAATTATCGCAACAAGAATGCCTTGCTGAGTTACTGTCTGTTTTCGGCAACGAAGCGCCACATCAGTCGACAATTTCATGTTGGTGTGGAGAATTCAAACGTGGACGGGTGAGTCTTAGCGACAATCCCAGGGTGGGTGCACCAAAAACGGCAGTCTCCCAGGAAAACGTCGATGCTGTGCGCAAACTCACCATTAAAGATATGTGACATATCGCGAGATTGAGGCGTCCTTGAAGATCTCAAAGACCTCAATTCAAAAAAATTTACATGAAGAAGTGGGAGCAAGAAAATTAGTTTCTCGTTGGATACCCCACCTGTTGACTGAAGAGCAGAAAGCAGCCAGGGTTAATTGGTGTCAAAAAACGCTTGACCGTTTCTATTCCGGAAACTCAAAAAATGTGTACAGCATTGTTAGTGGTGATGAATCGTGGATTTACTGTTTTAAAGCAGACAATAAACGACAGTCGGCTGTTTGGGTGTTCCAACAAAAGCCATCTGTTCTCGAAGTCTTTCGAAAAAGATGTTCGCGACATTTGTGTCAAAAGCGGGTCATATTGCAACAATTCCTCTTAATGAGCAAAGAACTGTTACTACGGATTGGTATACCACCATTTGTTTGCCAAAAGTCATCACCGAGCTTCAAAAAATCAACCCCGAAAGAAGAATCATCCTCCACCAAGACAATGGAAGCTCGCACACAGCTCAAAAAAACAAGGCAGTATTTGACGGAAGAAAACGTGGAATTATTGGACCATCCTCGATATAGTCCCGATCTAAGTCCTAACGATTTCTTTATTTTCCCGAAAATTAAAAACAGACTGCGTGGTCAAAGGTTCCACTCACCAGAAGAAGCAGTTGACGCATTCAAAAATGCCGTTTTGGATCTGCCAGCAATCGAGTGGAATAAGTGCTTCGAAAATTGGTTCGAGCGCATGCACATGTGTATTAATCTTCGTGGAGAATACTTCGAAAAACAATAGTCATTTAAAACTACCTACGGTGTTGTTTTATTTCCATATGCAGAACTTAAAAGACATCCCTCGTATAGAGTGAGGAGGTTAAGTCGAGAAAAGTACGTTTTAGCCCTAAACAAATAGCTTTTCCCAGCAGCTGCCGGCATTGATGAGAAGTGTTCGTGTCAGATCAAGTCCTCGGTAATCTGGATTACTACCAGCCGAATGAACGGCTCTTTGGCAAATCGCGGCCATCCATCGATACAGTGATAACCTCCAGGTCTCTCGTCACAGAGGAAGTGGCTGATAGTCTTTTTTTTCCAGCTCACCAGCAGAGATTGACTCGCCACCCTGAATTTCTGAATTTCTGCATGTAGAGTGCTGTCATCAGCAAAGCTATGGATTGGATTGACCATATGGGAAAATAGGTCGTTGATATGTAAGAGGAACAATGTCGGAGCCAAGACCGATTCCTGGAGAATACACACTTTGTCGTTGTGGGATGACGATAACCCGTCAATTATGACTAATATCCTGCGGCCAGAGAGGAAGTCAGCCACCCATCTGCAAAGCTCCTGTGGGAGACCATAGGGTGGATAAGAGGGCAACATGCCACGGCTGATCAAACGCTTTCGTGTTATCAAGAGCAATGACATGAGCATAAGACTGGATGAGTTTACTCCTCAGTTTCGTGACTTAAGCTATCCGGTCCCCTGGCCAAGAAGGACAGCTACACGACACGCATCGGCCTTTCTCCTCCCTTCTATTTCCCAGTTGTATATTCTGGACATTAATGGCGATTTCTCGGGTTGGTACTGGAATAAAATTTCTAAATGAACAATAAGTTTATCTTGAAACTCACCTTAGTCTTTTTTCCCATTCTTCGTTACTACTAGTACTAACTAACATGGAGTGGAACACAACAATATCGGAATTATGAACTGTCCACCTTTCCGAAATCGAAAGTGTAATCTCTTTTCTAATCTCATTTATTTTCTCTAGATCTGTATCAGGAACAACATCCACACATAGGTGTTTCACCAGCAGAGGCTCAGACGAAAAGTCGAAAATTATAGATTGCCTAAAAAATATTCAGTTACAGCACTTGGAGCAATTTAAAAATCTAGAGAAAACTGATTGTTTGAGTGGGCCAAGTGAGTTTAGGGCCGTATCGCCAGTCGTTCCTAGAATTGTAGGACGCCTTTACGGCCTCCTTGATTTTCATAGTTTTCTACTTTTCCGTGTCAGCGCTCTATTTTGAGGTTATATCACAAATATATATTTGCATCAAATTGTTCATGCTTTTGATTTATATAACTTTTTACCAGTCTGAAATTTCCTACAATTCAAAAAGAGACCAAAACTTCACAAAATGAGAGCGCTAACGCTGACACGAAACAGGTGCAATCTAGAAATTTTTGACGGAGACAAAAGACTATAACAAGCAAGGAGGCCATAAAGACGTCCTACTATTGTAGGAACGACTGACGATACGGGCCTTAGTGTTTTCGAAGTACACTGAGGTGTCTGAAATGTTAGTAAGAAGTCATTACTATACAGGGTATCACATAGAACTGCAGCAACTGATTAAAAGTTGACATAAGAAAGTGGGTTTATAGTATAATTGATGGGAGCAACGCGGCTAAAATATTTTCCAAATGGTGGCGCTTCCATTTGTACCGGAAGTAGATACCCACGTGCTTATTATAAATAGAGTATACTGAACATTATTCAATTTTAGATTGTACGCAAGATTCTAAATACATTCTAAGAATTTCATAAATAGACCATATAACAAATGTGCAAGTACTGGATAGTCTAGACAAAAACTTAGATGGTTTGACTGTTTGTTCAAGATATATTTAGCATTAATGCTACAATGTCAATTTTGAATAATTATTCTTTTACACATTTCTTGAATCAGTTTTCTGTAATTTTACATTTTTGTTTATTTAAATTACATTGCTATCCATTTTGGGTACTATTGGATTTTTTAATTCCACCTTAAAGATTTTTAATGATTTGCTAGTTATGCTACTATTATAATTTTTCAGATGACAATCCATACTGCCTCTAGTTTTATAGTTATGATAATTTAAATTTGTGTTTTCTAAATGTGGTGGTAACAAATTATTTTTTAATTTGAATATGAAAATGAGAGCTAAATAGCATATAAATATTTTTACATCCTACCACCGCAAATTTTCTAACATAGACTTAATATTAGCATATTTGTTTTTATTTAAAATGACTCTCATATCACTTTGTAGAATTTGGAATTTTGAAAATGTTTTCATTTACTGCAAGCAAGTTGAACAATATAAATAAATGGGGAAGAATTGTTGTGTTGTACACATTATCAAGATCGAAAAATATTTCTGTTGGTATACCACAAGATAGTAAACTACGTCCATTACTATTTATTTTATACATTAGTGACATTTGTAATATTTTAGATAATTGTAAAATTCAGATATTTGCAGATGATACATTAATATACATATCAGATGAAAATATAGACATTGCTTCAAAAATGCTAAATTCTGACTTGACAAAAATTATAAATTGGTTAAATGTAAATAAATTAAAATTAAATACTAAAACAAAATGTATGCTAATACGGAAATACTTAAATAAAAATATTATCACAGTTAGGATAAATGGTGAAATAATTGAAAATGTTGAATCAATTAACTATTTAGGTATATACAGTGCGTTTCTTTACGAGGATGTCTTTTAAGTTTTGCATATAGAAACATAGAAGGCCGCGCGGATCGAACGTCAATATTGAATCTTAACCTCACTCTTTAGTAAACTTAAATTCCAAGTTTCACAGCAATACGTGCAGTGTTCTCACTACAGTGAATTTTTAAGTGTCACCAAGTCATTAGAAAAATGAAACTCAACCGAGAACATTTTCGCGCCATAATTTATTACAACTTTCAGAGACAATTATCGCAACAAGAATGCCTTGCTGAGTTACTGTCTGTTTTGGGCAACGAAGCGCCACATCAGTCGACAATTTCCCGTTGGTTTGGAGAATTCAAACGTGGACGGGTGAGTCTTAGCGACAATCCCAGGGTGGGTGCACCAAAAACGGCAGTCACCCAGGAAAACGTCAATGCTGTGCGCAAACTCATCATTGAAGATAGACATGTGACATATCGCGAGATTGAGGCGTCCTTGAAGATCTCAAAGACCTCAGTTCAAAAAATTTTACATGAAGAACTGGGAGCAAGAAAATTAGTTTCTCGTTGGATACCCCACCTGTTGACTGAAGAGCAGAAAGCAGCCAGGGTTAATTGGTGTCAAAAAACGCTTGACCGTTACAATTCCGGAAACTCAAAAAATGTGTACAGCATGGTTAGTGGTGATGAATCGTGGATTAACTGTTATGAACCAGAAAATAAACGACAGCCGGCTGTTTGGGTGTTACAAGGTGAAGAAAAGCCGACAAAAGTCATCCGTTCTAAAATAAATAAAATTCGCTTCGATTTTTTCTTCCATTGAACGAGAATTGATCATTTTAAAAATAATTCAAACAGTGTCTAGCACTAAAACCGAAAACTAAATAAGAATATTTTAACTGTACAATGATGTTTGTTTTCGTACTGATATTCTTGTCACTGTCAACAAAAAATAACAAAACAAGTTTTTACCGCAGTTGCTGTGGATACGGCAGGGAATTAAAATTATTTGTAGAGAAAAAATATTCTACAGCATTTACTATATTGTTCAACTATCTTGTTCGCTGCCAATGAAGCTGTATTCTCAAAATTACAAGTCGTGCATAATAAAGCTATGAGAATAATATTGAATAATAAGTACACCAAATTAAAATCTATGTTAGAAGAATTTCAGTGCTTGAATATAAAAAATTTCATATCACATTTGGTTCTTATTTTTATATTTAAAATAAAAAATCATCTTTTGCCACAACACTTAGAATACTACATAGAATTGAATAATCATTACCACAATTATTATATAAGAGGAAATATAGATTTTCATTTACAAACTTGCAATAGTAATATAACTAGCAAATCAATATTTCAGAAATGATTACATGAATTTAATAAACTAAACAATGATATAAAATCTACTTGTAATTTGAAGATGTTTAAAAGAAAATTAAAGGAATATTTTATAGACAGTGAAAGTTCCTGGAGATGCAAATTTTGTTTTTTTTCTAAATATCGGTATGTTTTGTAATTGTTTAGTTTTTTAGAAGAATGTAATTGTAGCAATCATGCTACATAAATTTTAAACAAACTAACACAATTTGTTTCGAATACATACTGAGACTGTGGGAAATGTTATAGAAGTAATTTATTTTTTGATATTTTTCGAATAATGCTATTGAAACTACTTCTATCAAATAAAAGCTAGAAAGTTATAATATTTAGGATACATCACGAAGGGAAAAAATATGTCAATGGTTTGGATGTAGTTCAATTGAACTTTTTAAGCAGGCAGCAATCAAAGTTATGATTTCCATGATGATTTCCAATTAAGTAGCACGCAGCACAATACAAAAAAAATATATCAAGCTCAATTATTTCAAAACTACTTATTTGGACTTAACTTAGTCTGTCTCTGAGGAAAAGATTTTCCCTATGACATTTGAATTGTGTCATCAAAGTGGTAACATACAGTATAGTCCATTCTTACCTAAAAGTTCCAAAAATGCCAGTTGCAAAGACGACAGTAATCTTATATTCAACTGGTTGTGCTGACTCCGGGTACATCAGTGGAGATATCCATTCCTGGTCATTTTTCAGATCCATCTTACAGTTTTTCACGAAAATACTGTCAATGAAAAAGTGCGTGCGATGCGTATCCTGAAGGAGAGCGACCGCTTTCAGATGTTTCATCGTTTTCAACGAGAACGTCCACTCATGGTGACTATTTTTAGAAGACACTGTCACTGCTAGAGAACAAGAACAGTGATCTTCCACATATTCTATTTTGTCGTGCATCATGTTGGTGGGTGTCGAAGACTGGGACCATTTTTCTAACAATTCCTCTGTATAGGATTTGCCTGAAAACATCAGAAAATTATAATTGAATGTCTATTGTATTGAAGATGGTTTGAGTGTCAATATTGGCAAGACTACATTCATATCCATCATTCCAAAAAGGATTTCAGTCTACTTATAACAATAAAGAACAAATCTGTTCAAGAATCACATAGCACTAAATTTGATAGTAAGCCGACATGGGAAAATCACAATGATGTAACCACTATTAGGTTGAGCAAAGTCTGTTTTGTTGTCTCTATGGTCATCCTGAGAGACATTTCTTTAAAAGTTTGATGTTCATGCTTTAGAATAAACAATTTTCTTAAGAAGGAACCTGACAAGATGGTTGTGATGATGGAAATTGTGAACACCCAAATACAGTTTAATGTTGGCCATCTTCTTGGAGAATATGTTAATCAGTGATTAAATTAGAAAACTGTTGAATATAAGAAGGAATGTTTCTTACCAAATAGTTCCTTTTCTCGAGCCCTCTGTATTTTCATCTCCCTATAGCGAAACCTTTCTTTCCATTCTGCAAGTTCTTCCTCACCATGAGCTTGTACACACTGTGTTCCATAACGACAGCTGAAAGAAAGTATTAATAATAATATTAGCTTTAAAACACATCACAGTCCTCAGACATAATATACTATTCCCCTGCATATTATGAAAGCTCAGTAAAGATACATTATCTTTTAAATACTGACATACTATGGCACCACCAGCAACTCATGTTTACAAGTATATACTTCTCAACCACCAACTTTAAAAGGCAATGTTGCTACCTTTTGCTCTGTTGCAACAGCTTATGATATTTCCTTTTCCATAATTCAGAATTTCTAAGAATGTAGAATCTTAGGAATAATTATGGGGCAGAAAGCACGGTAACCTTTCCTTGGAAAGTTTACATCATTTTTATTAGTATTCAATTTTTGATAAAATAACAATAGCTATATTAAGTCTACGGAAATTATTGTGATTCTACTTATTTATTTATTTCCCCGTGACAAAAAACAATGTATAGGAATTGTCATACATTTTAAAATCTAAAAAACCTACATATAACAAAAAACAGTCAAATAGTAAAAAATCAGATTTAACTGCATATATCACAATATTTTTCCACACTATAAAAGCTACTTTCAATTAAATAGTCTTTTAAGACAATCTTCAATGTATTTAAACTGTGGAAATTCTTTATTTCCTTGGCATTAGCAACATGGTTGTTATGATGGAAAATGTGTGTGAACAACCAAATATGATAAGATTTGGAATCTTTTTGAAGAATATGTTAATCAATGTTTAAACTGATGTTAGATAGATAAATATACTTTATTGTCTGAAGAATAACATGATTCTTATGGGCAAAGCAACAAAATTACATATGTGGATCTTATGAAAATGTACTATAAAGTAAAACTAACACAAGGTATAATATGGTTTATTTGTTAGAATGTTTTTAAGTTAAGACTATCTTTAAATTATTGATTTTCTGAAAGGATCAGAAAGACTATTACAAATTATTGAATCATTCACAAGTGTTGACTTAGATACTATTAATTTAAAATCTTGTTTTCATCTATCTTAACTTATATATAATGTTTCAAACTTAGGTTTATTTTTCAAGTGTTGTTGTTCCTAAAATCTCTAGGACTGCTTTTAGTTACATATCTAATTAATCATTTCTGTAATATAAGCAGGGTTCCCAAGCAATTTTGAGAACAGACATACAGGAAAGGAATACTGTATTTAAGTATCATGAAGTAAACTCAATGAAAACTAAAACAAAAATGATATATCTGCACTAATATTTTAATACACCTCATTTAACACGTTCAATGCTACTGCCGCCTATTGGCGACACTGATGTCTAGACTGTTGTGCATCCCTCGCCATAAGGTGACCCATGTGATCTATTATATATGGTGCTTCCGTTCAGGTGGCTCACTAGTATAGTTCGGACATTTGAATAGGCATACAGGTCAACCAAAAAATATTTTTATTCAGGTAAGAAAAAATTCGATAATTACAATATATCTCTCTTTTAGTGTCATTTAAAGCAATTTTAAGGCAAAAGAAATTAAAAACCCCCTTGGCCACTGACCACATGTAACAACATTTAACTGGCAGTGAATGTGTTAACATCTTTTTGTATTGTAAAACATTACTCATACCTTGCTGTTTCCTTCCAGTTATCACACAACAAATAATCATCAAACTTGAATCCTCTAGGCGGGGGTCTCCAGAACCAGTCTCTTCCATCATCAGACATTATCATCATCTCATGTGTCTCAGTCTGACAATGGGCCCTTAATTCAGACTTGTCAACAAAGGAAACATTACAGTAAATACAAGATACTAAAGAGGGAGGTCTGTCCAGCTGAAATATAAAATAATATGAGAAATATAGTATAAATATTAAATATGGGGTTATTTACTTTTGCAGTAGTATAAGCCGAAAAGTTGGTATCTAGAATCTTTAGGAGGTTAATAGTTTTCTGTTTGGTATTTGTAGCATTTATGTAATTCCCAAGAAGACTTTCTAGGAGAGGTTTTATATCTTTACTTATATCTAACTCTTGTAGGTTGATTAACCAATCCCTTGCAGCCATATCTGCCTCTAAAATATCAATAAATTATTTTTAACATCATTAAATTGTGCTCATTCATAAGGCAAGGCTACAATGCTTTTATCAAATTACCTGCATATCTCTTCAATGAATACAAGGAGTGAATCAGTCTTTTTCTTGCCAGACAAGCACTATAGCTATTATGATCAGTTGATAATTTTATGACATTCTTCGAGTCAACCACCACACAGTGGTGATTCTGTAGTTCTAGAAAGCATTCTGCTCGATCGGTTAAATAGGATATGACTTGTTCAATTGTGTTATGCTTATTTGCCAGTAATTTATTGTAGATGTCTATTGCTTGCACCCAGTTTTTCTGTTTCAAATATTCCTGTGCTTGTAGATCCATTGCGGCCGGAGTCATTTAAAGCAGATTATTCACATTCACGTCTTGGGGTTCATTGAAACGAGATTCTTGGTTTTTGTGTAAATACTTCTAAACATACGAGACAAAATTTTAGGAAAATCTAATATACATGGATAGGTGGGTGCTCAATTTTTTGGTGCTCGACTCAAACTTCAACTGTCATAGTTGTTATTTAATGCTGTTGCTGACATCTATTCAGTGTTGCCAGGTATAGTCGATCTGTTTTCGGTAGATTCATGCAAAAATTTTTAGTAGGTCGTGAATTTTTCGGTAGTAATGCTGAAAAACTGCTATTTGAAAAAAAATCGAAGAGCGGGGCTCTGATCTTACTGATCCAAACTTGTGCTTCGTTGAATTATATGAGAAATATACTATTTACTATGTAGTATCATTAGAAAACGGAATAAATGTCAACGTTTGTGTACCAAGTAGACGCTAAAGTCCAGTCTGAATCTACTCGCTATGAGCGCCACCTGCGGTGAGATTCAAATTTGGCTGAAGTCGTACTGTGTAGGAGAGAGAAGCGTGTGATATGTATGTTAGAAAGAGTGCGCCGATAGCATCCGTGACCTCGGACTTGGGTTGCTAAGCAACAAAGTGCTTCTATCTCTTTCTAACAAACATATTGCACGCTTCTCTCTCGTACACATTACGACGTTAGTGGTATTTGGCTTTCAGGGTAATAGGGGATAAATAGTACAATGACGGCAATGAAAATATAGTTTGGGCCATAGAAGTTATGAATGGTCCCACTAGTCCCATCTCTGAAGCAGATGTTACATCAAAGCCAAACCATATAGCTCAAATGTCACGACGTTTAGGTAACGTACAGCTACTAAAAGTAAATGACAGCTAGTTCTAAGCTAACATTTAAAATTGATGTACTGTGACTTTTCGAGTTACGTAATATCGATGCTGGTACATCTATTCACCAGATCTACTAGTCTAAGAGTTGGTGACACAAGACCCTTAGAAACCGCCAGGAAAAAAATGCCACTCCTCAAAACATATATTGATGTGCTCCACTGGGTGCTCGTGCAACAATAAAAGATTACGGTTCCCAACGGACGATGGGTAGGTCAATATAAACCCCCTGGAAAGATAGTCCCATCGCTCATCATGCATTTTCATGATTAACGTATTCTACCTCAGGATAAAAAATCTTTCCTATAATTGCGCGTCAAAAAACATTATCCCAGTTAAAATGAGATACCATAGCGTCATCTATGAGAACTCGTCATAGCTGTTACTTGATTTACTATATATGCTTTGAAAATGTTATCTCGTAGATGCTGCTAACTATATGAGCATATACAACAATAGAGAAACATCTGTGACAAATTCTCACCATAGATGGGTATCTCACTTTATCTCAGATAGTTTTTTGGAAGCGGAAATATAGTAGTAGGTTGGTAGAATACATTAATCAATAGTTTTATTCACTTGTAGCCACAAATAACGAAACTTTAGTGAATAAATAGTAGTTAGAAAGGTAAACAGTTCAAAGAGAAACAAAATTACCGTGAAAATAGTATATTGAATAATAAATTACAATACAAAATATAGTGGCCTAAATTACACAAAACTACAGCTTATATTCCACGACAAAAATTTTCTGTAGAATACAAATACCTGTGTATTGGCGCACCCCCAGGATACTGCACAAAAATGCAAAAAATGGAATGAACAAAATATGTCAATTTGATAAATTCGGATGTATAACAATTTTCATATAAATGCAATGTAAAATTTTATATATCAAAACAAGACTAGTATAAAATAAAGGGTACAGAGTAAATCATCCAAAATGTTTTTTTCACTTGGTCACTATCCACTATTCTGTATGGATTCCCTATTACTATCTCTCAACATAAAAAAAACAAAGATTGGGGTTTAAACACGTGACCAAAGCTGTAGTGATAAAATATGCATTTTTACAAAAATATAATATGTAAAAGCACGTTTTGAATAATTATCATTTTGTACTTTGTTTGATTTACTATGCACTGTTCTGAAGAAAAACAGTTAGCTATCGCCAAATAGAATGTGCGTGAGAGATCAAAAAAGTTAAAATTTAGAATGATCAGTCTTTCCTTTTTTTTTTAGAACGTTTGCAAAATGTGATGGCGTCAGTAGAGCTAACTGAATTTCGAATATGGTCAATATATCTATATATACAAGTAAAAATATGAACTTGTGCCTCAAAGACATACTTACATTGTAACTTATAACTAATTTTCGTTTATTTGGCACAACATATTATATCAATACCATCCACACGTAGAGGAGAGCACTACAGAATTCTAGCAATTCAAGGGTTTTATTAACCAATGTTAAGTTTCACACATATTTGCAAGTGTTTTAAAAAGTGCAAACCTCAATAAATGTGTGTGCATTTTTTTCAAAGAAAACGTGCTGTTTGCAGTAGGGTTAATTAATATTTTAAGGAATTAATCTACCATGTGCTCTCAAATATACAGGGTGTTACAGAATGTCAAGAAATCTGAACGTTAAAATACGAAAAAAATCTCATTTAAATATAGGTCGGGAAATACTGATTTTCCAAATTGAGATAATGACATGAATTTTGGAACACGCAAATTAATTATCACAGGTCACATTAACGTGTTCAAAATTATACTCTAAACCACTTACATCAGTGGAGCTCATACCGTTAACTGTATGATAGTCATAGAAATTGCGCCATTGGTTTTAGAAAAAATCAGCATCAGTATCATAAAGCCAGATTGATACTGCCTAGATATGCTTATGAGAACCTCTTTAGAATTTCCTCGTGATGAATCTGCCGTTTTTTCCTAACAGTCTGTAACACCATGCATACTATCATTGATTAACGTAATTAATAGCCAATATCATATATATATATATATATATCCTGTCCTATCCATATCCTGTATTTCGGGACCCAAAGGATCTAAAAAATCCTAACGTCATCTATGAGACCGCAGTAGGATACAAAAATGAATTTACAAATCTACTTTGATGATAGGGTATTTGGTTCTAATCCCTGATAGATGGCACTTGGAATTTTAAGTCTTTTTTGGGCGCCTCTCATTTTAATTGAATATCTTCAGTCGGAATACGCTACTGAGTGCCCGAAGATACGGAAACAGTAGTAGTTACAACTTGTTCTAAAATTTTTAAATTTATTTTTGTGATCTGTTACAGTCTCATAATGACGCCAGATCCTTTTTTGAGCTCCGAAATATAGTATGTATATGACTATCTTCAGGTGAAATATGTTAACCGATCATATACGGGGTGTTAGGGAAATAATATTCGTAACTTTAAGAGGTAATTCCTTGCATTATTCTAAGCAAAAAACCTCCGAAAATCAACCGTTTCGGAGCAAAAAAATGCTGAACTTATTTCTTTTTAGCCATGAAATAATTTTGCGCCTTAATAATTTAAATACATATGGCTAATAGCGTAAAATGTATCAATACAACTATTTATTAATTAACTGTCTCTAACAAAATATTTTTTTCGCTTATTACATACAATTTTCAGAAGAAAAACAGACAAACAAAATCCCTCACACAACTGGCAACGTCGTACTTCGCCTGCACTGCATGTATTATCGCGTGTTGTGTTTACTAATACATTTAACTGTAACTTTATGTGATTTACGGATGTTGGTTTTTTCTTTTTTCGTGCATCGCATCGTTTCAAATAAGTGACTGATAATCGTGGGAATTGGTGGTGTGTATCGCCACGTACTGGTAAGTTTTGTCATTTTTTTAAGTAAATGTACTGCAATGAAAGCGTTATTAAATAAAAAATATTAGCCACAAGAAATTGCATAAAAGTATTCCATAATTCAAGGCATATTTTCAACAAAAATATCATACAAACGTAAACAATTCGATAAATCAGTTGCGTTCGTCGTGCGCTCGAATCGCGGTTGCGATGCAGCATTGCCAAATGTTTGAGAAAATTTGATTACTTACGACTCACTTTCCTCGAAAACGATTGATTTCCGGATAAAAGTTATAATGAACTCTTTTGCTTAGAATAATGCAAGGAATCACCTCTTATAGTTACGAATATTATTTCCCTAACACCCTGTATATTCATTCCAAGATTTTACAAAAATGCTAAAATTTCGAGAGTTCGCCTCTATTTGCAGCTGATATTCATATTTATTACTTTTCACAACCCTACACTCATAACGATATAGACCACACTTTCCTTCAAAATTGTGTGAAGTGCCTTAGATCAACAGTTGTTTTTTATAGTATTTTGGTCTTATAAGTGGTACTGGTAGTAAATTCGAATTAAAGATGAAGTGTATGTCTAAAATGCTTTTGCACTGTAATTTTCAAACATCAAACTGTGATGGTCCTCTATCCTGATATTTCTTCATCTTCAGGGTGATTCAGAAAACAATGAAAATATTTCTAAGGCATAAGGTAATAAACATAGGTCCCAATAAGACCCCTTACCAAGATACAGGAAGTTGAAGTTATAATTTTGATATAACAATATTCTACTCCAAAACATTAATTTTGATACACTGGATTATCTTCGACAGTTGAATGACCTAACAGTGCTGAATAGTCCGGAATCATTATTCAAAATCAGTTTTATGGTGCAAAAAGATCTACTCGCTCTAATGCTAGGGGCAGAACTAATATATCAGACATTCCTCCAGTTAAAAGTATGTGTGATGTGTGTTTAACACATGAATGTTGATGTCAAGAATGCGACATCAATTACGATATCCTCAAGTGATTTTAAGTCATTTTAAACATACCTATTCAGTGCCAGAGATGTATATTTTTGTAAATATAGCCGTACTTTTTTTTAATGTCAATTTTAGCTTCATTCATGATCATGTTTTTATTTCTTGTTATTCTGTTTTTCATTCATGTTTTAAATTCAATTTGTAATTTGAACTTTTAGTCATGAGAGAATCTAGCATTTGATGTTACTATTGATTGTTCCTGTAAATTATTTTCGAAAAAAAATACATCTTCGGAGTCGATTAAGATATTCACTTAAAATTTTGCACATGTTGTACAGCCTAGACATAAGAATTGTATCTGAAGCTACACTATTAGCGTAAAAATTGGAAAATATTGACCATACATAACAATGAACAATATTTTCTATGACACTGGCTTCTTTGAAACATCTACTACATTATGAAACATGGTATTCAATTTTTACATATATCACCTGTCTCAAGAAATTTTTGTCAGATTTCTGTTAGAGATAATATTGTTTGAACATATAAGGAAAAAACTATATAACTTCAACAAGTTCTACTTTGAAAATACGCTTAAGTTTAATACTGAAAATTGCATCTAACATTTTAGGAGAGTAATCCTATCTCTCCCATAGCGTTATTTCAATACTTAATAGTTAGTTAAACAGAACATTTCAGAACATATGTGTATAGACACCTTTTTGTTGTATTTTTTGCCCTAGAATAATTGTCATTGTTTATATTGACCCTATATGATGATACTTCAGGTTAAACTCCCTATTTCAGCAACACATGATGATAGAAAGACATCCAAAATAATACTTCATATTAAATGAGGTTTTACTACCAGTATATGGCAGCATATTATTTTAGTTCTACTATTGATTAACGTATTTTACCTGAAGAGACAAAACCTAATCCTATATTCCTGCGCCCGAAAAATTATCCAAGATGAAATCAGATACCGTAGCCGACATCTATGAGAATTTTTCACGGCTACTTTGTAAAGGTTAGTCTCTCATAGATGGCGCTGGAGCCAACTATATTAGTATATAGGATATGTTTAGCTACAGAAACCAACCTTTTCAAAGCAGATTTCTAATTAATGCAGAAAGGAGAACCATAGCTGTGACATCTGATGTGTCTAATAAATAAAACTACTGAGATCAAGGTACCGAAATATTTTAATGAAAAAATGAAATTCAGGTATATATGGAATACAGCATCAATCTACAAAATGTAGAGTTACTTAATATTCCCAAACAAAAGACTTCCCTATTTGAGCGTTTCTTCAGGTACAATTGCGCCAAGTTCTATTAGCGGGCGACCAACATACACACCGACGGAAATGACTGACATCATTTTTCGTGACGTACATCCAAAAACATATCTCATTTTCTAAAATTTTCGCGATTGCAAAACCATTAGCCGTGGGAAGTAAAAATGTAAAAAATATTTATATGAGGAACAGTGTAGGCAAACAGTGAATTGTGAATAATTATGTTATAATAATGGTTCTAATATTATTGTGAACTGTCTTAACATTTTGTAATTTTTTCATTTGTATTTCTTTATTTGAATTAAGTTTGCAATTATCTATGTATCTATTTATATAAAATAAAGCCGTTTATTATTATTATTCTCATAGATATGATCATTTCATACTGGATCATTTTTTGAACGCGGGAATATAGTATTATGTTGGCTATATTCAGGTAGAATACTTTAATAAATGGTTCTACATAGAGACCTAGAGATCAAATGATGGAGTATTAGGGTTTCAATAGAGATTAACTAAAAAAGCACTATAACTTTATGAATAATGGTAAAAGACTCACTATAGTTAAAAAAATAGTATCGGTTATTAACGTATTCTACCGGAAGGTAGCCAACCGAATGCTGTATTTCGGCGTCCACAAAATGATCCGAAATGAAATGAAATACCGTAAAGTCATCTATGAGATTTTATCACAACTATGACTCTCATATCCGCAATCATCAGAAATCTACTTTGAAAATGTTAGCGTCTTTGGGTTTAAATAAGCATATAGCTGGCCACAGCGCCATCTATGAGATATTAACCTTTTCAAAATAGTTCTCTAATTATTGCAGAGAGCAGAGACATATCTGCAACAAATTATATTACGATAGGGTATCTCATTTCATCTCGGATAATTTTTTGGACGCCGAACAGTTGGCTATCTACAGGTAAAATATGTTAATCAATGGTAGTATCCACGATAGTTCGATGCAATAATCTTAGTAAAAAGTCGGATCAATGGGAAAAGTAAGGTAAAGTTAAAAAGATTGTCAAATCGGTTAGTAGCACAAATTTCATGACCTAAAAAGACGACTTACAGACAAAGGAACTGTTTAAAATTACGAAAAAGAAATTCAAACACGGATATTAGTATATGCAGGTAATTATATCATTTAAAAAAATGTTAGCCGTATATAATTGTACTACAACAAACAAAACAAAACATGCAACAAAATAAAATATAAAACTATAAGAAATAAATATCGGAGGATAAAGCTCTACTGAATATAATCTGCAACTTCATCGTTATTCCAAAAAACTCTCCAAAATTTAAAATACAATGGAGTCATAGCTGAACGTATTCTACCTGAAAATAGCGAAACGTACACTGTATCTCAGCACCCAAAAAAGAATCTGAAAGAACCTAGCGCCCTCTATGACTCAGTGGTAGCTCTATTTCCAAAGTAGAAGTCTAAATTCATTTTAAAGTTCTGCTACTGTCTCATATTCAGGTAGAATACGTTAATGAATGATATAATTTTCAATTCGATTAATGCTAGTACTCGAGAAAAATATTTATGAAACTTGAAAACATTTCACTTGCAAAAATATGGCAATACAGTGAATTTTTCCATGATTCGTGTATTGGTCTTTGGAATCATAGGCCAACAAATAGGGAGATTTTGTATAAGGAAATCCTACAATTTTGGTGCCAGTAAATTTTTCGGTGGTGTCGTTAGATTATTGCTTCCTAACAATAAGTTCAAACTGGCGTCATGATAGGACTGGATCATTTACCGCCATTTTGATAAACGCGTTTGACATTATTTCACGAGAAGAAAAGTTAATTATTAACTGATCAAGAATACCATTTTAAAGTCAATCCATTTTTTACTGCCACGTTTCAGTATGGATAATTCAGTATTTTTTGATATCTGTGATGTTTTCATTATGAAGATTAAGTCACTCACTCCAATCAGTCTGTCTAACACTGGCGAAGCGTCCATGTAACCATTGTTACCATTGGTAACAGTTAGAAATCTTAAAAATAAATATTTGATGACTAAGTACTGTGAAATAATTTCATTTATTTGTTTGCCAACAGCGATGTGTAATAGTAATTCAGTAAATAGCAAATTAGCCTCACGTAAATAATGCGCTCTATTGTTTCTAGGTATCGCGAACACGATGAAGCTGACTCGCCTCGACTTGGTTGTGGGTTGTTACCATTTTCATTTATGGATACAATTGGTAGTTCGTCGGGGACCGTCGGTATACGGCTCGTGTCTGATCGCGGTCGCCCGAGTGCGTGGGGCGCTGCGACTATTATGTGGACTTGTTACCATTTTTTGATTTGGTTACTCACTATCTCACTCGTTAGTAGCCGTTTTGGTTACCGGCTGTAGTGTGCGTGAAATTAAACATGGATGAGTGTCACTGCGTAATCCATCAACTACTTGGAAAGTCATTCTCCTTGTATGATTTTTAAGAAAAAAAGGAGATCATTGAAAATGGAAGACCAAAACCTATTTTAGATAATTTTAAAAAGGAATAAAAAAACGTGTTTGATATTTTAAATTAAGTTGGTATATGGAGACTCTTGGTTATGTGGTTGCCAAAAAACAGATTGTATTGTTGGCGATGTCTTCTGTTTTATACAGAAAAAAATGGGTGGACCAGCAGCGGAGTCAACGATTTAAATAGTTTTAGAGCTCTAAAGAGGAGACATGAAATTTCTCCGTTACATGTGAGATGCGTAGCCAATTTAATTCAGTTTGGCGAAACAAGAATCGAAACATGTCTTAATCACGCTTTTAGGCAGCACACTTCTAGATACCGTATGTTTTTTGACAAAACAATTACCGTTCATTTTGAAGTGGATGACTCTGACTATAGAGGAAATTACAGGGAATTGTTAACATTCATAGGAATGTTTACCTTAATTTAAAAATAGTTTAAATAAAATACCTAAAATAAGCAAAAACTTACATTTGGGAGGTTCAAAGTAAACTGTTTTTAATAAGATTTTTCATATCTGGTTTTGGTAACAGTTTAGGAAAAGTCGCCACTGCTGTCTAATTACTTTGTCACCGAGTAATTTCAGTATCCGTTGCAACGATTTTAATGGAAGAGGAGATGTACTAGATGTAGTAGATGATGTTTATGTCATCACTCCCTTTTCATTAAAATCACTACAACGACTGCTAAGTGACAAAATAGCCGCCAATAGACAGACTAACGGAAGTGGGTGATCGGCATTTTTATGATAAAACCATCATAAATTGTCCGAAAATATTACATTGTAAAAAATGGATTCACTTAAAATGGACAACGTAAGTAGAGTGCGTATTATGTCGACCGACTGTTTTCTTATACTTGAAGAACCATCAAGGTGCCGAAAAAGCGTAGACGACACTTTTTGTAGAAAGTTTTATTATCTACTATATATATATATATATAATACGCTTAGCTTTAGCCAATATGAGCGAAAATATCATTGTATGTAACTTTACCCTTGAATTTCTTGTCACCTGACTATATGCCAACGTTTTATAGAAAATGGTTAAGAATGTAATTTGATACAAAATTTCATTACTTTTTTACATAGGATCGATGGTTTTCGAAATTTTCTGTCCAACTCGTTTATCAAAATGGCGGCAAGTGCTCCTTGAAATCACTATGAAGCAATAATCTAACCATGTTACAAAAAAATTTACTGTTCTTAAAATTGTACCAAAAAAATACCTATTTCCTTGCCTATTAAAACATTAACATTGCAAAGTAGATTGTTATCTTTAGAAAAAATTATACTACACATTTGCTAAACAAAAATTATAATAGTATGCATAAACAGAAATTCTGTTAGAACAAAACCTACAATATTTTTATGGTATTTTTTCATATTTTCCTCTAATGTTTCTTATATTCATTTTTATACTAACAGAAAGCCCAATAATAAACAAATTAAAACTACAACAAACAATTGCTATCAATATAAAATGCGTAATAAAAAATTTTTCTCTTAAAAAAGATCACGATATGTCATCACATTTACTCACTGCCTTATGAAGATTTCTTGTAATGTTTGCTCCTTCTCTTAAAAAAATTGAGCTAGGTACCAGCACCTTTGAGCAATTTCGTATTGCCATTGCACATTGTTCACGTCTTCAGGGCAACTCAAACAAACCTACAACTATCTCTACACCAATTTTTTCTGTAATATTCAACGGTAATATTCAATTGAACTCAAACCGAGAGAAATGAATTGTGAGGAAAATGTACAGGGCGGTCCGTAATCAATATGCCAAAAAAACAATAAGCAAGTAATTTTGTAAAAATAATGTTATTGAACTAAACATGCCTTGGAGATAAAGGGTGGCGAAGTTCAGTTCTTGAAATAGTTATTATACAGGGTCCTTAATGAATATTCCAAGAAAAATAAAAAAAAGAAAAATAAGCAAGTAGATTTGTAATGTTACTGAGCTGAACATGCCTTGGCAATAAAGGGTGCTGAATTTATTTTCATTATAAGTAAAGTTTTTTGTTATATCAACAAGGGTAAATTGGGATTTGGATATTCCTGAAGATGGGCAATTTCATCAATATTCTATTTTCAACATGATATGTGGAGAGCAGTGACGTATATACGGAACAAGATGCTGATTAAATGTTGAGCAAATGTGACAATTTTTAGGTAAACCACGGACCACCTTTTGCATGCATATTTTTTATTCTTTTATTTATTGTTGCATAGCACATTTCTTCCCCCATTCTATTTCGAACGTTGGTTTTCAGTTATTTTCATTTTGCTTTGCATTCTAGCCACCCACACTTAAGTTCTATATACGCTTCAGGTATAGTGTGCTACTTACAGGTTGTAATATCGCTATTTAGTGCCATAAATATCTTGCTTGTGACGTACCACGATTATTTTGGTTTGACAATTTTGATAGAGAGACGATTTTTGAGTAAAAAAGGAGCTACACATTTTTTCCATCAACCAAACCTTGCATTCCAGCACTGCACAGCCTAATGACCACCTCAAAACAATTCGCTAATGGTCACATATGCAAGGTATATGAAATGAATATTGTTATGGATATTTCACAATGTCAATATTCCTGAAATATCATCAAATATACTGACAAAAGAAGCAAAATGGCACTAAATATAGAGATTGTGGACTGTAACTATCTTCCTCAAACTGATCCATATCAATATATTAGCGAGTGACATTTTAGTAATGTATCCTACCTGAAGATAAACAACTATGTACCGTTATTTGGCTCCTAAAAAATTATTCAAGATAAAATGAAATATATGGTCAACTATGAGAATCTGTCATTCTTTTCTCCTCTCCTCAGAAATTAATAATATACGTTAGTGTGTTAGATATTATCATCTACAGCACCATCTACGAGACATTAACATGTTCAAAGAAAATTTCTAATTATTGCGGAAAGGAGAAACATAGCTGTGACAAATTCTCATACATGATCACAGGATATCTCATTTTATCTAGGATAATTTTTTTGATACTGAGTGGTTGTCTATCTTCAGGTGAAATATGTTAATCAATGCTCAATACCATTATTTTTACGAGTTTAGTCTAGGATTGTTTTTTGAGCATTCTTTGCAAACCAAATTTCCTTTAAAAGACACATAAGCGTCATCAAATCTATGGGAGAAAAAGAACTGTATGAAAAATCTTTAGAGTTGGTGCAGATAAGGACTATGAATATGCACTTATCATATTGAGTCACCCTGTTCAGTTATTGCACAATAGCCTAACCAACTTATTCATCTGGCAATATAGTTTCCATAATGTAGACTTTCCCTGTGTCATCTACAGTAAGGAAAGAACTGAAATCGTTAGAAGGGGAAACATATTTGGCCTTGCCATGTAGCTTCATGCAAGACAGGAGATGGTCTGTTTTGGAAACTGGTTGTCGTTCTACCCAGAATGTTATGTTCATCGAGCTTGATTCGACTGCGTTAATATTACGTATTATGTCGATGCTAGAAAACAAAAAAAAAAACAGTTTGAGAAAACGTTATTCAGCATCTATAATGAAGAATACAATCATTATTATTGACAAAGCGAACTTTAATAAAATATAAAATTGTTAATGAAATTGGAAAGTCCGCAGGGGAGTTAAATGGGTCTGTTACTATTTATTATATATATGTATATATATATATAATAATCGTCTTTATTTGAACTATACAATTATTTCATACAGAGAAACAAGAGTTGCATGTGGTGACGAAGTTTAGCAACATGCTACTATTACACTTAACCACGCATGCAAAAAAACAAGTTGTTAAGTAGCAGATATCAAACAAAATATACATATACTAAGAGACATATAAATCCGAACACCCAGTTTAAATGGTTTTATTTTAATAAAATTTTTTATAAGTACTTAATGAAGCATAATAAGTAAATGATAAAAATTTCAAAATGACTGCACTGCTTTAAAGCCCTTTGACCTTTAATAATGTGTGGACGCACCCTGATGTGCTACGCATTCTCCAACGCGCCTTGGCATGCTTCTGATCAGGTGGTCAATGTCCTCCTGTGGTATCCCATTCCAGGCAACCACCAACTCCTCTCGAAGTGCTTCTAGAATCTGAGGAGGACGTTGCAAATTGAGCAATCTCCTACCCATCATATCCCACACGTGCTCAATTGGGGATAAGTCGGGAGATCTTGGTGGCCATGGTAACAATGTGACATCATTATGTTGAAAGAAGTCTATTGTGACTCTTGCAACATGTGGTCGGGCATTTTCTTGTTGGAAAGTTGAATCTGCCAGGGTGTCAAGATAGGGTAAAAGATGGGGTTCTAGAACTTCGTGGATATAACGCTGCGCGATCATGTTACCTCTGATGAAGATTAAAGGTGACCTGGAACCATAAGCTATAGCACCCCAAACCATAACTCCAACAGTGTGATGATCATGTCTTTCAACAAAAAACTGTGGATTCCTACTTTCACCACGTCGCCTTCTAACCCTGGCACGACCCTCGTGCATGCCTAAACAAAATCGAGACTCGTCGTCACTAAAGACAATACCGTTCCATTCCTGATCCCAGAGTGACCGTTGTCTGCACCACTCAAGGCGATTACGTCGGTGTTCTCGAGTTAAAGGGAGGACCCAGTGTGGCCGGTATGAAAACAAGCCAAAACTTCTCATTCGTCGGTAAACACTTCGCATGCCAATAGGTCTTCCGTGTTCTGCAAACCATTCATTTGCAATGGACCTGGTAGTGGAGAAACGATCCCTTAAGGCCAATAATCTTAGGCGGCGATCTTCACGGTCTGTTGTTCTACGGCGGCGTCCAGTGCCCCTTGCTCTTTGCGTACGGCCTTCTCGAAGACATGCCTGACAACACCTAACTACAGTGTCTACACTTCTTTGCACTCTAACTGCAATAGCCCGAAAAGAAAGTCCAGCTTCCCGAAGTCCCACTATACGGCCCCTATCAAACTCACTAAGTTGACGAAATCGTACAGGTCTCCGTACACTAGGCATCGTAACCGATCGTAAAGGATGTCAAGAACCAAAATCCGCCAACGTTGATTCTTTACTGCGGCTGAAATATTAATTTTTAGAGCGTTACTGAATTAAAAAAAAAGCAGTATAAAAACCGGAATGTCCAACTGATAAGGCTGAAAATTTGTTCACTTGTTATTTACATTAAGATAAATACATTCACCAACTTTTATTAAAATAAAACCATTTAAACAGGGTGTTCGGATTTATATGTCACTTAGTATATATACATACACATGTACATACATACATATATACATACATACATACATGTTGCACCAAGGTTTACTACATGTACACAAAGGAAGTGAAGAATCATTTAAAAATATATCTATAGCAATCTAATTAAGACTATGGATCCAAGCAGATATGAGATTTTACAGCTTTCTTGAAGCAATTTAAGGACATGGTTTTGAATTCGGGACTCACGGCATTGTATAACACTGAAGCACTGTACGTGAAAGAAGGCTGGAATAAAGTTGTGGAGTGAGTAGGTGTAGTTATAGTTAGTATATAATTTGTAAATCTAATATGCCTACAGATCAGCTTTTCTCTTAAGTATATAGGTTTTGACATAAGTATTAGTTTATGAATGAAAACAAGGTAATGATATTTGACAATATTTTTTGTTATCATCCAGTTTAATTCAATAAGACTACCAGAAACATGGTCAAAGCGCCTTAAACCGCAGATGAACGTAGCACAACTGTATTGCACAATTTGAATCCGATTTCTAGTAACAACATTGAGACACGGATAATATAAAATATCACAGTAGTTGAAAATCGGCATAACGAAAGGTGAGCACAGTTTTTTCCATAGCTTATAATTGAAAATTGCTTTATTGGCATATAGTGATATCAGTCTCAAGTAGGTTTTCTTCAAAAGATTTTTAACATGACTGGTGAATCTAAGTTTGAAATCGATTACCACGCCAAGAATTTCAACCTCGTCAACCGGGTACAGTCTTTGAGATCCAATTTTAATAGTTAATTGACTTTTAATTTCTTCTCTCCTATGATCCGAACAAAAAATAATAGGCTGGATTTACCAGGATTTATTGACAGGTTGTGGTTATTCGAGAAGTCATACACTTTTTGAATACCATGGTTTATTGATGTCTGTGCCATTTCCATATCATCAGTATCAAAATAATGGACCAGTTGAGTATCGTCCGCGAAAGACTGGAGTTCACAAAAACTCAGAGCCTTAGGCAGATCAGCAATATATATCAAAAACAACAAGGGACCCAAAACAGACCCCTGAGGTACTTCAGACGAGATTTCTAGAAAACTAGATTTATTGTTTTCAATTGATACACACTGCGATCGATTTGATATATAATTTCGGAAAAAGTTCAATGCAATTTTATCTATGCCATAATACTTCAATTTTGCTCTTGACAACTCATGATTTATTTAGTCAAATGCCTTGGAGTAATCGATTGACATCACTGCTACGCCCACTTTTTTATCAAGTTCTCTAATATATATATATATATATATATATTATCAACCAAGTTTAAGAGGAAAGTAGTAGTACTGATAGAAGTCCTAAAAGCAGACTGATTAGATGGGATGATATGTTCCTCTGCATAATGCATTAGTTGTACGTGGGGTGTCTTTTCAACTACCTTCGATAAACAAGGCAATAGGCTTATAGTTCTTAGATCAGCAAACTCATCTGGATTTGATTTTTTTTGAACTGGTACCACAATTGCTCGCTTCCACGTTTCAGGGAAATAACCTCTGTCAAGGCAACTATTAACAAGGTGGGTGATGTAGATGAGAGTAACAGGCAAACTGAGCTTAATCATAGACAAGGTCAACCCATCAGTACCTTTTGCTTCGGACTTAAAACTAGAAATTATTACAGCTACTTCATGAGGCTCTAGAGGCCTGAAAGAAAATTTATTATATATAAATGATATCTTTGAAATTTTATAATACTGCAAATTTCGAATCTTTGCGGATGATACATTGGTATATATAACACATAATTGGATACTACTTTGGAACTGTTGGTGATATTCAAAAAATTATGAATTTGTTAAATGTTAATAAGCTTACAGTAAACACTAAAAAACAGAATGTATGTCAATAGGGAAACATTTAGCTGACAATACAATTAGGCTCATGATTACTTATGAAAAAATTAAAGTTGTCGAATCATTCAAATATGGATGTGGATAGTAAACTACCGTTTCAAGAGCATCATGAATACATTATTTCAAAAATATCAAAAAAGATAAATTACTTCTACAGAGTTTCCCATAATGTCAGTATGTAATGTAAAAATTGTGTATGATACCATAATTCTTCCAAATTTTTTATATAGTTCAACTATTTTGTTTACAGAAAATGACAACATATTTTCAAAATTACAAATTCTACAAAATTAAGCTATGAGAATCATATGCTTAAGATCAAGTCAATTTTAAATAAAAGAACTCCAGAGGTTGAATGTACACAATTTGTAGTCATTTAGTTCGCATTTTGATATTCAAAAATCACTCATTACCTCCACATTTAGAAAACTTCACAAAGTTAAATATTCAAAACTAGAGGCAGTATAGATTTTCATCTGCAAAATTGTAATAGCATAATTAGCAAATCTGTATTTCAAAAGGGAGTATTTAAAGTTAATAAACTGAATAGTGATACTAAACAGAGTTTCAATTTAAAAATTACTTTAAGAATACCCAAAAAGCATAGCAATGTAATTTTAATAGACAAGAATGTAAAATTACAGAAGATGAATTAAAAAAATGTGTAAAACAATAATTATAAATTATTATTAGACGTATTAATGCTAAATAAACATTCAACAAACGAACAGAAAAATTAAAACATGTGGAACGGCGGAAAATCTTTAAATTGATGATTCTTTTGATAGCACCAGAGAGGTACATGTAAATGTTCAGACCATTATAAATTATTGAATCTTTGATAAGTGTTGATATCAATTTAATATCTTCTTTTCACTTAATATTGTAGCTTATATTTAGGGTGGAGAGGATCTCTTGGCTGTTGCACCTTAATGTTTCAAATTTAGATTTATTTTTAAAAATGTTAATGAACAATGACAGGGAAGTCATTATTTCAAGATTTAGAAATAAAGTCCTGCATCTAGCTGTAGGATTGCTTTTAGTTACAAACTGGAAAGCACCACCAACATTTGGTTTTCTTTTAATTGTAACTTAATCTAACAGAGAATGTAAAACAAACAAAAAAATTAATAATGGAGCTTATTCTAATTGAACTAACAACAAATTCATACCGGTAAATTATATAAAGTTACATTTAAACTGACTAGAGAAAAAAACGAATTGTTGGTGGTGCTATAGTATGCTCTCTAGTGTATATCGAACAGTTTTTGAAGTATAAGCACCCAAAAGTTAATACTGTATCTTAACTTAGTTTCGAATAATGCAAAGTAACAGCTTCAGGCAGTGCTTTTCCCTACATTGTAAATAATTGTTTTTGTAATATGGGAAACTTTTGCCAGTGGAACCATAGTCTATAAAAATTCTCATACATGAAGTTTTCAAAAACTATATTTTGTCATCTACCCCCTCCCTTAATAAAAATAATTCTGAAAAATTATGGTTATACCACTTGCCATTAAGATTTGAAGGTTCACTAACCTTTTTGGCCTGCCTTTGGTCTTCTTTCCTTTTTGCAGCTGTTTCAGATTCCACCAAGCTATCTCTTCACCGAGACTCACCAAAATCGGTTCAACATTGGGAGAAAAGTATAAATTTTCAACAGGACCGCTATGCAGAACCAAGATTGTAGATTTGTATTTTTCATTCAAGTTCCAGATCTAAAAATATAAAGCACTAGACTAAACCAGGTGCTTCGTTTGAGTGAAGGTACAATAAATTAATTTCAATATTTCACTTTTTTACATCTTCAACAGAAAATAAGCGATTGACTTGAAAATTTTCCTGACCTTAAAGTGACCTTGGCCAGGTTTACTGACAATGATGTACTTGAACTTGAATTTATCTGCAATTTGCATTTCACGTATTAAAAATAGTTGTTTCCCATTGGAATTCCTTCAATCATCAAATGATCTTAATGGTCATAGTCAAGGTCATGGACATATATAAACATAAAGTATCTTGCTCTTTTTATTTCCGGTGTCAAAAATAGTGGTTTCCATTTGAGAACTTTGTCTTGACGTTCAAATGAGCTTGTAGGTCATAGTCAAGGTCACGTTCAAAGTCGCCATTGAATGAATCTTGCAACTTTATTACACAACATTATTCTTTATGAAACGTATTTTTTCGAGGTATTCTGTCATATTCCCATGAAGATAATGATCAAAGTCATAGACAACTATATACTAACGTAAAAATTCTCTTTGCATTTAAGAAAACTACGTTGACCTTCAATCGACCTTGTAGGTCATAGTCAAGGTCACATTCACGATCACCAATGTATGAGTATTTTCAAATCTTACAACTTTGACCTACATTTTTCTCTAGGGAACGCATTTTTCGAGATATTTTGATCTATCCGTATTTTTTGAACAACCCGTAAACTTTCGCGGATAAAACCACCCACCATGAACCTTCCTCGGGTTTCAGTTAGTAAGTGTACAAACTTTTACGCCTCTCTGTATTGTAGTTCATACATGAAGCTGACAGACTGGATACACATTCACATTTATATACAGAGATTATTTGTCAAGTGCAGATATGATGATACCATTGATCTACGAATTCTCCAAGATGCTGTACTTGGACATATATTTTATCATCAGAGCCATGTTGTCAAGTAGGGTCGCAAGTAATTTCCTCTGGAGCAATAAAAACAGACATTCCTTTCAAATAAAATTAGTGAATATTAAACATGACATTAAAAAAAGAAATACCATCTCTCAACATCCCCATTTTTTTTTCTAGATTTCAAACTCTCAGAATTTCTCAACGATGGAAAAGGAAATCTATAATACATATATATATATATATATATATATATATATCTGGAAGACTTGTCTTTGGGGATATCGACAGACTATGCTGCCATCATCAGGAGCTACCCGATTCATTACAAATCTTTTTACTCACTCTGTCCGTGAGATTGGTGCTAGTATTTGATGTTATGAAATGTAAATGAAATGGCGATTCATGGCCGCATAGTCTGTCGAAAGCTTGAGTATTGTAAGTCAAAAGGGTAGCTTAATTTGTCGATATCTCCAAAGACAAATCTTCCACTTAGCTAGTTATTTCGGCAATAACTATGAATCGTGGCAATATATATATATATATATATATATATATATATATATATATTCATCATTTACATTATACCAGAAATAAAGATGACTTCCATATTATATCCAAAGTATGCTACAAATCTGTATTCTATCAAGGGTTGGTTGAATATAATAGATTAAATATAAATATGAAAGACGTTGGAACATTCAAGGCAAAAATGAGGAATCACTTGTTACATCTAAAATTATAGCGTGTGCATCATATGGCTTGAATTTACTAATTCTAAGTTGTTTATAATTATTCTGTTTAGGTAGCCAAACCTGCTAAATAAATGTTTCTACTACTACTAACCACCAGAGATGTGGCAACGTTGGCGGGTAAACACGATGGTCGGCAGATATATATTTAAGGGAACGATTTTTGGGTCCATTTTAAGAAAGTATTCATATGAACGTATGTACTAACTGTCTTCACTTTTGGGATGACGGTGGTTAAGTATTCAATACAGAAGGTCAGTGGCACGCCATTGTCTTTTTTTAAAATAAAAAAAACAATAAAAAATTAATTCTGTATTCATTTATGAGCATAATCCATCTCTTAAATTTGTTTAGTCTGACTCACACACTAACCCAAAATCCCAGTTTTTCCATTGTCAGTCCGAGAACCGTGAAGATTTCACCCTATTCTCGTCATTTGATCGCACAATATGCTGTCGAATTTAATAATAAAAATGTTTTGCTTACCTCGATGTCTCCTGACGCAAAACCAGCAACCAACAGAGAGGCATCAGTGGAAAATCTTAAAGATCTGACTTTCCCTTTGAGATCCAACCTCTTCAAGAGTTGCATCGAGTCATAGGTTTCTGATAAGGCGTATATGTCTAGGAACTTGTCTAGCTGTTCAAACGCTATAGCTAAAAGGCACTTCTGAACACTGAATTCTGCTGTATTAAAATTCACCTGAAAACAAAAACATGTTTTATATTAAAAAATAGTGAAACATATTCGCATAGATCGACACATAGATCCGTAAAATCCTCCATTTGTTAGCACCAAGTTGTACGCTACTGGTTTTCGTTTTCTCAAAGCCTTATAGTATCCACTGGCAGAGTGTAGTTTGGACCCCTTTGTTATTTTATTAAATCTTGAATTCATGTCAATAAATCCTTTATTTGACAAGTTATTAGATTGTCTACATAATTAGTTGTTCTTAAGCAGCTAAGCAGATGCCTAGATTACCATATTTTGCAGGTAGTGTACTTTATTAGGGCGACGTATAGCCATAGGCTATTCTTCCACTTAACCCTAACATATGGCAAAATGCTCTGGGGGGAATTAAATTGCATCTAGAAAAATTTTAATTTTAAAAAATACCTCTTTGAGAATAATTACAAATTCCAGTTATGGATCAACGTTCAGAAATTACTTCATGAATCTACAAATATTACCCCTTCCATCAATTTATATTTTTATAAGTCATATATTATGTGCACACAAATCTAAACAAATATCAAACCACTGCACTATGTAATGTTAAGACCTAACCTTAAATTATACAATTTATTTATTAATGCAAGAAGAGAAACAAATTTTGAAAATATACCAAAATCGCGACTTCTCAAAGCTGCTTAAAAACATTGCTTAACCACTGTTTCTATTCAGTTGCTGAGTACGTTGGTGCTATGAGGTCACTCTTATATGTAATAAAGTACATTATATATACATAATGTGGTCAATAAATAGCATGGTATGTCCAGAACACTTAAAACAAGTACATTTCGAAAAATACAAACAACCCGACTTGCAGTAACTGAAAAGAATGAAGATTTAGTTGGGCGAATCTAAGGACGCCTCAAAGGTTAAAATCCATCAAGCCGTTTGGCCCGTGAAATACTTTTTTGAAATACATTACATACATATCCACGCTCGAAAAACATAACCCTCCATCTGGGTAATAAGTGTCCTAAAAGACTTACCTCTTCCAAAATATGCCCATTCTGTAACTTATTAAATTTCCCATTATCCACATTGCAAACACTAACATTGCACTTCCTATCTACCAAAATGAGATCAGAGTACGCGTAGAACACCATAGGATTATCAATGTGCAGCTCTAATATCTTCTCTTCATTCCGGATCCTCATAAGATACTGGCTGGTGTGGGAGACTATGCAACCGATTTTGTAGTCCTTCAGATCCAAACTGTCAGTACTGCCATTCGAACAAGATCTAGCAGTTAAAAAGCCGGTAGGGTCGTAGCAATGTAGATAAGTTACTGGGTGCTTCTGGCCATTCGTTGTCACTAGAAGCATTTAGTTGTATTAGGAAGTGCAATCAAATAGATTTCTTCGGAATAATACTGCGCAAAGCGCCATCTATTCCCCGAATCCATAGTTCGCGTTTCATAGTCACCACTATGTGAGAGGCTGACGATTCTGGCGGAATTATCAAAATAGCTAAATGTAGTGTGTCATTGGGTAGCTGTTTTTACGCTAAATATAACGATTAGTTTCAAATCTTGGTCAGTAACAGAATTATACAGTACTTATGTACAAGTGTTATTTTACACTTATCGGCTCATGCTTTATTCATTCATTTTGTTTTTATATCAACTTTTTTTCTGAATAAAGCCTATTGAATTGAATATATGTTACAGCCAAACCCGTTTTTAGTTATAACAGTTGAAGCCAGTTTTGACTAAGCTTAGAATTAACTGCTGCTTAAAAGTGAATGTCAGTTAAATTCTGAACGAATTAAGTTTTTTGAAGCTAGGCGCCATAAATATGAGCCCAAAAAGAGATATCCAATGATACACTACACGTAGCTATTGGAGGTAGGTACCAAGATTTACATCGTCCTTTGAGAGCCTCAACGTAGGCGTAGTCAATCTGAGATAATTCTTAATTAACTTACCCTGCAGTTGTTAGAATGTTTCTCTAATTTCAACAGTTACCCTATCTACTGAAGAAAACGTAATGTGATGAGCAGGTATATATAGTACAAATGCCTTTGTAAATTGTACCTGATATTTAGGATTGAAATCTTTGCTTCCAGTTTTGCACAGCTATAAGTTCTTGACCAAAGCATAATCAAAGTCATACCCTAAGGTACTAACAAGTGACATGTATGTAAATAAAAATACGTATCTCATTAATTAATGCGCATCCTATTTTAAAACTTCAAGTGTATTTTAAACATACTATTTTGGTGTACAAACTTGAAAAATGGTCGAGGTTACCCCAATTTTGGGTATAAATGGTTACCTTCGATTTTGGACCGTATTTTTTTTAATTTCTAATATGTATGATGTTTTGTTCAAAAAGTGCAAAACATTTTCCACATATCATCACTCTTTAATTCGATAATAAAAATTCCAAAGGAATCCCAATTTCAATTATGGTTATTTTTTAGAAGCCCATCGTGTTTTCTCTGTCACGTCTACTAGATGTACAAAAAGGCTCACTATGACAACGGGTTAAAAAATTCTGAAAGTGATGTCATCCAGCGATAAAAAGTGCGGTTCGCGTTATTAATTTCGTTTCTCAATGGGTATGAATAATTTCAGTGGACTATCAGAATGGGCGCTATTTGAGGTTTGAAATAGGTTATCTTGATTTACGGTGAAAAAAGTTGCTGCGCTTGCCGCCTCTTTCGTAGTATGCCTCCCGGTGCAATGCCCCCCCCCCACCCGTTTCGCCACTGGCTATAGTCGAAGAAGTCTACTCGCCATTGGACAACTAAACATGCTGCTTTCGTCCGTCCCACCACAGACACCCAACCCTAGCTGTTTCGTGCTTTTGATAACTTATCGACCTTGATATCAAGAATCAAAATAAGGCAGACAAAGTGCCATATATTACCTGAATCGACCACTGCGAAAGCGTATAGCAGCTATCGGTTGGAGTTGTAAAGTGAGCTCGAACTGAGATCTTTATAGTTCCAACCAACGATTTCAAACTAGGTAGAAGGACGCAGTCAACGATTTGTTTGTCCCCTACCTCTCCTAGGGCCGTATATTCAGTCGTTCCTACAAGTGTAGGACGCGTTTATGGCCTCCTTGATTGTTATAGTTTTCTACTTTTCCGTGTATGCGCTCTATTTTGAGGTTATGTCACAAATGTCTATTTGCATCAAACTATTCATGCTGTTGATTTATATCATGTTTTATCAGCCTGAAATTTCCTACAATTCAAAAAGAAAGCATAACTTCTCAATAGGAGAGCGCTGACGCTGACACGGAACAAGTGCAATCTAGAAATTTTTGAAGGAGAGAAAAGACTATGACAATCAAGGAGGCCATAAAGGCGTCCTACAATTGTAGGAACGACTGAGGATACGGGCCTTAGCCTGGAGTGAGGATCAAAATGCATGTATATTTTTAATGCTATTTTTCAAAAGTGCGAGTGTTTGCAGAAAATTGCGGTGTTAGACGATTTCAAGACATGGTACTTCTTTCAAACTGCAAAGACCAGCACAACCCTAATGAAGGTAGATGTTTCCACTAGTAAGTATTATTATTATGATGATACAACGCTGTCACTTTGGTAGGAATTGGTAGACAAATGAGTCAAAAGTGCACTAAAACTAAGCAGTTTTGGCGATAAGCAATAAAATGTAAACATAGGGTTGACTCCTTCTAAACTATTCCAATTCGTTGGTTCCAACCGATAGCTGCATACAGTTCACAAAATATCCGAACTTTTTAAATTGCATGGCAACGAAACGTCGAAGCGCGTTAGTCATAATTTCTCGCAGAAACGGTTCTCTATTGTTGATATCTCACTTCATTCCTGTTTTATTGTTTTTTTTTTTAGTGCAAGGTGTTTCAGCTTTCGTGACGAAACTGAGAAAACCTTTTACCGGAGTATTTGAATTTCTAAGGCCCGATTTTACTAAGCAAAAAAGCAGGTGGGTCACAAATTCAACCAATGAGAATGAGTCTTTAAAGTAATGGATCTAATAAATATGGTTGGTTTTTCTGTAAAATGCCTCTCAAACTAAAGAAAAATTATGCGATTTGTGTAAGATGGACCCCTAATCCCCATATTAAATCAAGAAATACGTCATAAATCACTTGGTTTAGTTACAAAAACTTATTTTTTCATTTGCGTCCGGTCATTATTATATAATGCACAATGAAAAATAAGCATTTGTGCCATAATCGAAGCATGAGCACAAATCTGATCTAGACTGATATGACAGCAATTAAATTTGCACTTTATTTAAAACAGTGTCTCTCAGTTGTTGTACGAGTATAAAATTATGCTTGATAAATTATTTGAGGACATTAATACAATTACAGAATGCTTGTTCTTTAACAAATCGTGCCATCTACTGGATAGTAGGACGACTACTTCTAGCCTTGTCGCCGTCACCGCGGCGCAGCGTGGTCGTGCAGTCGTCCAACCGTCTGGTAGAGTGCGCAACATCTTCCCATAAACTGTAAGTGTACGTATTATTTACACGACGTTTGTTAAAGAATTAAAATTTTGTAACTTTAATAACGCCTTCAAAGAATTTATTAAGCAGAATTTTGTACAGCAACAGTGAGACACGGTTATTTTCAATAAAATGATCGGTATTTGCGTCATGTCAATATATTGTATTAGGCTTGATCCATGTTTCGAGTAGGTTACAAATACTTTTTGACTAATGGACTTTGCGTCAACTTTTGTGTCCGGACACAAATGAAAAATAGGTTTTTGTAGCTGAATCATGTGACACAATGAAGTATTTTTTCATTCATTATGAGCCCATCTTACAAATCGTATATTTTTCTCCAGTTTGAGAGAGATTTTACAAGCAATTGACCAAATTCATTAGATCCATTACATCAGAAGGCGTCTTTTCTTATTGGTCCAATTTGTGCCAATGACGAACATTTTGTGCCAATCTCGCCGGTCGGGAAATCGGGCCTAAAAGAAGGAATGATTCTCAGAGTTGTACATGGTGTTACAACTGGTTTTACCGATAGAGGTCCATCTGTTGAAAATGGATCTCTACCAGGAAGACCTTCGACCTCAATTGTTGACACTCACATTTCAAAATTGAAATAATACGATAAAATAACAGCAATGTTCTAGCATCACATTTTCAATGATTTGAAATCGACTAAGCATGCGCAGTGTAGAAAACATGTTCAAGTAAGGGTAAAACCTAGTTGGGGATTATCGGTCCGCTGTCCGCGGTCCAATTTTTGGTTTGAAAACTGGATTCGATCGGTCGAAACTGTACACAGGATTTTGACATTGGCAGATTGCACAAGGTCTTGTTTTGTTATGGGTGCATTACGATTTGGAGTTATGGTTTTTGAATTGTGTTGGGGAGTTTGCGTCCTTTTTAGTTTTGTTGCATCTTTGAATAGTTTCTATCAATTGAAAATATTGGAAGCCATGACCATTTTTATGAAATTTGGTGTATACTAGTTTTTCATTGCATATACCTGTTTGTATTGCTCACAGATATGTCAGATTCTATTAGTTCAAGTTCAGAATCCGAATGAATCTCAGGTATCGATTCGAGTAAGGATGAAAACATATTCTGCCCATACTGAGCATTACGTAAATGTAACAGTATATCTCGCGAAGATATCTCAACTACATACGAAAAAAGAAATGTTCTTCAAGAAGGCTACTGGAGGCAATTGGAAACTTGATGCTTATGAGCAAACAATTATCTTTTCGTGGTTTGCCAGATAGATCTGAAATAAAAATTGGTTTCTAATTCTACATAATAATACGTTTAATTAGGTTCTTAAGCAGTACATCTGGAACTGTAATTCAATGGCGCAACAAAGAGGAAAGAAACGTAGAATTTCAACTAAATATCAACGATGCTGTCGCTATCAAATGAAACGTATTTTCACTGAAAAATGTGTTTTAACAGAATCAAATTTGAAACCGTTTGAAACTAGTATTTTGCTAACTCACGCGCGTTGAAGGAGTTCACAATCGGGTGTCAAACCGTTGGAAATTCGATGTTAGAACACTACTATCAGGTTTCTCATAACAGCCGTAAGTTTATATGGGTTATCTCGTGAACTAAGCGATAGATTTCGTTAAAACTTCACATGAATATGTGTCAACACACAATAATTCCAGTCATTCCAAGGGCAAATACAACCTTAATATCCTTCTCAAAGAACCTAAGAGAATTCAGCATTTGTAGCACTTTAGAAAAACTTACATGGTTTTTCAATGCAGACTTCCTTCTTCGTCTTTATGTTGAACATACGTATTTCTCCGTTTGTGAAACCGTATATTATGTTATTTCCACACGGCGAAAAACAAACGCAAGTGACCAAGGTAGTCAGCTGCTCTGTTTCAGAAACTTGTACATAGCCACTGAAGATCTGAAATCAAATAGTAATATAGAGTGATTTTCTATTTTAGTAATTCGGTGAAATGTATGACTTAAATTCAAAAAGAGATTGTAATTTAGTAAACAATAATGAAATGAAGAATGATCCGAAAATATTCACCAGTACCGAGTATCTTTACTTTTTTATATGAACGAGAAATAACAAAACTTGCACATTCAAACTTGAAATTTTACAAAAAGTGATTAGTAGAGTTTCGATACAATCCGAGTCGATATAGCTGTAATTTTTTTGTACGAGGGATGTCTTTTAAGTATTGCGTATGGAAATAAAAATACACGGTAGGTAGTTTTAAATGACTTTATTGTTTTTCGAAGTAGTCTCCACGAAGAATAATACACATCTGCATGCGCTCGAACCAATTATCGAAGCACTTATTCCACTCGTTTGCTGGCAGATCCAAAACAGCATTTTTGAATGCGTCAACTGCTTCTTCTGGTGTCTGGAATCTTTGACCACGCAGTCTGTTTTCAATTTTTGGGAAAGTAAAGAAATCGTTAGGACTTATATCGGGACTATATGGAGGATGGTACAATAATTCCACGTTTTCTTCCGTTAAATACTGCCTTGTTTTTTGGTCTGTGTGCGAGCTTGCATAGTCTTGGTGGAGGATGATTCTTCTTTCGGGGTTGATTTTTCGAAGCTCGGTGATGACTTTTGGCAAACAAATGGTGGTATACCAATCCACAGTAACAGTTCTTTGGTCATTAAGAGGAATTGTTGCAATATGACCCGCTTTTGACCAAATGTCGCGACCATCTTTTTCGAAACACTTCGAGAACGGATGACATTTGTTCGGTTTTCTTTACCTTGGAACACCCAAACATCCGACTGTCGTTTATTTTGTGGTTCATAACAGTAAATCCACGATTCATCACCACTAACAATGCTGTACACATTTTTTGAGTTTCCGGAATTGAAACGGTCAAGCGTTTTTTGACACCAATTAACCCTGGCTGCTTTCTGCTCTTCAATCAACAGGTGGGGTATCCAACGAGAAACTAATTTTCTTGCTCCCAGTTCTTCATGTAAAATTTTTTGAATTGAGGTCTTTGATATCTTCATGGACGCCTCAATCTCGCGATATGTCACATGCCTATCTTCAATGATGAGTTTGCGCACAGCATCGACGTTTTCCTGGGTGACTGCCGTGGTTGGTGCACCCGCCCTGGGATCGTCGCTAAGACTCACCCGTCCACGTTTGAATTCTCCATACCAACGGGAAATTGTCAACTGATGTGGCGCTTCGTTGCCGAAAACAGACAGTAACTCAGCAAGGCATTCTTGTTGCGATAATTGTCTCTGAAAGTTGTAATAAATTATGACGTGTTCTCGGTCGAGTTCCATGTTTCTAATGACTTGGTGACATTTAAAAATTCACATGTAACAACATGAATCAGTAGCTGTAAGGAATGCATTAAAAAGGTAAATATATAATATGAACATATACAAAGAAACGAAACAAAAGAACAAGATATCGTTCAGCAAAATGAATTTATCACTCAATGTGCTGAGTCCAGAAAGTGCAACTTGACTGTCTTCTTGAAGCGCTGCAAACTTAAGCTCTTAGAGATAGCTGGCAAAGAATTGTATACCTTGACCGCATTATAAGTAAAGGACCTTTCAAAGACCGAGCGATCGGCTTGTCACTCGGAATTCCTGCATGTACAGTGCGTACAGCGAAGCTGTGGATTGGGTTGATCGTGCAGGAAAGGAGGTCGTTGATATGTAAGAGGAACAGTGTCCGAGCCAAGACCGATCCCTGGGGAACATCCGCGTTGATGTGGGCTGAAGAGGAGAACACCCGTCTATTACGACGGATATCTTGCGGCCAGAGAGAAAGTCAGCCACCTATCTGCAAAGCTTTTCTGGGAGGCCATAGGATGGAAGTTTGCATAAGAGGGCGCCGTGCGACAGCTGACCGAACGCTTTCGTGCTATCAAGAGCAACGACATGAGCCTCACCATAAGACTGGAGTTTACTCCACAATTGCGTGACGCAAGCTAGGAGGTCCCCTGCCGGAAACCATATTGTCTGTCGCTAATCAAGCTGTGACGTTCGAGATAGTCCAGAAGCTCGCGATTTATGTACCTCTCCATCACCTTACTTATAACAGAAAGCAGACCTATAAGCATGTAGTTGTAAGGGTCGTTCTTAGATCCTTTTTTTTTGGGATGGGTTGAACATGAACAAATTTCCAGTTTTCTGGGAAGGTGTCGGATTCATAAGATATCTGGAAGAGACGCGAAAGAACTGACGCAAGCTTTGCTGCACACCTCTTCAGTACAAAGGCAGGAATCAAGTCCAGATCAGAGGCTTTGTTGATGTCAAGCGACAAGAGCACCCGTCTTACGGTCTTATGCCTGAATGTTACTTCCGCATAGTGTGGGGAACCCTTTGAATCGACGGCACTTGGGCATTGGAAGAGACGTCCATGGTGGAGTTGGCAGCAGAGATCCTGGCAAGCACTTCTGGCTTGGCGTTTGAGTCGATTACAATCGTTCCATCCTGACACGTAAGTGGTGGAAGACTACTGTGTGAGAAGTTTTTTTCAATCTGCTTGGCGAGCGTTCAGAAAGACCGACTGCCATTGCGCTGCGACATTACCCTGTGCCTAACTAGTCTGTTTTGTAAGAAAGTTCTATGTGCCTTCATTTTCTGCTGGCGAGCAGTGTCACACGATTTGATGAACCAGCCGTTGGACCCTGGTTTGGGTACTTTCGCTATATGAGGGATGTATTCCTCCATTCCGACGTGGATGATTTCGGTTATCGAAGAACAGACACCCGACGCATCCGCGTCAGCGAAAGAAACATCTCTCCAAGGAAAGAAGAGAGAAGAAGCCACTGAGCTCCTCCCAGTCGGCATGTCCGTAATGCCAAATTTTGCGGCCTGGGCGAGTTTCTGCTGCTACAGCGGGTTCTGGCCGAAACCTAACCTCCACAACACCATGTTCTGAGTTACCCAGGGGGGGCAGGATAGCAGTGCTGTAATGAACAGGGTGCGTGGTCAGAAATAGATCCAGCAGGCTACTGGCATGTGACAAGACGCAAGGGGGAAAAATAGAGCCGGACACCAGCTGAGCCACCCCTTGAGTAAGAGCGAACGCTTCAACTGCACGACCTGCTGCATCGGTCTTGTTTGAGCCCAACCAAAACTCATTGTGGGCATTGAAATCACCGAGGAGAGAACTACCCTTGATGTTCAGGAGGTCGATCTTGACGGCGAGGAGTTGAGGCGAAGCTGTAGAACGTCCTTCCGGTCTGATTCCAAAGAAACATCTCTGGAACAGGAAAGACTGCTGCGGACAAAAGCCACAACTCTCCCGTTCTATCTCAGATTTTAGTACACCTCATAATGTTGTAAGCTGTGATGGTTAATCGGTGCAAACTCTGAGACTTTTGTCTCCGCCAAGAAAAGCATGGAGGAACAAATTTTATCTTCGATGTTGTTCCCTCGAGTTCACCCTCCACCCGGACATTCCGAGAGTGGAGTTTACGTCCGGAATTCTTAGTACTCGATGGATCCATCATCATTAATTTCTCGGTCGACTGGTCCTTGTCCACCACCTTCCTTTTGCGTGTTAATGATGTTAAATAGACCTAAAGTGGCCTGTTGGCAGACTTGTACCGCCAAACGGCAATCGGTATTGAAGTATTCCTTAACACGTGTACAATCACTTGAACGGAAAGAAGTTGTATACTGGATACAACTTTCGGAACAAGCATTTGCCATGGATCCGCTCAGTAGGGTAAATGAGCATTATTACATTTCAAGTTAGTTGAGAACTCGGCTAAGAATTAAATTTTTATCAATTTTCTTGAAAGTAGTTTGAATATCATACAGATTCAGCAGACTCACTATTTCCAGAAATAAAAAAATAACAATCCATGATGATACAGAGCTTTTCAATCCCCCCACACGCTTTATTTTTTTGAACGGGTCACGCTAGCACGGCCACGGCAGTTGAACATTTTTGAATATTTGATGACAGGCCGTCAAAGTTGCGCGTTTTTATACATCGAGTCGCTTATAACTCGACAACCAATCATCAGTTGTACTTACCTGAATTCTATTTTCATCATTTCGGATGGCAGTTAGCGGACTTTTTCGCTTCCAATGAGACGCGAAGACTGGAGCATCGACCTGCGGCTCCCTGTCATTGTAGGGTTGAATATGACAAAGTTGGAGAGTATTTCGATCTGATCCAATCAAAAGTACATGCACCGACTTATCTTCATCGTAAAATGTGTCCAAAGACTTCGCCAGTCTAAAATACAGACAGACGATATTAAAATTTGGCCATCTAGAACTTCAAATTTGTAGGGTAAATGAATCTCGTTCTATAATAAATTAATAGAAGGAATTTGCACCAGGATGGTATTCTCGTTCTTATTAACCTTCAAAAATTCCGTTGTAACATCCGTCAATACTTTTTTCTACAACAAGGTCCATTTCATTTTGGCTAGTTAGCATAGTCTATTCTGCAGTGTTAAGTACAGGCGGAGTATTCGCAATTTTGCTGCCATATTGGTTATTGATACCTAGTGAATCAGTATAGTTTTCCAATAGTTTTCTTTGAAACCCAAATTTTTTTGTATGCATCAGAGGTTCAAAGTATGAACGCTTTTTTCGTGATTTTATGCTAGGCGCAAATACCCCCTCTGCGCTTAGTGCTTCAGTATTTTGGCAAGTGCAAAATTGACTTTTATATTTTTCCTATTTACCAATGGCTTAGCTAAAACAACGAATAAGAACCAGTAATCTCACCCTCTATTTTCAAACTCCCTTAACAATGCCTTCTCTTCCAAATCCCAAATATAGACTGTACTCTGGCTGGTACTAACAACAACATATTGCCCATCGCTGGTCATAGTGGACGAAATATTCTTCTTGCTATCATCAACATTCTCCAGCACTTTATCGGACTTGTGGTTTTTCCAAACTGTGATACTACGATCGCTGACCGTGACCAGCTCTTCCTCAGCATAGAATATCGAGCAACAGGTGTCTTTGTTGAAAAGAGTTTCGGCATAGCTGAGTTTTCCTTCGCTGTTCACGTGGTATTTGAAAATGCTGTCATCGCATGAGAATATGATGGCATCTCTACCGTCTCTGTCTTGGACATACATTACACAAGGCGCGGCCATACCTACAAAGAAAATGATAGTACATTACGTACCTAGGTTGAGAAGTAAGCCATCATTGATCGAGCATCATGAGATGTGAAAATTATGTTGAAAAGATTTTAAATCAGAATAAGATAATTTTGTTCCATTAGCATGAAACCAGAGTAGCCTATTTGAAAAATTGAAAATATTTTCTTTTGGCATTTATTGTTTCTTTACCCTGTACATATTTTGCGCGAGGTCAATGGGAGGGTGTATAGATACGACTGACATCGCTGATTAGTCTAATAATCAAATTTGAGGTTGGAAAAATTTGAATTTCAATGACACCTTTCATTTTTGTTACTAAACTATATCACCTACTACAAGGATCTAAAAGCTGAATAGTCATCGGATGCTATACATGTTTTGAAAATCTGATTCTATATATGTGTGAATGTCTTAATCACAATACAGAGAGACCTAAAAATTTATACAAATACTAATTGATACTGGAGGATGGTTATGAGCTTGGTATTATCCGCGAAAATATACACATGGTGATGGATAGATCAAAATATCTCGAAAAACACGTTTTCTAGAAAAATATGTTGTAGAACAAAATTGTAAGGTTTGAAAAGATTCATCTAATGATCTTGAACGTGACCTTGAAGACCAAGATAGTTTTCTTAAATCAAACCCCTATTTTTGACACCGGACATGTAAAGAGTAGGAAATTTTACGTTACAGTATTTGCACAAGAACTTGACCACGATAATCATGGATAATTGAGGATATCCAAAAAGTAGAAAATGTTGTATAATAAAATTGTAAGATTTGAGAAGATACATCTGATGGTGACCCTGAACGTGACCGTGACTATGACCTTCAATCTCATTTCAGGGTCAATAGTTTTTTTTTTTAAATGAAAACGCTTTTTGACACGGTAAATGGAAAGAGCAAGGAGCTTTATGTTCGAGTATTAATTTAATTTAAGTTCAAGAATATCCTTGCCAATAATCTTGACCATAACCTTAAAGGCCATTTTAAGATCAGATAAATTTCGCTGTAGCACCCGCGTAAAGTGTGATTTATAACTTTATGAAAACAAATTATTCTGAATGTAAGCCCATAGCACATTTTTAATTTCGGGCCCGACGTGGAATATTACATGATTTAGTAAGCAACAGCGAGAAATGCATGATTGAAATTCTAATTTTATCTAACCTCAATTTGCTTATTTGACTAATCAGCGACGTCAATCTTATCTACACAACCTCCCCCCTTAAGAGTTAGGGTCATATGGATGAAAATTGGAAGAAAATATACAAAATCGCTTTATGTTTGCCGGTTTTTAGCAATAGCTTGCAAATTCTTCATCTTTTTTATTTATTTAATCAACGGGTAAAGCCCTTGTTGCGAATACAAAAAAAAGTCTTGATTTAAATAATTACATTGTGATGTTCTTAGCACTATTACAAATATTTTATCTGTTTCAAGTGGTCCAAAATTTGTTCCGGAGCTATTTTAGGGTCGAAAAAAAATAGCCGAGTTGCACTCCGTCGGCAATAAAATATCTATATGTAAAAATAAAAAATAATCGGGCTCTAATAAATAAATATCAGTCTAATCGTACCTCTATTCCCAGTGTTGCATCTAGGCGTACCATTAAGGGCATCCCACACTATAACGTTTCCTTTGCTAGAACCAGTAACTATGAAGAACTGATCAGGAAAATCGTAACAGAATGCTGCTGATACAAGTACGTCGTCTAAATCGAAGGCATGGAACTTTTTCCTAGGCGAAATCTGACCTTTGTCTGCTGTGTGCATGTCTTGCCAGTAAGGTTGTTTGGTTTTTGGCGAAACTAAAATGCAATCAAGAATACAGGGCGTTACAGCATATGGTCAGCAACTGCAAATTCACCGTGCAATAATTTCATATAAACGAAGTTTAGGTTAAAATGAACAAAATTCTTTTCTAAAGCACTTACATCAGTAACCTTCGCGACAGAAGGTCTATGTCTAGCCATTGATTAACGTATACCTGAAGATTGCCAACTTTATCATTCAACGTTAGAGTTTATGAATCGATCTTTACATAGGCGCCAAAAAGGGATTGAAGCGGCATCGGTCAGACAGTGGCAGAACCAAAAATGTTTAAAGTCAATACGCTCATCAATGATTTAGTGAAAAAACAGTATCCACCGATTTTTTTGAAAAAAATATCAGTATACTTTAAAGATAGATTGATTCTACTTAAAATTGTGTACTGCAGTTTCATGTGCACCGTTTTTTATATGAACTTCAAGAGTACCGTTTTTCAATACGGCTTGGAAAAAAATTATCTTCGAAAAAACTTGCGTAAAATTTTTTGTTTAAGATAAATTTTGTGAAAAAGGCTCATGCTTAAAAGAACTGTTTTTATGTTGAGCTTAATGTACCCTTACATTTTTCTGACAACATTGTGTAACATCCATAAGCCCACCCATTTACCTGGACATTGTCCGCTAAAATCCATGCTGTTTCTAGAACTGTCGGCCGAAAATTTCCAAAGGAAAACAACTCCATCTTCACTCACAGAAAGAAAATACCTCTTGTCTGGGCTAACTACTAGGGTTTTGATTGCTTTGTGGTGACCAACAAAAGCTGAGATCTCTTTTGGGCTTTGCTCATAAAACAACTGAAAAACAGAGATAATATAATCAAAATCATATTGTAGAGCAGTTTTTAGTTGTCTTCAGTTTAAACGGTTAAAGCTTTTGCCCATGATACTTTATAATGCTACACAATGCCAGTGATCCAGGCTGCAAGTCTACAAAAATTTTGGGTCCAAAAATCTTTAATAAATCACCGAATGATTCAAAAATGATTAAAAGTTTATTTATCTTTAAGGTGAAGTTGAAAAGCGATTTTGTTGAAAAAGTTCGTTATTCTGTGGATGATATATAAATGCTTGTTTTTTAATCTTGTTAGTTTTTCAAATCTGTTAATGTGGTTATTTTTTTATATTTCGTATATAGGTATTTGTATTTTTTTTGTATAACTGACGAATCCTATACATTATTTTTAAATGTCGAATGTACAGGGTCCGTCAGAAAGAACGCATGTTTTTTAAATGAGTAGTACAGTCAAAATAAGTATGGGAAAAATATTTTATTATATCAAAATACTGCGATTTTTTGAGTAAAACTAAATTTACGTTCTAAAAACTATGTTGGCCATACGGCGCCCTTGAGCCGAAATGCAGGAATCAAGCCTCCCCGAAATGAGGCCATTGCGTCGGCCAGCATCCGTGCAGGAATTTGGGTTACTTCTCTTCTTATTTCCTCCTTCAAATCGACAAGGGTAAACTTTTGATTTCAGGTAGCCCCATAAAAAAATCACACGTTGACAGGTCCGGGGAGCGAGGGGGCCATGGAATATCGCCATGACGTGAAATGAGACGTCCTGGGAATTTTTGCCGAAGAAGTTCCATCGAAGTGCCTGCTGTGTGAGATGTTGCCCCGTCTTGTTGGAACCACACTGTTCCGAGATGGACAGGTCGACGTCGAAGTTCCGGAAAAAAAAGTTGTTCACCCTGTGGATGTAACCTTCTGAATTCACAGTCGTTGTTTCTCCATCATCCTCAAAAAATAGGGGCCAATAATCATCGTTGGGCCTACTGCACACCAAACTGTAACTTTCGGTGTATGCAGGGGGTGCTCATGCAACTGTTGGGGGTTCACTGGAGACCAATATCGACAATTTTGTTTATTGACGTATCCATGTAAATGAAAATGTGATTCATCACTCATAAACAACGTCATGTCATTGTTATCCAACAGTTCAATCATGAGTTGTGCAAAATTAAAACGTTGTGCATAATCCGCTGGCAACAGTTGTTGACAAACTTGGATTTTGTAAGGATGGAACACTAAATCCTTCTTCAAGATGCGACGTACAGAGGACGCGTGGATCCCTAGGGAACTGGCACGCAAACGGACGGAACGATTCGGGCTTTGTAGCGTGTCAACTCTCACGCTGTCTAGGTTGTCGGGGGTTCTAACAGTACGGTTTCGCCCTGGCGGTTTTTTCTTCATAACGATACCTGTCTCAAAATGATGTTACTGTCTGGTATGCGAAACTCACGTTGCGTGCGAAGGACAGACTCGCCATTTTAAAAGTACCGACGTACAGTGAACACGCGATGCTCAACGTTCCAAACCATCTTGCCAACTGAAACGGCGCTTCTCCCACTATCCAACACACCCTTCCCCACAGACACGGGACCAGCAAACTCGATGTAGTACCCATTCGAAAAACATGCGTTATTTCTGACGGACCCTGTATAATAAAAAGATCAAATGAAACTCAATATTCACTTCAGCAACGTTTTTTACGTCGTCGATTTCAGATCCGAGTTAGCTTTTACTTCCCATGACACTGAGCGAGGAAGTACTGTAATCTCGAATAAATTCGAAAATGAGATAGTGTTTTTTTTTTTGATGTTATACATGTACTTCACGAAAAACCATGTCATTAATTTCAGTCGGCTATAACTTGAGAAGTACCTCCCGGATTTTGATGAAATTTTCCTACAAAGTTGCTACTATACCAAGGACGGAAAAACTTTGTAGTTTTTGAAAATCGGTCCAGTGGCAGCGAAGAAAACGCCCAAAAACGAACAAATTAAAATCACTCAAATTTCGTTTTTAACGTTTCAGAGGGTCCTGACCTTTTTCAGAAAAAAAATGTAGGGATTGAAATTCGAATGTTGGGGGTTGTAGGGGGTGTATGTACCTATGAACCTTTTAGCCATATTTCGCACATGATAGATTTCTCCGTACATTTGCCTTTAAGACTTAAAATGATGAAATGTTTTCGATCCACAGGCTCCTGCTATCTAAGCTCACCGCCCGGCGAATCGGTCCGGCAAACTAATATATCCGTACTACAACGTAAAAAAACATATACACGGACCCTGAATGAAATTAACGACAACTCGCTGCTGCTCAGATGTGGAAAGGGACAACGTTGTGAGATAGAAAGTAACTACTGGTAAGGCAGGGAAAGAATATATATGGACTAACTGTATAGGCCCGTTTGAGTTACTTAATCTGTCTAATTTCTCTGTTGTACATGTTCGTAACTGACTTTTTCTCAGAGGACTTAAATTGCACTTGACTTGATCCTTTACGAACTGATGATGGCATTACGTAGGTAGTGCAGAACCAAACTACTTGACGTCATTTTTCATATACTGAAACAGTCTCGTATGCAGAAACCTAAATATCGGGGCACCGCGACTGCTATAAGGAACTTAAAGACGCCTTCTCAGGTATACTGTTCCACAATGTCTAGACCCTAGTAATGAAGGAGCGGTCGTACCGGTCAGTACCTCGATGTGCGAAGTATTACAGAGTTGTGGTGTTTGTCAGAAGTCTGGCGGATACATCTGGCAGGCTCAACGAGCGGCGGCATCATGGAGGAGAGCTCTGAGGAGCAAAGCCTGTAGACAGCGGTAGAACAGATCAAGATCGCCGACCGCCCGGCGGGTCCCGATACTGTCCGTTAGAGAAGTGCCATTGATCAGTCGAACAGCCCCCCTCTGAACAACATCGACCATGGACAATGTAGTCGGGACGGCATTTGAAGGTCACTTCAAGGTCATATGAAGGACACTTTCAAAAAACAGAGACATTGGGCCCAACTGTCATTTAGATTTGTCTGTTTGTTAAGTCCAAACTAAAGGTCACAAGACACTGCTTTGCTTATGTTTGGTGACATGACATCTAATGTCATTGAAGACTTTCAGGCTTGGATACATGTGTGGTGGACTGAGGACTGTTCGTTTCACTTTATATACCAAAATTTTATAACAGCGAAACAAATGAACGTGTTAATCGTCGATATATTAGGATAATATTCGAATTCCATGTCAAGTTCCTCGATCCTAAGCCTATTCCTCATTTCTGGGCTTGGCATCTGCTGCTTGTGAAGCAATAAAGAAACCAGAACAGATGGAAAAATATATGAAGTAATGTTTATGTAAGCAGGTGATGGGGGAGGGGGGTGTTATAACATTTGCTTACTTTTGCTGACAAGGAGGAGGATGGGGGTTAATATGTGTAAGTACGTATAAATATGCTTGTATAATTCCTGAAAGGCCACTTAAAGGCCATTTTAAATACACTCTCTGGATACAATGATAGTGTTATCCTAGTACGATACAGTATAATGGACAAAAACCACTTATATTTTGTATAATTTTCAATATTGGGAATAATTAAAAAAATGTATAATACAGTTAGAGATGATTATCAAACCTTTATTTTCCCCTCAGTAGTGCCAATGAGAATATGGTGAGGTGAATCCACGAAACACGCTGATGATATGTTATCTTTTATTTTCATTATTTGTGAATGATCTGGTTCGTCCACAGGTTTTCTGCAGTGGAAAATGCAAGATTAGTCCTCTAACTACATACTACAATAAAAATGTACATTGAAACAATTTTTAAGAGCCGAAAGATGGTTTTAACTGTGTAGCCATGAGTGTAAAATATCAACGGTGAAAAAGTGAAATCGAAATATTTTGTAGCTTGCATTATGTTGCCTCTTGGCCAATATCACTAATTTACCACAATGCTTCAACACATAGCAACATATTTTTTGACAGTGGTATACTTATACGCCTTCAGCAGTGGTAATTTTACTCACACTTTTAGACATATTAAACTCATCATAGATTTATCCGTACATTATCCTTGAAACAGAGTGGTGGAGCCTCACGAGTCGATCATACACTTCGCAGTCCTGCCGATGCCTGTATGTAGCAGTCGGTTATCACTATCAGTAGCTAAAATGACCCGGACCCCATACTCACGATTGCCAATAGTACAAAATCAACAAAGGGGGCACTTGAATAGGCCTCAGAATGTGTTGAAGTATCACGGTAAATAGTTCGAGGGCCATTTTTAAAGTAAGAATTGATTGCGCATAGTGCATGGGCATCTTTTCACGTGACGTTCGTACTACCTCAGACACACGTCGGTGATGGGTGCATGGTTATGCTGCTTTGTTTGTCGGGATGTCACTAGTAAACCCGCTGACTGAGAAGTGCGCTCAGTAATTTGGTTTCTAAACGCAAATAAATTCCTCCTGCTGAAATTCACCAGCAGCTTGTTGGATCAAACGGCGTCGTTCTGATTCATGACAACGCTCGGCCGCAAGTTGCTGCACGAACCCAGCGCAACTGGACAAGATTCGTTCCGAGTTACGGGATCATCTAAGCACCATCAGACTTTAATTTTTTTTCCTAAAACTCAATTTTTTGGTGAAAAGCGCTTGGTAAATGACGGCATGTTGAATGAAACAGTTACTAAGAGGTTTAACGGTCAGGCGGTAGCGTTCTTTGACGACCGGATACAAAAACTGGTGCCGAAAATTGACAAATGTTTAAATATTTATGGTGACTATGTTGAAAAATGAAAAATAAAAACATATTTTAGTTTGTGGTACAATTTATGTTCATGAATAAAGTTTCTCTAACTCCATTACAAAACGGTTCTTACTCAAAATAGCCCTGGTATATGTGATATGTTTACAGGAATTGGTGGTTATAACATTATTTACCTCTATGAGAAAATATTTACAACCTTTAATAGTTATTATCAATACTTACTGTAACTGAAAGTAAAGTTGATGAGATTTTTTAGCAAACTCCAGAGCATCCTTGAATAGCATGCTATCTTTGCTTTCTCTGAGGGCGTATTGAAGGATGTCAGTTTTCTCGTAGCTGTACAATTGACAACCACATCGACTCACGAAATCTTTGTACTGCTCCAACTTTTCTTCTAGAAGATTATTCTAGACACAAAATATAGGGATATTTTATTTGATATTCGAAAATATTCATATGAAAAAACCAGTACATTGTAATATCATAAACACTTCAAAAAAATTAGAAAATCAGAAGAGTAAAAAGAAAGAAGAAAATCATTTAAGGCACTACCCAACAAATTAAACTAAAAAGACATTCTTTCGCTGTAGAACAAATATGAATGATTTTGTATCTCAAATAAAGGCCGATTCAAAGTTGGGACCTTCCTTTACAAAGCGTATTGATCAGGCATCAATAAATGACCGAGATGTTGAGTTCCGAAAAACTATAACTAAACCATTGCGACCCTGTCTCCCTCCCCAACTACACCAAAAAGTATGATGTCTTGCAGTACCATGACTATGCGAGTCATTATCCAAATCAGGTGCCGCGAGGTGTATAGATTAACATAGTTTATAAACAAACCGCATTTGTAAACTGTAATTAGCGGATTCATACAACAATAACGTAGTTATCGATTTGATTTTAGTTTACTGTGAACATCTCCAGGATCCTTTGGCTACCCCGCGAGTGTATTCGAGTATTCAGAACGTCTCCGTTTTCCTTAATATTTCCATCAGAGCTGTGTAGATTTGTTTATATCGTGCAAAAGCCGTCTGGGTGGACGCATTAGCAGACCTTGACAACTCCAAATGTTGCAAAATTTAGGAACAAGTAAACAAATTCATGTTTTCAAATCTAACAGCGGTAACTACAATTACAAACAAAACATTTTTCATCAACTTCATTTTTACGTTTTCGGTGCTGTTTTACCGCAAATTATTTCAAACAGTTGTTTCTGAAAAGGAAAGATCAGAGGACCTTTTTTATAATAACGCACCCTTGACTGACTCTCAACCATCGAAAGTGGAGATTTAACATTTGCACTTTACAGATACCTATAACTGATTTTCAGCATTTTCTAGATTTTCAAAATTCTTCTCTCAGTATTATAATTTTTTTTGAAATAGTCATAATTTTCAATTTTTTCAAATTTTCAGTATTTTAAAAAAGTTTCATAAATTATGATTTTCAAAATTTTCAGCTTTCAAAAATTCACGGCTTTCAAAAATATCAAATTCTTTTAAAATTTCCAAATTATCAATTTTCATAATTTTCAAGATGGGTCGAGGGAATTTTTCAAAAGTATCAGTACCTACTTAAGATTTTCAAAACTGTCGAGCTCGAAAATCTGAAAACCCAAGATGACAACTGTTACAGCCTACTTTGAAAATCAAATGTTAAAGCCCCCAAGGATATTGAACAAACAATAACCCACCGCTGACTGAACCTCAAGTGGAGAGTTAACATTTGCACTTTACAGATACTTGTAACAGATTTTCAGAATATTCAGTATTTTCTCAATTTTCAAAATTCTTTATAAATTCAGTACATACTATCAAAATTCATGTTTAAAATTTTCAGCTTTAACAATTTTCATAATTTTAATCTGTCCCAACATATTGAATTCTTTTAGGGTTTAACTTACATTTTTGGTAATATATATTGCATATTTCTCCATATCCCTCAATACATCCTCTTTCCCTACAGCTCTGATTTTCGCCTCCAAAAACTTCAAATTAAAATACACATCAAACTTATCAAATTCCTCTGCTTGTGACAGATGGTATCCAATAAACTGCAAGGTGTAGTTATCATCTGGTAGTTTGGAATAGTCGCCTCCAGTTATTCTATCATAACCTGGGTAAATTAAAAGATGCGTTAATCTTTATTTTCTAATACAAAAATTGATTCATTTTATTTTGAGATCGAAGTTTCTTTATTGAAAAACATCTTAATTAAGAAGTTTAAGGCGATACCTGAAATCAACTTCCTATGAAGCGCGGCAGTTTGATGTTTGGTTTGTTCCCTCAAAGAATTCAAAAGCAGTTCATGGATACCATAGATGTAAGTCTGCAAGTTGTCGTGGTAAAACGGCACTACCAGCGACTTCTCGGCCAGCTTGTTCATTATGTTGCGTATTTCATGCGATGATTTGGTCCACAGAACTTCCAGGACGGCTGGGGGAATGTTTACGTCTTGGCTAAATATGGCCAAGTCGTGGTACAAGGTTTTCAAGTCACCTGTTAGGAGTTTTTCTATGCATTTGCGGACTATCTCGGATATGTTGGAATCTGCGTTGAACTCGTTCAAACTGTTAATAAAAAAATGGCGTTAAGGAAGCTGACTATACTACTACTAAAGATTATGTTTGGCACAAAAAATTAAATGACCTTCCGGACGCGACTGTTGGAGATATTTCAAGTTTCAAGGGTAAATGTATGGCGATAATTATGATTAGTGAAATATGCCTAATAGGTTACTGGGGTTGGAGGCGTATAAATATACCAACGCCAAAAATTGAGATATACCCTCCGCCACCCCATGCGACCCAGTGTTGCAAAAAATCAAAAAAATATGATTTTTTACTTAAATATGGCAATAATGAACTTTGAAATAACTTATTTTCGTAATTTTTTCTCAAAACTTTAAAAACTCTAAATTGGTGAAAATCCCAACAGAATGTCGATGCTATTCAAAAAGTACTGCCCGCCATTAAACAACTGTTATCTGCTACAGCTTCTTCAGGATCTGTCGACAGAGAGTTTTTGACTTTTGGTTTGGTACATTCCAAACTTCAAAATCGCTTGGGAACCCAAAAAACCGTAGTCGTATTACCATTGACTTCCCAACCACATAACTTGTTTATGGTTTTTGTAGGTTAGCCTGAGTCACGCTTTGTTCTCTGTACATTATTATAATACCATTTATGTATTCGTTAATAATTTCTATTAATTATTTATTCATGTAGGTAATATTATAAACTATGTTGGACTGAGGATAAGTAATGTTATTAAACTGACATACTGCAAGTAAACTCTTAGTTTTAAATAAACTATCTTCCTTTTTTGAAATTCCTTATGAGTTATTTCAGTTACTTCCTTTGGCGATTCGCTTTTACAGAAATTTATAATTTGATTTAAATTATTATTAAAATTGAAGAATCAATTGATTTAAATCATTTGATGTAACTCTGCTGCAACCCCTTACTCACGACTTTTAATCCCTACAAAAATTTTTCCGAAAATGATCATAATCCTCTGTAACGTCAAAAAAAAAACGAGGTTTTAGCTATTTAATTTTTTCCGTTTTTCACCTTTTTCTCCGCCGCCACTGGGCCGATTTTCAAAAACTACAAAGCTTGTTCGTCCTCGGCACAGCAGTAACACTGCGTAAAAATATCATAAAAATCCGAGCGATACCTCTCAAGCTATAGGCGGTTATAGGATTATCAAACAGGCAGACGGAAAAAAGCGACTTGGTTTTTCGTGATGTACATGTTTGTGAGATAACATCTAAATTTTCGAAATTTTTTATTAGAGTCAAATTAGGCAGGATGGGGAATTATTCGAAAATGTTATTTTAAAGGAATATCAATATTTTGCCTCCAAATAGTATATTCCTCTTTTTAAAGTTCAAATGTCAATTTTCGCGCCAAAGCTGAGACGTAAGAAATTCTAGCGTGACGTAGAACATTTTTTTATATTGCCTAAAGCTTAACTGATGGAAAGCATTTTGTGACTAACCTGTAATTTCCACGACGCAACATTGCTTTAATGTATAACCACAAATCATTCCCTGAACCCTTAGCCATATCAGAATTTTCATTTAAATATGAACCAATGAGAGCGATCAGCATTGGATGACCTTGACAAATATGATGGATCTCCTCTGCTAGTATAGGCAGGTCTTTAGTTATTTTCAAGGACGTTTTGAAGAGGTCCAATGACTCTTCCAGAGAAAAGCCAAAGTTCACCTGTGAATAAAAGTAATCTATTTAATGTGGATTGTTCAAAAACACATGCGTATCTAGATGTTTAGAACTGTAAGCAATAATACCAAAGAATACAGAGTTAACAGTAGAAGAGTCACTCAGTCGAAAAGTCAGATTCTTACGCGGTGGCTGAAATGCATTTGGGTGCGATCATTCATTCTTTACCTGTGGTAGAGGAAGTATCTTTACATCTGCTTGGTAAAAATATTCTGATTAGGTATTTTGCACCGGCTTAATCAAATAGACACAATTTTAGGCCTGACAACATGCAGATTCTTTAAAAGGGGCCCTTTTCAATAAGGCTATGCGAAAAAACAGAATCAAAATATTTTTCTGATCAGATGTGAATATATGTCCCGGACGATAAAGCACGACAGCAACAACAGCACTACCCTGTATAAAGCAATAAAAAAGGGTGGGACCTATTCGATTAAGGCACCTAAACAAAAAAAAAACGATCCGAATTCTGGGAAAAAATCTCATCTTTAGAATTTCGAAGATCTGAGGTTAATTTGCGGGTGGCTCTTCTACTGGTAACTCTGTATTCTTTAATAACAGCATGAAAGCATAAAAAATTGACTGTACATAATAAACATTTATAGGCCACATTTTGTAACTAATAGTAAAAAATGACATACCGACACAAAATCCGCATCCTCATTCTTGAGAATATTCCTATTTTGCGTGGTGATGACAGTTTTGCACTTGATGTCAAAGTAGGTGAGGACATTCTCGCTGCAGGCATCGTCAAGAATAACCAGCGAATTCCGCAGCTTTCCGTCCATAAACAGTCGAATCAGCGATTCTTTTAAGCGTTCGATATCAACATGGCAGTGTGAGGCTTTGTTGTCTGTGACAGAACTTGCGGCAGTGTATAGTCTGGAATAGTTCGTTGTGAAATATTGACCAGTGTGTTCTAGCTCGTAGTCCAGGCAAACCAAAATAGATATAACGGATGTTTCAAATTCGACCCTCGCCATTAGAATCTCGGATACGAAGTCGCTTAAATGGGGGCAAAGTTGCGTATTTAGGTAATTTAAGTACTTCCGGAGAGAGACGAAAATACCGAATTTCCACAAAATCGTGTCAATGTTTTCCTGGCCTTATTTGTAGCTTAATTTTAAAATATAAGCGTGTAAATAGAATGCACGTCAACAATGGCACTTTTTCTCCTGTGCAAGATGGCATGATTAGAATTTTAATGACATTTCTTATGGACGCCATGTTGGATTTTTGCACAGATAAATAGTCTTTAATTCTGATCCCAAAAACGTGTCATACATTGACACTGCCAAACCTTAGTTGTTTAAAAAAAACAATTTCCTAGGTAGGCATTGAAATTACCAGATTTGTTTTGTATACAACATTTATCACAAATTCATTTTTATTTTTCCTGACGAGACGAGATTTCGAAGTAAATTTCGTATTATTACTGTTACTTTTTCTTCTCTACAAGATGGACGAGTCAAATATTCAATTCTAGGTTTCTTCTTTCGACTTCTATCAACAACTTCGTTTTTTCATATGGATGCTATATTGGAATTTTGTACATTTAAATGGAATTTTTAGTCCCAAATTCAGTGATACATTTCCTTAGTTGGCCATGAATTTGTTGTTGGGGCAAAAATTATATGGAAATAAAAAGGTACTGTGAAACCTGAACACGAAATGAAAATTTTAGAAGTAGATCATAGTACAGTTCAAAACCTTGTCCGTTATTTTGTAGGCTAGGCCTGACTATTCTCTGAACATTGTTCAGTGCTCGGTTTATTTTGCTTCTTCTCTTTGTCTTTCAAACTCTATTACTATGTTCAATTTGACGTCTTGTCTGCAGGTCTATTACGTAAAAAACGTCAAATAAAACGACAAAATGTCAACTTGCTGCCTAGATACTTCCTAGTGTGTGAATAATACATTCCACGTTTGCTCGCTATGAGCGTCCATTCATGGAGGAATGACTCAACGACCCGACACGGTCAAGCTCATGCTGCAAGTTGCAAGTCTGTCTCCATCATGCTTTGTTGGTTGCACAATGCCGAGATAGTCTTTAGAGTATACTCTGAGAATATGTTTGGTTGAGTACCAGAGTAGCAAGATCGCATCTGGCTGATTGTGTGTATTGGTCTGCATGTGCATAAAATCAGTGATATTTGCTATGTGAGAAAATTATTACTGCATATGCTGCCCATGAAATATATCTATCAGCTGTGACAGGCGGGTTATGTTGTTCTTTCTGAAGAGAGGTTTTGTTCAAAGTTATACATTACGATTTTCCTCGTGTTTTTTTTGCGATTTCAAAAGCTCTGAGAAGCATTACGGGAACTCGCGTTGTGTGTAATTAAGCCACATCACAGAAAAATTTGGGATAACGGATCACGTACAAAACATTTTCGCACTGCCTCACATCTAGACGTTGATTTGTATTTTCTACTTGACATCGTGAAATAAATTTCTATGATATTTAAATGACTGGAAATAAAAATTAATGTGAAATATGACAAATATTCTTTTATGTAGCATATTTGCTCACCTGTTAGTTTTGATATACTTTACTAGCTGCTCTCTTTTTTGAAATTCAGCAAATTTGCATAAGTATTTCCAGGTTGAATAAGAAAAAGCGGATGTGCAACTAATTTTTAGCATTGCATAAATCTCAGGAAAGTCTTTTTAAGACAAGAAACCAATGGAATTATCATCAACATTATTAGTCCACAAATCCTCACTATTCACCTAGTCATTGATGTTTCCTTCCAGCTATAGTATACAACTTACAGCTTAGACCTCCAATAATGCCATCTCTGAAGCAGATGTTACATCACATCAGAGCCAAACATTGATAGGTGAAGCATCATGACGTTTGGGCAACACGTACAGCTACGGAATGAGTACACAACAAGTGTAGAACAGCTAGTACTAAGTTGATATCTTGTAGAAAAACCTACATAATGTACAACAAACCTTTATAATGTCAAAAAAACTGACATAATGTTACTTTTCAAGGCTGCGTTCTTTGTACCACTCTGTAACAATTTTAGCGTTCATAATTGTTTGACGTACCTGTTACAGGCGTTCAGATATAGAATAAAGTAATGCTTCTGGACGGTCAAAAGCTTTTATTCCCGAGCTGTAAACATTTAGAATAAGAGTTCTGTCACTTATCATTCTCATGGTTCATTGTTTCTATATTTTATATGGTTATTAAAGACTGCTCAAAATTGGCAGAATATATATTTCTCATGATAAATGCTACCTCATATCCCTAGAGTCTCTTATAATAACTACAAGGGAGTAGAAAACGTGATTAGAAATTAGTCGATTGTCATCAAGTGTCAACTTAGGCGTTTTGAAAATAAACTTTACACACTATTCCAGAGTGACATTTCATCTGTCAATCTATGTACATTCAATTACTGTGTATGGTATTACATTGTCAAGTGATTTACAAACGCACTCCTGGTATACGAAACAAATGACTATCCGATGATTTCAAGGCCAGGAAATTCCGTCTTTCTGGAATAACTATATATATATATATATATATATATATATATATATATATATATATATATATAAATATATATATATAACAAATAGAAAAAATAAAGGGCAAAATCCGCTAAAAGAAGGAAAGTGGATTCAAGCAGAAAATAGGATAGGTGACCCGAGCGATACATACTTCTGCTTGTTGGCTTCATCAGGCCCGAAATGAATGCACATATGCAACTACAATAGTAGATACACATGCCCATACATTCGGATACAGGTGTAACCTGAGGAAATGAAGATGAGAGGGAACAAAACGACACATGTGTATTTTATATACACGTGTAGATTTGTTCCCTCTCTCTATACAGGGTGACTTTGAAGTTGAGTCATTAATTTTCAGATAAAGATTGTAGAAGGAAGATAAACCAAAATATGTGTGTAAAAATAAAAAAAAAATAAAAAAAATGTTACCTTGTTTTATAAAGTATCCTCCGACAAGTATTTCCGTGCGGACCTGTATTTGATCGTGCGGTCTTGGAGCACCGGCATGCCCTCCCCTGTGAGGTCTTAAGTCACCTGATTCACGAGCCCTTTGTACTACATTAACAAAGGCACGAGGGGTTGGTTGCACTCGATTGAGAAACCGATCCGCATAAATCCGTGATGCCGCGTAAATAAGAATCATGTCCACAAGTTCAGCATTTTCGTAAACATGTGCCATTTTTGATTTCGTTTGAGCCACGCAACAGACACCACTATTCACTCACGCGTTACCGACTGACACTGACTGTATACAACTGAATAAAATAATTGTAAAAACATCGTTCCAAAATCTTTCGCTTTTTTGTTTCCGATGCGATGAACCGATAAGGCGGATTATATCCGTTGTTGCCAAACACGAGCATATAATATTATTATTGAGACAGGGCGGTACCCAAACTTCCAAAGGGCTATAACTTTGTTACTTTAATTTTACCAGAAAAATGGTAAAGAAAAAAACATTTCTTTTGATCAGATCTACTCACTGTTAAAATAAATGACTCAACTTCGAAGTCACCCCTTCGAAGTCACCCTGTATACATATACAGAGCGTTGACAAGAAAATTTAGGAGCAGATACAGCACGTAATAGTATGAAAAAAAATTCACATAAAAATGGGTCCAGAAATTCAATGATACAGGACATACAACTTGGTTTAGCGAAAAATAAGTTTTTTTATATAAGTTATATATGTATATATATATACATATATATATATATCCTTGAATTTCTTTGGCACTCCACATTATCCAACACGTGCCAGTCGGCAAGCACGTGGAGGGTATCAGGAAAAAAAATAAGAAAAAAAAAAGAAATCTCGAAGGATTTTTCAATAGTTGATAGTTGTTCAAGTTCTTCCAAATTAATCAGTGTTTACAGGGAATTTTTTAAAAATTAAAAAAACAGCCATTTATTAATAACATAATTCCGTCCTAATCGAACCTCGTCGGTCCAGTTTTTTATTCGTCGACTATGTGTTCCCTTCACTGTCGTTCAGCAACAATCTCGCCGACTTACTCCAGACGATGAGGGCATAGAACTTCGAAAGCTCGAGTTTAAGTTATAAGAGTGTGCTTATGCAATACTTTGCCTTCTACCCAAAGAAATTCAAGGATATTTTCTCCTAACAGTTAAGTCAATTAACTATGAATAATATATATATATATATATATATATATATATATATATATATATATATATATACATACAGGGTGACTTTGAAGTTGAGTCATTAATTTTCAGATAATGATTGTGGAAGCAAGATAAACCAAAATATGTGTGTAAAAAAAAATTAAAAAAAAATGTTACCTTGTTTTATAAAGTATCCTCCCGACAAGTATTTCAGTGCGGACCTGTATTTGATCGTGCGGTCTTGGAGCACCGGCATGCCCTCCCCTGTGAGGTCTTAAGTCACCTGATTCACGAGCCCTTTGTACTACATTAACAAAGGCACGAGGGGTTGGTTGCACTCGATTGGGAAACCGATCCGCATAAATCCGTGATGCCGCGTAAAAAAGAATCATGTCCACAAGTTCAGCATTTTCGTAAACATGTGCCATTTTGGTTTCGTTTGAGCCACGCAACAGACATCACTATTCACTCACGCGTTACCGACTGACACTGACTGTATATAACTGAATAAAATAATTGTAAAAACATCGTTCCAAATTCTTTCGATTTTTTGTTTCCGATGCGATGAACCGATAAGGCGGATTATATCCGTTATTGCCAAACACGAGCACATAATATTATTATTGAGACAGGGCGGTACTCAAACTTCCAAAGGGCTATAACTTTGTTACTTTAATTTTACCAGAAACATGGTAAAGGAAAAAAACATTTCTTTTGATCAGATCTACTCACTGTTAAAATAAATTACTCAACTTTGAAGTCACCCTGTATACATAAAGTTTTGATCGCTTGTAACTACGGAAGAATGTACTCTTCAATGTTCCTGGAACTATTCTGAAACACCCAGTATAATCTTAACACAGTTTAATTACCTCCACATAGGCTGCCATACATTCTCCTTACTATGGCAGTCACCTAAATTGATCCAGAACACATGGTGGTCAAAATATTTTAGAACAGAATGCACAACCTCGTTTATGAGACACGATTTGCCATAACCCATCATTCCATGGATTACCAACTTCTTCTCCCATGTCAGCTCCAGCAACTTGTGTCTCACCTTCTCAACCTATTATAATATTTATGTTTAATATTCGGATTTTGTTCTATTCCGTACCTACTAACGGGTGGTTCTCTTGGATGTAACTTTTTATAAAGACATTTATAAGAACAATACTTTATCAGGTTATCTTTATTATTAAAAGAAATAAACATGCGAGACATTTTGTTTTTGAAGATTATTTACTGCGACTGGATATTCGATGACGCTTTCGGGTAAGTCGAGCAGTAATTCGGGGAATCAAGTTTGAATTCAACTATTTCACGGGCTTGCAAACCAAACGACTTAATGGAATTTGCCTTTAGGCGTCGGCCGAGGAAGCGCTCAGCCGCTGGTCCAACCAAAATGACTAAGGGTATATAAATAGGGTGTTTTCAGGGCTTTTCAGAAATTAAATCCCTTATAACTCGAAAATCGTCAGCTTTAGAGAGAAGATAATGAAAGCATTTTTTGTTCGAAATGATCCAAAAAAACCTGAAAAAAGAAAATGTCCGAGTAAAAGATATTGTAAGTTGTTTAAAAAAAAAATAAGTAAATTTGATCTGGGTTACCGTGCGAGTATATTTATTGCTTAAAAAGTGGGTTAAAAATTATAATTTTTCATGTCGTCAGGCATCTAAATTAAAGTTAAAACCTTGCCCTATAAGACCTTGAAGAGTATATTGAGATTAGCTTCTGTTAAAGCGATTTCAACCTTGCTTTTCCGGCCAAAATTGGCGAACTTTTGGTTTTCGCAGACATGTATGTTTGTTCCGTTTTCACGCCAAAACGGCTGAACCGATTTTGATTAATTTTAGCAGAGATATAGATTAGATCTTGCAGATGGACCTGGGCTATCTTTTGTTGCGAAAATAAAACTTAATGGGGTTGAAATAGGGGGTGAAAGTTACTATGATGAAACAATTCTCTAGATTACAGATACAAATATGGATTTTGTATATTTGGTTCTTTGATATAAAGTAAATGGACAGTTACATAGAAATTTTGGTAAATTCTACCTTAAGGGGTCAAGTAGGGGTTAATACTCTTGGAGCTCTATGTTTTGTCTAAAAAATAAAGAATTCAAGAAAGTACACCTATATCCTTAAGATGGGGTAGGAGGAGGTTGAATATTTATATGGGGGAACCTGAATACTTTTTTTGTTGTTTAAGTTTATATAAAGGTATCCAAAAGACTGTTTGACATATGGTCATGAAATCTGCCAGAAAGGTAGCTTATGGATTGAACATGTCAGACGAGAACAGATTCTGCTACAGGACAGGACTAAAGGGGAATAGAGGCATTTACAAGTTTGTACAAAAGCCCTTTGTTTTCCTACTGGGAATAATTTGTCAGTTAGGTAGTTTATAGGCAGTAGATATCAGTTGATTCTGGTAATGGATGGCGCTTTGCAGACTTATTTCAAATGGAATTCTATAATGAACCATGATAGCCATAGTGATGGCATTTGGAAAAGTAATTTTGATTATAAAAAAGATGTCATGCACGCTTCTTCTATACATAGCAATAAAGATAACCAGGCATAGATGTTTTTTTTAGATTTGAAAAAAGTACCAGTAAATTAATCACCCACTATCTTAGTTAAGACACAACATATTTATTATATGTTATGCAGCTTTAAAATTTACTTTGGATTATTATACACTAAACATGAATGTATAAAGCAAGGTCACATCAAAAAACTAATTTGACAGATAATTTTGCTACTTATCAACAATCTATATTTCAAATCTTTGGTCACTGTTTTCAGTTTTCTGTCATAAAAATATCACTTTTAGAAAACCTTTTTGGCAATATAGCTGTGTTTCCCAATATATAATCTAAGTAGTATGTATAAACAAGTAGGGTTTCCCACAAAATAATAAATTATGATCTGCCAATTATAATCACAATCATCTAATAGCATAAAAACGGTGTGCAGCTCTATACGAGGGATGTCTTTTAAGTTTTGCATATAGAAACATACAGTATATTCAGATAAGAGATAGACCGGATGTAAACAAAAGGTTCGGGTGATTTTCACGCTAACGCCGCCGTCACGACGTAAAACAGGAGCCCTCATTGGTCAATTCGCAATTAAATGCCTATGCCGAGCGGCAGAGCAGTCGTATCAAGGCAGAGTCACATTCAGGTTCAGACGTGTTACGTATGTCGTGTGCATCATTGCAATTTGATATTTCTTTGGACGTTTTCGTTTGTTATCTTATTAAGTTGTGGAGTTTGTCGTTGTTATTGTTATACCTTGTTATTGATTGTTATTGTTATCAACTGCTTGCGCAAAATGCCCAGTAGTACAGATACTGCCGATGAAGTTGTAAACTCCTGTAGTCCACCTACTTAGAGGAAAACGCAGTAATTGTGTTGGATAATGCGCCTTATCATTCTCGAAGAATGGAGAAGGTCCCAACAACGGCTTCAAGGAAAGTTGATGTTCAAAATTGGCTCCGCTGGAAAAATATCAACTTTGAAGAAGCAATGCTGAAAGTACAATTATTAAGAATTGTCAAGGATCACAAGGCGGAATATCAAAAATACGCCATTGACGAAATGGCAGCAAGTCAAAATAAAACTGTGCTCCGTTTACCTCCATACCATTGCGAGCTCAATCCCATTGAGCTCATATGGGCAGAGGTTAAAAATTATATAGCTAAGCACAATACAACTTTTAAATTTTGTGACCTCAAAGGACTTTTCAAAGAAGCACTAGAATTAATAACAGCGCAAAAATGGGAAAACTGTATTAAGCACGTGAAAGACAAAGTTGAAAAAAAAATGTGGGAACTGGACAATATTTTAGATTAACAAGTCGAGCCATTCATTATTGACGTTGGTGCTTCAGGCAGTAGCGATGATGAAAGCTCATCAAGCTCATCTTTCCAATAAAAGATGTCGTTCATCAAATTCGGTAAGTTATAAGTAATTATAAAGCTACTGTATTTTTTAATTAATTATTGACATTTTTGAACCCATTTTGGCAAAACCTATTCAAGAATCTACTTTCTGACAATGTTCAACCATGCACATTTTTTTACGTTTTGAACGTTTTAATTTGGTTACATATTTACCTCGAAATCAAAAAATATACTAATCAATATTCTAAAAGCAATTTTAAGAGATATACGATTATTTTTAATTTAGGCTAATTTAAACGCCATTTTGAGATTATATTCGACTGTATTTCACCAAACATCAGGCGGCATCCGAAGCTGGAAATCGAAGCGAAAATTTTGAAACCCTTATGTATATTTACATCATTATATATTTCTTACCCCACCCCCACATGATCCTATATCCATCACCAATCGTATACACATCGAATTGTGCTAATTTACTACAAAGTTACGCAAAGCAGCATCTACTATCTAAAATATGTACTGCGTGACTCTTAATACGTCCCTGCCGAATGTTACAGCGTTCGATGATCACGTGGTCTTGTTTATGTCCGGTCTATCTCTTATCTGAATATACTGTAGTAGACCGCGCGGATCGAACGTCAGTACTGAATCTTAACCTCACTCTTTAGTAAACTTAAATTCAAAGTTTCACAACAATACGTGCAGTGTTCTCACTACAGTGAATTTTTAAGTGTCACCAAGTCATTAGAAAAATGGAACTGAACCGGGAACATTTTCGCGCCATAATTTATTACAACTTTCAGAGATAATTATCGCAACAAAAATGCCTTGCTAAGTTACTGTCTGTTTTCGGCAACAAAGCGCCACATCAGTCGACAATTTCCCGTTGGCGACGATTCCAGGGTGGGTGAACCAAAAACGGCAGCCACCCAGGAAAACGTCGATGCTGTGCGCAAACTCATCATTGAAGATAGACATGTGACATAACGCGAGACTGAGGCGTCCTTGAAGATCTCAAAGACCTCAATTAAAAAAATTTTACATGAAGAATTAGGAGTAAGAAAATTAGTTTCTCGTTGGATACCCCACCTGTTGACTGAAGAGCAGAAAGCAGCCAGGGTTAATTGGTGTCAAAAACGCTTGACCGTTTCAATTCCGGAGACTCAAAAAATGTGTACAGCATTGTTAGTGGTGATGAATCGTGGATTTACTGTTATGAACCAGAAAATAGACGACAGTCGGCTGTTTGGGTGTTCCAAGGTGGAGAAAAGCCAACAAAAGTCATCCGTTCTCGAAGTGTTTCGAAAAACATGGTCGCGACATTTGTGTCAAAAGCATTGCAACAATTCCTCTTAATGAGCAAAGAACTGTTACTGCGAATTGGTATACAACCATATGTTTGCCAAAAGTAATCACCAAGCTTCGAAAAATCAACCCCAAAAGAAGAATCATCCTTCATCAAGACAATGCAAGCTCGCACACAGCCCAAAAAACAAGGCAGTATTTAACGGAAGAAAACGTGGAATTATTGGACCATCCTCCATATAGTCCCGAACCATGTCCTAACGATTTCTTTACATTCCCGAAAATTAAAAACAGACTGCGTGGTCAAAGGTTCCAGTCACCAGAAGAAGCAGTTGACGCATTCAAAATGCCGTTTTGGATCTGCCAGCAAACGAGTCGAATAAGTGCTTGGAAAATTGGTTCGAGCACATGTAGATGTGTATTAATCTTCATGGAGAATACTTCAAAAAACAATAAAGTCATTTAAAACTACCTATCGTGTTGTTTTAATTCCATATGCAAAACTTAAAAGACATCCCTCGTATTATAAAATCAAGAAAAAATAAATATTGCTCATTAGATTCTTACCAAATTTTTCCAATCCTTGCAGCAAATAATATATTGCAGATTATTAAATAACTGATAACACTGCTTTATGAGTAATAATGAATCACAGACATTGATAGGGAATAAAAATAATCATTATCTAAGACATTATTTTTTTACACCTATATTTATATTTATAGAATCATGAAAAATGTCAGTGGCATCAGGCACTAAATATTGAGAAGAGCACTAATAAAAATGATTAGCAAGAAGCAAGCAAAATGTTTTGTTAAGATTTTTATGTAGTTTATATTTATATTATTACATTCTTTGAAAAAAATTGAATGAAAATATAATCATTAAATTAATAATAAATCTATAACATACAAACCTTCATTCTGAGATTCTTTGCAAACCAAGTGCAGATATGAATGGAATGCAGTTTTTAATTCTACTAAATTGAAAGTAGTACTTTAAATTACTACACTCTTATATCAATACTAAAATTAAAAAATATTTTCTTACCAGAGTTCTCCTAGACACATAATTTGGTGGCAATCTAGGGAATCCTCCTCTAACTGAAGCTAATCTATATTTATTCTCATCTTCAATAATTCTATCTATATTTGGATACTCTTTTTCTAAAAAGCTGAATATTTTCTCTAGCTTTTCGGCATCATTATGGGAATCTACTAACTCAAATAAACTAAATAATCTGTCCTTTTCACTCTGAAAACAAAAAAGTTGACTAATACAGAGTGATTAAAAAACAATTGTATTTCTAAAGCAAAAAGTAGATCCAAAAATTGCATAAAAAGTTATAAGCATATGTTATAAATTGTCCTATTATCAAGATACAGAGTGTTGTAAATTTCTATAACAATGATATCATTGATTAGGTGGATGGGACATGAAAAATGTTCAATGTTTTTGATTAGGATTTAATGCATTTAAAAAGGCTATAAAAAGTTAGAGCATAGACACTTTTTGAAATTTTGAATGATACTTGTTATAATTAGAAATGATCAATAGTTCAGCTTCCATTTTCCATGATTTGTTAGGCAATCATTGATTAAGGTATTGTATAAAACACCATCTATGAAACAGCAGAATACTAAAATGAATTTAGAAACCTACTTTTAACAGAGATAAGAATGTCTGGTTATGCCTTTTGGCACATCTCTAATGCTTATTTTAATTGGGGATCTTCAGGTGGTCAATTAAAATAGGCAATGCCAAAAAGTGACTGAAGAACCAAGCACCATCTATGAGGCCGTAGGAGAACCTAATATTAAACTCTTTTCAAATTAGATATCTAAATTTATTTTTATATTCTGCAACTGTCTCACATATATTCACATATCCTTTCAGATCCATTTTTGGGCACCATAATACATTGTATAGTTGGCTTTCTTCAGGTAGAGTATGTTAATGTTAAAATTTCAAGTTAAAGTATTTATTCAGAAAATATGATTTTTCCTGTTTTCAAAAATATAATTTCAACACCCTGTATATCTCTAATATGAGGCATTATGGGGCCTGGATTTATAGAAATGTTTGATCTTATTTTCTGCCCTTGAAATATTGCCATTATTTTAATCACACTGTATATTTTTTTATAGTTTAGGAACTGGTATAGGTATATACCATAGTTTTTTTCAAACAAATGCCATACTTTTGCATACATATTAAAGTAAATACTAAAAAAGTCAAGACAGAATTATTCATAAAAAATATTAGTGAGGCAAATATCAATTTTATGGGGACAATTTGTTAAAAAACTACCTGGCTGGTATTAATCATAGTTTTATTTAAAATTATGTGAACAATTTTGAACACTATTATGCTAGTTAGGCAAAAATCAATTTTTTGAGATGTTTTATTAAAAAACTACCTGTCTGGTATTAACTATAGTTTTATTTAACATTATGTGAAGTTTTGAACACTATTACGCTAGATCACACAAGACTTGACAAACTTTTTGTAACTCATGAATAAAATAAAATTCCTATATATAATCTAGTTATCCTGGGAAAAGAAGTCATAGCTACCTTAGACCAAACTTCATAATATTTGTTTTCGTCGACTACCTTTTGCGAGTACAAAAAATCGACGAAATCATCAAAGTTGATAACTCGCCTGTACTTATTCAACCTACAGTTCGTGGATTCCATTCGGCCGTTTTAAAATTTAGCACATTATTAAAAATAGACACTAAAAAAACCGCGCTAGGGGTAAACACGATCCTTTGTTTTGCTAACCACAAGATTTGAATTACTCATAGATTGTATTTAACACAAAGGTTATCTAGTTTGTGGCTCGGAAAACACTTCTGATCGGACGGAAGAAATATATAACTGATAATTCATCTACACTAAGCTATTAGTTGTTCTTTACTAATTGTTTTCTCGCTTATCACATCAGGATGGTACGTGTTTGTTTTGATTGAAGACAAGACAGACAAATGAAAATGGTGGCAGCATGCGGTGTTGTCAGATGGATGATGTACCGACGCGCATAGATACATCGTACAGTCCAGGAATCGTAGACAGCGAATGGCCAAAAATAAGCTCAAATACATACTATGACCATGGAAGTAAATTAGGAAGTATCCTACTTCCTAGAGTCGAAAATACTGCCTGTGTTACTTGCATCTGATAATATAACTAGTATCTTTGACAAATCTGAAAGAATTATTCCAATAACTTTTTCTGTGTTGGCGGCTGTAGCCGTTCGGCCTCGCCCGTCGAGGTTCGGTAGTGACGTCACATGACGGTAGTGAAGCGGTAGGACGACACGACGGCATATCGCATACATCCTTAGCGATCAAGCTGACAAGACGTAGTTTATTGTTTGAATCTTGGCATAGACTGGTGTATGATAGTATATAATAATTAAAATGGATAAAGGTTTTTTACGTACCAATTCCACAAACCTTTTGAAGCCGGACATAATAATGGTAATGAATTTCTTCACAAACAATTCACTTTATGTCAGTACGGAAATACGTAAGTAAGTAAATAGTATGATTTATTCTATACAACTAATAACATGAACCCATTTTTTCAACCCTTAGCCTGCGACTATACTATACTGTGGACTTATAAAAGTGTTTTGAGTCATCAACTTTACGTAGGACGCGTGGTGTCAGAGTATTATGGATGATCTTATTTGGCTTTATTAATGTTATAAATAGAAGAAAATGACAACATGTTTTGCAAGCATAAAATAATTTAGGACGACCCAAACTCCAGCGAATACGCTTGATAAACTAATGATAAATTCAATATCGCGTAGTGACCAGAAAATCAACTGTTTGATCTGAAATTTAATCCAACACCAATAGGACTTGATCGCCGTCCGGTGTTTGTTTGTTTCAGATTTATTTAGCATTGATGCTACAATATCCATAATATCCATATTACACAGTATATTGCAAAATATATTATGTTTTCAAGACCTACATATTTTTATACAAAATTTCACTACTATGAATTCTGGTTTTCCATGAGATATTTTTTCAATTTCCCTTTGAACATTTTCAAACTGACACATATTTTGATATCATTACTTCACAGCATTTCTTTCGTAACACTTCACGATGTCCATTTGTTAACCAGGAGTAGAATCAATGATTCGTCATTCATTTTTTGGTATTGTTATTTGGCTGTTGTCATTATAGATCTGGAAGAGACACCTATGGAGACGAGGTGATTGATTATGTGCAGTTAAAAAGAGAACGGGATGTGTATTGTAAAAGCCAGGATTACGCCCGAACATAGAGTTAAAAGCAAACAGTATCATTGCAGTTTTGAATGCGACGAAAAGGAGGAAACAGTAATCAAGCTAGAATGCAGTGGTTGTGCTGCACAAGAGGATGGCTGTAAGCATGGTGTAGCGATATTAATGTGGCTGCACGGAAGAAGCGAAGAACCACCATGCACTTTCGTGAAGTGCTACTGGACAAATGCTAGATTATCTACTATTGGCAGTAATCTAAAATTCATAGAAACCTCTCAGATGATTACAAATTAAGCCCACACTTGACCGACGCCTATGCATCGCGCGAAATGAAAGCAATAATCAAATCTATTTCTGTTCTCCTTTAAACCATTTAGATTCTTTACCTTATCATGCAAGTCATACAGACTAAAACTAAAAATAATTAGCTAAATAGTTGCTTACATCAAAATGGGATTCACAGCAAAACAACTTTGATTTTTCCGACAGCGGCAATTTATCGTCCTTATTCATTACCTTGCACCACTTCTTTCTAATACTTCCCTGTTTTGGCACACAGAAAAAATGTTTATCTGGAGCTGATATGCTAGTACTTGTACACAAAGGTACAATAAAATATTTGTAAGTTGAATGTTTGACCCATTTTTTACTCATTATTAATAATAGAGGGAAGCTATGTGGCGCGGCGCGGCGGGCGCATCTCCTTGCAGTGGAGCTAGGCTGATAAGCTTCCGTCATGTGACGTCATCACTCACTCGCACGGCCACCACACGATTCTCCTAATAATAAACTTTTGACTAGCGTAACTTTGTTTTTCAAGATATTCAAAAAAAATGTCAGCGCTGTACTTCATTTCGAGTGTCTTTTGAAAAATAGGAAACTTCCTCATTGTTTGCATAATTTATTTCTTGCCATTTCAAGGACAAACGTTGTGGATTTGAAAATCTGTTCGGTGGCGCCGAGGAAAATGAAAGTGGTAATATGCAAAGAAACAAGCAAAAACTATAAGATAATCGTACACCGCACAAATACACGAAAATAAGAGAAGCTGCAAAGGACGCTAACTGTTCCAATTCATGGTGATTTCTTTAGATTTTAGTAAAAAAATAACGTTTGTTCCAGTTATTAAACTTTTTGATCCGATAACTCGCTGGCCGTACATTATAAAATAACCAGTTAACCAAATTTGAAAAACCAGTTATTCAATTAGTCGGTTATTTTTGCCTGTCCCTATTGTGATGTATTCAGACAGTATTACCGGACGTTAAGGAATTCATAGATTATGCTATATTTCTTAGATTAAGCTATGTTTCAACATCTAATCAAATTGAATCATATTTAGTAGTGGAAAAAATTCTATAATTATCTTGGTGGTTCTTCACCAAGATATGTCATGTACTTTTGCACGTTCTCCCATTTATTACCGGTTGTATGATAAAATGACTGGACGACTGGACTATAAGTGTATCAAAAGATTTCCCAGGATGGCAACGTTGCAAATAGTTTTTTGCTAATAATTTTCATTTTTCTATTTTCATGGATGTTGGCCGCGAGGTTCGCGCTGAGCGCTGAGGAGACGCGTGGTCGTGGTGTTAAAAGTGCGCAACGCACGTTTCGGACGTTGTTACCTATTTTACAAATATTCGATAAGGGGAAAATGCAAAAATGTCACATTTTCGTGTAGAGGAGCGTAGACCTAGAATAATAGAAATCTTATGGATTAATAACGTCTAACTTCCCTATGTGCCAAAAGTGATTAGAATAGAAAAAAAAACATCAAAATTGTTGTATTGGCTCCTAGCACATAGCCTACACGGCTCACAGGGCCACAGGACAAAACGAAATCCGGGGCTCTGGTCACTTTCATGAGGTTTTCTGACGGTCATATTCTAATTCAGCGCCCCAAATTACCTATGTTATACAAAGTTTCGTGCGTTTGTAACAATCGGGAGAAAAAAGTGAAAATTTTCCTTCGCCAAAAAATGCGTCTAGTAGGGTGACTCTGTAACTTACCACGCTATCTTCAGTTTGTAAATGATTGGCACAAGTTAGTCCTTCTGAGCAAAAAATTAGCTACGGACATATATAAAAAATTAAATCACCTTCCACCTCCCCTTAGAGGAGAATTGTGTGACTGTAACGTACGACCACCGCCGACGACGCTTGTCCACAGGGAGACCACGTCGCACGTATCGACACCGACTGTAGGAGATATTTCAAGGATAAATGTACGTGTATATTTATGATGAGTGAAATATGCCTATTATGTCCGTAGAATTTCTGGGTTGGAGGCGTACAGATATTCCAAACTCAAAAAATTGAGATACATCTTTCCACACCCCCTGCATGCTCTACAAATGTTTTTTCCAAAAATTATTAGGATCGTCTCATCGTCTGAAATGTCAAAAAACGAGGTTTAAGCGTTTTTTATTTTTGGCCTTTTTCTTCGCCACCACTGGACGATTTTCAAAAACTACTAAGCTTTTACGTTCTTGGCATATTAGTAATATTTTGTAAGAATTTCATTTCAAATTATATGCGTTTATAAGATTAGCGGACAGACAGACACACCGACGGAAATGAGTGACATGGTTTTTCGCCATGTACATGTCATGAAATCCGAAAAACAGATCTCATTTTCGCGTTTAAAATACTTCTCCGCCACTAGGCGTTGGAAGTTAAGAAATCGCCATGTAACGCTAGTTTTCGAGGTTTTGTACTAAAACGTCCCCGTGTATCTGTACAAAAAATCGTTCCCCTGGATAAGTTGATTGCGAAGATACTCAATCTGACGCCAATTTGGCGTTAGGTCCACCGAGGAGGTTAGAAGCGGTCCGTTATCTTCTTCAAGCATTGGCGGCCATTAGGGAAGACAGCATAATGTGGAACGAAGGGTGTGTATGTTTTTACTTCTCAAAACATGCCTACATAGAAACCATGTTTTCTTCCACAACTAGCATCTCTGCTTCAAACTGGTTGACTGAATTTTCCTATATGGACTCAAATTTGGACCAACGTCACCTTATGACGACTATATTCCAATTCAGTAACCCAGATTACCTGCATATACAAAGTTTCGTGAGCTTATAACAACGGAATACGAATATCGAAATCTCGCAATACAAACTTCTATATTTTTCAAGGTTTCTTAGGGAAGATTCTGCAAATTCCTTCTGTGATCTATGCCAAAAATTGGCCCCTGGGCTAGCAGCTGCGTCACTAGGGTCACGAGGCGCTACTATCTCTTTCTAACACACGTATTGCGCGCTTCTCTCTCGTACACATTACGACGTCAGTGGTATATGGATTCACTGTATGTGATTTGGACAAGAAAGCTGTTGAACTAAGTTGAGTATATACAGGGTGTCCCAGAAGTCGACGTCAAGCCGAAACCGGGTGATAGGCAAAGTCATAACAGCTATCAGAAAAATATTTAAAAAAATTTTATGTATGTGTTTTGAAAATTATAGGTCTTTGAAAAAAATATAGAAATTTCACACCGTACGGCAGTCTGTCAACTCTTGTTACTACAAATATTAACTTTTTTTGGATTTTATTTTAAGAATGTAATGATGAATAATGCATCTTCAAACTGGTGTCTCAACCTTACTGCCAACTTTTCTCGTTCAGGAAAAATTGCCACTTATTTCCCAACCAAGTATTCCAAAGTAAAACTTTGCTCAACTTTAACTGGCTGTACTGGAAAAAAATGTACAACGAGAGTTTGGCAAGTAACTTTAAAAGT